CTCAGTCTTTTGAATGCTCTGCCCTGAGGCAGGCCTTGCACTCGCCGCTCACTCTGTCCCGACTGGCTGTCTCGGCGAGTTCAATAACCAGTTGATGCTTTCTGTGTTTCAGCCAAATCATCTACATAAATGTGAGCGAAGCTGCACAGCCTCGACTGGTGCCTTATGGCCCTGATTATGAGCACTGTGCAGACTGCCATCGAACAGCCCACGACCCACACACACCACAGTCTCAGTCTCGATCCAAGCCCAAGCCCAAGCAGCTGCATGCCGCATGCTGCATGCTGCACTCTGCCTGCCAGAGCAGCCCCTGAACGAACATTCTAGACGAACACTGCTATTGGGGCACGCCAATAGCGAGAGACTTTTGGCCCGGCGACTGATTCGAGGCTGAATGCTGCTGCCATTTTGTGCAGATTTATAATTTTATTTATTTCATGGGAAATAGCAAAAATACTTAATTGCCCGAACAGACGGGTCTTGCCTGGCATAAAACTTCTGGTTAAACGGCTTCCATCTGCGATCTGCGATCTGTGATCATTGCGATTGGCAATTAAACGACTAAAGACTGAGCATTTAAGATTGGATGGAAATTCCGTCTAGAAGTACATATTCCAAAGTGTTCTGGAACAATTTTCTTGGCTCAGCGCTATCTGTATGTGGCAATCTGGCAATATTACGCATACGACCGGGTGGGCCGCCTTACCGACTTCCGACAAAATAATACAAATAATACTCGTACAAAAGGCAGAGAAGAAAATGAAAAACGCGCGCTGCTTCGTGTCCGTAAGGGAGAAAGTCTGTCTCCGTCTCTGTCTCTGTCTCTTTCTCTGGGTCTGTCTCTTTCTCTGTCTCTGCGTGCAATTATAATATTAAACCGCTTCGCAAGTGGGGGTTTTCGAACGTACACAAGCTTCGTCGTGGCACTCGGGCTGTTTGTTTTCCAAACAAAATTCTCCATTCCGAGTGTCGCCCATGCCATTGTCGTGGTAGCGACCGTAGAGACAGTTCCAACGAAAGTGAGAGTTTCGTTTCGGCTGTGACGATGACGGACTGCACATATCCATCCAGCCCGTCGAGGGCTGTCAATGGGGGGCGGGGCTGCTGCGAAAGTGCACAAAGAGCCAGGCCAATGGAAAGACTAGCCCCTCCGGTTTGGTAATTAACAATTCTCGTTTCTCGTTTCTCGTTTCTTGTCTCTCATTTCTCATTGTTTTCCTCTTTGAAAATAGTCAAATTTCGACCTGCTCCACATCGTACACTATAATGGGTATGGCAAATCTGTCCGTAGTACCATTGTGCCACCGTGGAGCAAGGAGAAAGAGCCAAACACAAAATGTTTAATTTATAAACTACTCAAAGTTTGCATTCGCATTCGAAGTGGATTCGAATTGGATTTGGCTTTTGATTGCGATTGCCTTTGCTGTTTTGCTATTTTGCTATTTTCCACTCGTTTCGAGACTTTTTTCGACTTCGATTTCGCCTGCGAGTCGAACCAAATTTTTGCGGGTTTTTCATTTTTGAGACCAGTTTAGCTTTTTTTGTTGTTCGTTTTTCGTTTTTCGCTTTTTGTTTACGAGCGAAGTGGTCGCCGCTTTGCCAACGATTTGCCAATCGACAGCGTCCACCAGCCACCAGCCAGCCATGGGTCTTTTCTTTTTGTTGTTTTCCTTTGGCCAATATTAATTGTTGGTGAAACAAAAGCGAAAACTTGTTATTGTTGCTATCGCTATTGCTATTGTTGTTTGCCTGCAACTTTTACTTGCTGCTGCGGCGGTGGCTGCCAAATTGAGGCGTGCCCGGACTGCCTGCCTGCCTGCCGCCTGCCGCCTGCTGCGGCCATAATGGAAATCTCTCTCCCTGTCCCTGTCCCTGTCCCTCTCTCTCTCTCTATCTCTATCTCTTGTCAAAGGAAGTAAGAGCCGGAGACGGAGCGGGAGCCGCTGACAATTGGATTATCGAGCGTTTTTCCATTCAGTTTTCGAATCGCTTTGAAAGCGAAACCGAAGCGAACCGACTCCCTTACCAGCTATCCCCCTCCAGCCCCCCCTTCCATTGTCTTTGACAAGTTTGCCTTCAACTTCGATCGGTCAGCGGTAGAACTCGTTGTTGTCTCTGTTTCTCTGTTTCTCACACTTCAGGCTATTATTCTGTCTCTGTCTCTGTCCCTGTCCCTGTCTCAGTATCTATATCTGCCTCCGTCTCTGTCTCAGTCTCTGCCAGTCTTTGCCTAAATTGTTATTGTTGTTTTTGTTGTTGTTCAACATTCATTTTTCCGTTGCGTCAACGGACTTTCAATATTCTTTGGCATGCTTTGTGTGTTCTGCTGGGAATATGATAATTTTCCACAGTTCGCTCCATGGGTTCTCGTACTCCGTACTCCGTTCTCCGTTCTCCGGTGCCGCCTGACACACTTTTGCACTCACCATTTCGACTGGTCTCCGGCACGGCACTCTGAGCCGCGTTGATCCCACAAGGTAACCAAGTATCTCTCCTTCGAATGCAGTAGCTGCTGGCAAGGGGCCTGCGGTGTCTGTGGTGTCTGCGGTGTCTGTGGTGTCTGCGGTGTCTGTGGTATCTGGAGCTGTGGTTTGGACAATCGAACTGAATGATCCTTCGATATCTGGCTGATTTTCGGGGGGAAGTACACTGGTCACTCTCGGTTTTGGCTTGGCTTGGCTCGGCTAGCCTTGCATTTTGTCACTGGACACAGTCACTTGGATGTTTTGGATGATGGCGACCCGCTTGGCGCTGCGTACTTGCACGGTGGACTGGAAAACTGAGACTGATTCGAGCGCTGCGGCCACAGCACGCTGTCAAGACAAGGCGACGGGCAGCGGCAGCGGCAGCGGCAACGGCAGCAGCAACGGCAGCGGCAACAGCGACAGGTTTAGCTTTAGAGCCGCCACGTACGAGTGCCATATACGAGGGCAGGCAGCCACAACAGAGCAGCCAGAGCTCCACAACTACAACAACCACAAGAGCAGGCGGCAATAAGCAGCGGCAAGCAACATAAACTACAGTTTCAGTTTGCAGCTAGCCCGCGCTGTGAGCTGCATGGAAAATGAGCTTTGTTGCGCTCCACTCTTGGTCCACTCTTTTGTAATGGCCAGAGCGGTGCCTCTGTTAGCCATTAACAGACCAGTTAACAGACACTCGTCGAATGGCCCGGCTGTGAGATGGGGGAGTGATGGCAAACGGGATACCCGTAGCCATCCATTTTTTATCAAATTCGACTCGGATTTGGTAAGGAAACACGTTTGATTAGCATAAAAACAAAACGTCTTCGCCGCCGATTCCATTCCCATACCCAATCTTGACCACCACCTCGCCTCAGTGTAGCTGCGGTTAATGCAAATCCAAAATATGATTTACAAAATGCAAAGACGGAGACGAGCAGCGCGTAACACGATAAGACGATAGAAAGCAGCGGATAGCATTTGCATAGTTGTTGTGTTTGTGTGGATATGAATAATGGAAAGGGTTTCCTAAGCTCCAATCACACCCCAGATTCCCCCAGTCCTAGTCCCCCAGCAGCAGCGATCAGTGGGTCATCCAAAAACGGAAAACGAAAGTACGAACTGAATAGATATTCCAGGGATTCCAAGATTGCTCTTGCATTCAGGAATTTTAGGTTCTGCACTTCTGGAGGTCTGTCCCGCCTGGGCCCTGGGTCGACTTCTCACGCCTGGGATGCTATAAATTTCACTGCCTTTCACTGTAAATCATTTGCTCGGCTCGACTTAATTGCGTGCATTTTAATGCCGAGCCGAGCCGAGCCGACTCCATTGCGTGCCATTTTCCACTTGATGGAGGCATTGCTTATTGCTTATTGCCATTCTGTGCCAGTTTTCACGAGAAAACTCTTTTCGCTCTGTTTGCGAAACGGGCCAGCGAAGCATTGGGGGATCGCATCGGATCGGAGGATAGAAAGATCGAAATGAGAAGTGAGAAGTGATCTTTGGCAGACTCGGACATTCAGGCATTCAGGCATTCGGACCTTAAGATATTTGTATGTACATTGGCTATGCAGTTCAGGTGGGCGCGGGACCTCAGCGAATGTGATGAGTGCATTGGCTTGGCTTTCGAAACCGTTTTGTAGTTGTACCAATTGAATATCAAATCGGATGGCTTAACCTTCACGGCGGCAAGTTCGTGACTTAAGTCTTTTGTTTGTATGCCTCTCCGCCATCAGATTTACTCGCACACACAAACTGAAAGTGAAATTTCATTGTTGTTGCTGCTCTGGTTGGTAATTCCGCTGGCCGCCTTTCCGATTTTGGTAATTGTTGAAAAAGAAAGGCACTCACAATCGCACAGCACAGCACCGAATAGCATCGAACCAAACGCCGCGGCGCCGCATTGCTGATAAGGAACGTGATTTAATTTTTAGCTACAAATTATGAAAATCATCCGCTGCTCATTTGGCTGCTTTTCACTTTCCAACGGCCTTGCCTGGGTCTGGGCCTGGGTCTGGGGAGGCCTGGCTCCACCATTTCTGCTGCGGAAGAACACAAAAACTAGTCTGGGAATCGCCAAACAAGGCCTCTTCTCTGGTGTGGAACACCAACTAGAACTGCGCAGAGCATCTTATGATAATTTCCATGGCAAATATGGTTTCTGTCGTTTTCTTTCCTACCATTGTTGCCAGACAATGATGTGTGGCTGCACATGGAGGTCGGGTTCCAGCTGGAACTGTAGGGCGACGATGGCAATCTGTTTTCCCTGCCACCAAATCGAACGTATGTGAACGCATGAGCTACCTGCCCCTGCCCCCGCCCCGCCATGATTGATGCGAGAACAAGGTTTGTCGCTTAAGTCTTTTGTTGGTCGAGCCCGTTTGTAGACCTCCGCTTGCCGGATGTGTTCTAATAAAGCCGAATTCGGCCCCAAGGCGACACGGTAGCAAGGTTTGCTTCAAACTGCTTTTAATCGTAACAAAATAAAATCACACAGATTCGACTAGATGTGCGCCAAGGTTGCGCTGTCCAGGAAGAAGCTTATGGCTTCAGATATGTGTAGCTGCTCTTCCACGCCATTCTCTGCCTCTCTTCATTAGTATACATGAAGCGACTCTCATCTGAGCTGGACGAGCAGCTGGAGATGAATGCGCTGGCCGAGGCTTCCATCTTTCGAGTGGATCGATGTCTCAGTCTCTGCCAGAGCGGCTGGAAAAGGCTGCTGCTGCTTGAATCTTTGTCCCGCGGACCCTTCGTCGAGCTCGAGCCCAGCCGGCTCAAAATCCCACGCAGCAGCTTCGGGCGTGGTTTCATCTTTTCCAGGACCGTCGAGTTCTCGGATTGGGACACTGGCGGTAGTTCATCCAAATGAGGTAGGTACAGGGGTAACGGATGCGCCACCGGCGCCGGCACCGGCAGCGGAAGGGGTTTCTGCAGTCCATCCAGGGCTCGTTGCAAGTTTGGCCGCAAGATCCTGTACAGATCGGTATTCGGGTCTTCCGTGGTGCACTGCAGTGTCGAACCAAACGGATTCCTGCAGCTAGTATGGGAATTCGGAACTGGGGGCTTGGGTGTCTGTAGTCTTTTTTTGCGAGGCGGAGGTTTCGGCTGGACAGGAGGTGGATCTAAGTCCCCTCGTGGCGTTCCCGTTTCCCCCTCGAGACGTATGTCCATCAGTAAACACTCCGCAGTGCTTGAGGCTCTATGAGTGAGGCACCATCTGTGCGAGATCTGAGTAGCTCGAATCGCGTGCCGCTGCCGGGGTCCAACGAAATTTCCACAGACGAGGAACACCGCGTAGTAGAGATACCTTGCCATCAGACCGAGCACCAGCAGTGACATGAAAGGGCAAGGCGTCAGCTGGCACAGGAGCCAACAGATAGATTGGCAGTAGCCCACCTCCAACGATGCCAGGCTGCAGTTGTCCCCAGTCGGTAACAGGGTATCTCTCGAGATGGCAGCCCAGTGCAGGGCGTAGAGCAGCGCTAACGCCAGAAGAATACCAAGCTTTGGCCACGTCAAAATCATGTTTTGTGCTAATGTTATTTCAATCAGTTGTTATGTTTGTTTTTTGGAGCCAGACAAAATATATATGTAAGTATCTCTCTATCTGACATGTTTACATATTTCGTTGAAACTCATTCCACTCGGGATCGGGGGCAGACAAGTGCGTTAGTATACGAATAAAGGTAGTTGGTGTGAGGAAAAGGACTTTGGCAGTAGATTTTACCAGACGTAGTCGCAATTTGGTAGATAAAACTGTGACAGGGCGCCAGAGTCATGGTACACTCCTACCGTATCCATGGCGGCCACCTAATTATACTCGTATAAAGACGCTAGTGGGAATAGAATAGAATTACTGTTATCTAACAAAAAATCACCTATACGTTTTGAAAAATACTGGAAAAAAGTTTAAGAAAGCTGTTTAGGTAAAAATACCAAAACGCCATTGTCATGTAGATAACATGTAGAATTGTCCAGAAATTATAGCAAGCTTTCAGGCTGAGCCGTGAATAGTTTATGGCAAATAAATGAAGTATCTATTGGGGTTGGGAGAACCCTAGAAATGCAAAGTTCAAAAAGAAGCACTACTTTCCGTTAGTCTTGTTTGACGATTAGTTCTCAGAGGCCATAAAAGCTAGAGTTATCAAATTGTGTGTTCAGACTCCTGTGATATCACAATGAATCAAGTTCGTCTCCAAAAAGCCACAGGGCTTCCACAATTTTGAAAATACGACAAACCCCTTTAACGCAGAATCTTAGTGGTCATTCACTGCCATATCTGCCATATAGCTGAGTCAGGTTTAGATCGGATCCTTATTATAGCCAAATTAGACAATACACTACCCCTTCCACGTGCATACTCACTCTCTCTCTCGCTCTATCTCAAACACTCTTTCTCGTGCATTGTGCGAGCTCTGGCGCAAGAGAGAGAGATAGAACACCTGAGGCAGAGAGAGAGAGAGAGAGAAACATAAAATACAGGGGATAAACGAAGCGCAAGAACTAATACTAAAACATATGTACCTATTGGTTGGGGTCCCCGTCTTTTTTTCCATGTTTTCCCATGTCTCAAATGGGGAGCTCGCGGAGAGATCCCCACTCCCCGCATTAGCCACAAATCAGTTCGTCCCTTTTGCGAAAAGCGATACCAAGAGGGATAGAGAATGCGGCAGTCCGGAGGCCGGATCTGGGCGGTTCAGAAAATCCTGAATGAAGATTGAAGCGACATTCTGTTTTATGATATAGCCCAACTAACGAAGCTTTTGGCTTACAGCCCCCACAATTATAGTAAAAAGCGACATACATAAAACCATTTGAAATTTATTGGCAAAGTTATGTAAACGACAAAGGCAAACACCAACGAGGTTCGATGATAGCCTGGCTTGGGTTGGGGTTTGGGCTTGGGATGGGGACTGAGGACTGGGTAAATCACTTTCGTGGATCGATCTTAAGTAATCGGTATACGAGTATGTACTTTACTTGCGCACGGCAATATTGATTCGTGGTTAGTTTTGGCTTAAGCAAAAATCATTTAATTTAATGTACGTCAAATATAAAATACAACATACATACCGTACTTATTCGTATAATACTAGAATTATTTAATTAAATATGTAATCAATAAATATACTAGCGTGAGTGTGTGTGTTCGTGTGTGTTTATGATTGATAGATTGTGTATATTTTTGTGTATATTGTTTATATTTGGAAACTTACAGATCGCATTAGCTTCTAATACAATTGGAAACGTTTAAATGCTTTAGGGCTGGTTTTGCTTTTACTTTTACTTTTACTTTTACCTTTGCTTTTGCTTTTGGTTTTCTCTTACTAAACTATGACAACGTGTTCAAATACGTGTTACATTTTTGTATCTGTATAATATGGTTATGTATCTGCATCTGTATCGGAATCTACATATATTATTGGTAATTGCGTGAGTGCATATTCTGTCAGTTTGAATAAAACATGCATATGCTTTCACAGTTGTTGTTGTTGTTGTTGTTGTTGTGTGTTGTTTCTGAAACAAATACATTAAATGCATTGAATATATATCTCTGCTCCTCTAAATTAAAATGGCAGCTTTCATTTTAGTTCATATTTTGTTTTTCTAGCTTTTGATTTCCCGGAAGTGTAATCGGTTATAATCGGTTGATACGTGTTTGGGCACTGTACCTCTTGCCGACCTGTCAGTGTGCATAATACAATTATGAGATTCCTTAAAACGTACTGCCAGCCTCGCAGCCAGGCAGACTCAAATCAGACAAGCCCATCAGATCTCATGCCTGCTGCTCAGCCCTCGTGCAGAGTAAGGGGAGATTAAATGCTCCGACTGTGACAATCATCATCGAATTCGGCTAACTCCCTCCTTATTTGGCCTTATAATCTTCGAACACTACTATTCTAAACGCTTCTCATTTTGCCTCGGCCCTCTGTCTCCGTCTCTGTCTCTGTCTCGTCTCTGCCAACTCTGCCGATTATAATCGTTTGGTTTGCTCAATGGCAGATCTCTCTTCAGGTCGGGCGGGGCCAAAACTATAACACATGTGATGCTAAATACGATAATTCTTAATCAAATTATATAATTTCACTTATTTTTTGTTTCAGATTTTTAACTAAATATACAGTCTCAGTAACGGGGATGGGGGAAGGAAAAATCGAAGAGGGACTTCAAATCCAAAAAAAAAAGTAACCTTCCATGTCGCCGCCACTCCTCTAAAGCTGTCCCGACCAACTGTGGATTCACACCATGTGGCGCCTTGTGTCTTCTTCTCTTTCCAGCCGCTCTCACGCCTAGTCCTGTTCGGAGGCGCCCGGATAGTAGTAGGGCGGTGGGCGTTCGTATTCAGAGGATGGAGGCGCAGCTGGTGGATTGTGGTAGCGGGGTGGCTCGTGGTCCCAATGCCTGAGGATTGCATAAAACATTTAATTAAAATGCGGCAAGCTCTACGAATGTCTATGGGCCATCATTGAAAAGGAATATTAAATACGCAAATGTAAATGTAAATGGCGACGACTCACGCACAGCAGCGATTCAGGGGAGTCAGGGAGTTAGTCATACTGTTACCCCTACACGGGGCTTCAACAGATGGGTATGGGGCAACAAAGCGGTGATAGCGGATGTGGGCACCGATACCGAGTCCGGCCAGTGCTTTAGACCTTGGAACAACAATCCGGATAGCGTTAGGATAAGCGGTGAAGCGGTGGTCTCTGAAGATGTCCGACAGAGTACAAGGAAAGGTTACAACAACGAAAGAGCCCCGTGGTTACATACAGGTGGTATCCCCCAATAGACTGGACATTTGCTGTATTTCTGTACGAAGTATTAGCCCCGACTCGAACCATGAATGAAATTAAAAAGTTAGTAGGGTGAAGAAGAAACAATATCTTAAAATGAATCATTAAAAACGTATAACAAGCAGGGTGCCAGGGAACTGAAGTCCGTCCAGTCCATTCACACACAGACACAGAGACGCACTCAAAGCGAGTCCGCCCAGAACGAACATTGAGTGAATGTTGGATTACCGCACATTACCAAAAAGAAACCGAACCGATCGTCCCTAAAAGAAGCCATCTGCCACCAATGCCTTTGGCCGCGTATCTTTAGCCACAATTTTGGCGCTAAATTAAACAAAAAAATTCCAAATTAGCGATAAGTCAGCGAGTTTAACCATCTGTTGTTGTGGATCGGGCTAATCGCGTTATTTGGCAATGTTACGAGATGATGATAGGGATCTGTGTGAACTTTGAGAGGCACCAACACCAGCACCTAGCTGCTGGACACTTACGTGGGGGCCATATCGTTGTACCTCATGCTACTGCTGCCAGGAGCTCCATCCCCGCCAGCGCCACCGCCACCGCCACCACCACCGGAGCGAGTGGCACGCGACACACTGGGCGATGCGTCCTCATAGTATTCCTGCTGCTCGCGACGTCGTTCGTAGGCCTTGCGCCGTTTCTTTGGCACACTACAATGGAAGACACAAGAGGTAGAGCATTAATTAAATTGATCAACTGAACACCAAAAGCACACAAAATAATGATCTCTTACTTAGCCAATGGAACGTGTTCGCGCTCGCGCTCACTATAAGCGTCGTATAGGCGTTCGCTGCTGCGTGCGGGATGGATGAGGCGGAGTTAGCAGTGAAATGAGAAGAGTGTGAGAGAGATTTCGGTTAATGTGCAGGCGCTGGCAATTTTCACGGCATGCATCCGATAAAAATGGTAACGGGTACAAATGAGAACGGTTATGTTTAGTAAAATATACAATTTGTGAGTAGATGTCGATCCTTCCCCGAAACATATTGTTAATCTTGCTAATCTTGCTAATCTTGCTTGTGTTTATTCATCTCCAGCGGAGAGACTTGGCCATCAAATACGGGATCTTCATCGGCGGGACCCGCACCGCCTGAAGGACGTCCCTGTTCTTTGCCGGGGCACGCGCAATAGGCCTGCTGCCCACCGGCACAGGTTTGTTGCACATAGGGCAATCCCGTACATACGGGACAGCTTTGGGGGCGGTGAATTAGCAGAGACTGAAATTGGAGCTAAGAATAAAGTCGACATACCCGCCCTCGTAAACGACGTCCACATGGCTAGCGACAGAAGCCATATATGGATAGACCTTCTTGTACAGGCACATCAGACGGTGAGAGACATACAGTATGGGCAGGAAGAGCAGGGCGCAGAGCAGCACGCCCACCCAGTATCCGTTCTAAGAGAGAGGGAGAGAGAGAGGGAGAGGGAGAGAGAACACAAAAAGGTTAGAGCATGGTGGATCAAACCAAAACACAAGACATCTGCACTCACTATGGGATCGACCATGCTGCGACAAACCAAGTCAACGCCTTGATGATAAATGTAGGCAAGGGGCTCACAGCGGCCGACATTCTCATTCGACTCGTCGATGACCATGGAGATGTACTCGTCGATCATGTTCGAAATGGTGCTGGTGAGGTTCTTACCCAGCTCATTGATATATCTAGTGCCCTTGGTCTGAATGAAAGTTTGTGATTCTCTCACGGCCTTCAGCAGCAGTCTTATGCTGTTGTTAAAGTCGCGATTCTCGTATAAGATCAGCTCGTCGATACGCTTCATGTTGCTCTTCATCTTCTCGACAATGGTCGTTAGCTTGGGTATAAAGTTCTGATAGTACGACTTGGCGTTGAGGCCCTCATTCCAGAAGGAAACTCGGGCCCAGCCAAACGTCGGTGACTCCAAGCTGTTCGACAACGCGTACATTTTCTCGCCAAGTGCGTTCAGATTGACCGGCGTGAACTCACTGCATAGATCCTTAAAGAGTTCGCTGTGGTAATCGGCCGCACCGCCTTGACGCATTGCTTCAAGTTTTCCAAACTCTTCCTGTGTTAGGAGCTCAGTTTTAGACATATCCTCGTCGAATATTTTGGTGCTATCTGAATCCTCCTCGGACGACATCACCTTGATGCGCTTTAGTTCGTTGATGTCGTACAGTCTGTTTGCTCGCAGCATATCGAATACCGACTGATTGGCCTCGCACATCTTGAGCGCATTCGACATGCGCAGGGGTGGGGCTGCCTTCAGAGGTTCTGCATCGTCGGCGCGCGGCAGATACCGATTCAGATCGACCATAGAGTCCAGTTGCCTGAACAACGCGTTCTTATTCACATCTCGGAGTGGGGCACAGGCTCCCTGGTAAGTGACTAGACCGATCATGAAGTAGACCAGTCCCATAAGCGTGATGAACGAGATCATACAGAATATCAATAAAATGGCCCTGAAAAATAAAGTCAAACTCCACAATTAGTCCACCATCAGGCCCCAGATCCGATCCAATCTCCACTTACAGAAATAGGCAGTTGGCAGCCGTTGCCTTGCTGCAGCAGTCATCGCGATAGCCAGTCTTCCGTCTACCGAAGCAGCCGCAAAGCAAAGATACAATCAAGATGCCAAGAATCTAGTGGAGTAGATGGAATGGAGGGGTTACCAAACTATGGACTGCACTGAACAGACGGCGATAGTGCCTCACCATTATCATGAGCAGGCACACAATGACGCTGATAACGCTGCGATTGTTGCCAAACTTATCGTACACATCATCAAAGGACCGGGACGAGCGTGAGGTCTTCAGGTGAATCTGACTGAGCACTGCATCCACTTGGTTGCGTATTCTCCTCGCGTGCGAGCGGAACGTGTCCCTGCCGCCGTTTAGGTCCCGAATCATGCTCGGTGTAACAGAGTTCAGCTGCTCCTTAACCTTCAGGCTGACATTCTCCATGCGGGTGAGTCCGTCCGTGGGTATTTTGATATAGTTCTCCTTAACCACAATGTTCAAGCCTTCCAGATATAGCGTGGCATTGGGAATCTGAAATTTCAGTTGCTTATTATTCGCATACGATTTGTCTGACTGACAATGTCTGAATGTCTGACCGTATCAAAGTGCAGGCACTTGGAGGTGTCTATCAACTCAATGCTGCTGGAGCTTAGGAAGGTCTGGCATTCCTGAGTGGTGCACAGATTGGCCACCGCAAAGTTGATATCCCGCTTCATGCCACGAAGACCTGCCAAGACGATGAACATACATATCTGTTACAGCTGTGGGAAATTTCACTCCTCACCGTCTCGCAGTTGGGCGCCATAGAACCGCAAGTCCGTTTCCATTTTGGCGACTTGTTCCATCAGCAGTCTCGCCTCCGGCATGTTGTGCAATATCCGCTCCAGCTCACCCAAAGAGGTGCTCTCCGATGTATCCGCCAAGTCCAAAAATATATGCTTGTGGGCACCTGAATAGAAAGGTCAGTGATTAGATTGCAAGTAGAAGAAGCCGCACACAGGTGCAAAGCAGATCCGTACTGCTTAGCTCATCGGAAATGTGCGTCTGCATTTCCTCGTAGTTGTACACCATCAGGTGGTGAACGTGATCGGCCACATCCTTCAGGAACAGGCAAATGTCATCGCTGCCGCGCTTCATTGTCACGGTGGCCTGATCGAAGCCCCTGTCCAGCAGCCTGTTTGTCACGAAGGCAATTACAATGCCAAAGCTGTGGAACGCAGACCAATTGCCATACATTTAGTACATACACAGATAAATATACATATACATATACATATCTAATCACTCACATCAGTCCCACTATTAGGATGAGAAGACAAACGCCGCACCACAGCCGTCGTTGGGCATCCTGCTTGCTGGTGCATGGGGGACAGCCCTGACGGCACCGGCGGCAGCAGCAAAGGCAGCAATAGCAGACGCTGTAGTAGTCGAGTAGTGGAGAGATATATGGAGACATGGAGACATCTATATACATATATTGCATATTACTTACGCTACGAACGGCATGACCACAATGATGACGCAGAGGAACAGAATGAAGAGGAGAACCAACCAATAGCGGGCTATAAGATCTCGAAAGTCGGCATTGTGGAACTTGGGACCAAGCGCCAGGGAGTCGCCCTGCATCACAATGTACCCTGGCGGAGACAACAGAGATCAATTGGACTTCGATTGGCAGGAGAGAACGTGCACTTTACTCACCCGGTGGCAGGGCCGGCTCATCGGAGATTATGCTGTCGTATAGCTTGTGCGTGAAGTTGAAAATCGGATTCATTGCAGTCGTCGGGGCTGTGGGCGGGCGTGTATAGTTCACGGTAGGCTTGTAGGGGGTGTAGTCAACCGGTGCCCAATGCAGCTCCCCCATCTGCTCGTGGGTGGTGCCGTGCCCCGCGTAGCCCGCTCGCCATTCCACCTGGGGATTGTTGTCGTCACCTTTCTTTTCCGTCCTCTCGTTCGAGGCGTCAGCGTCAAGTTCAGCGTCTGCGTCGGCGGCGGCTGCTGGTCGTATCAGCGTGGCCAGCGCGAGTCCGAACACTGCCACGCTCAGGCTGCATATGGCCAGGTAGGCGATCTGCCGCTTCCGGCGCTGTCGGCGCTTGCGACACCTCGGCGCCTTTGGCTTGGCCGTCGCCGGTGGCTCTGGCTCATTGGCTTGGCTCATTGCTCTCTCGGGAGTTGTCTCCGTACAAATAAATTCGCTCGTCCTCTGGTCTGGTCTGCTCTGGACTGGTCTGCTCCTTGACTCTCAATATGCGATTTATGCGAGTTATGCGATGATCGTATTCCTTACGACGTGCTGCCGCGCACCCATTTCACGCCTTCACTGGCCTGGAGATGGAAATCGAGTCGGAAATGGAAGTGGAAATTGAAATGGAAATGGAAACGGAATGTGAGTGAGTATTCAGAAATGGAGCTTCAGATAGAGGCCAGGGCACACCCCCTAATGTGCCATTGGCATGTGCTATTCCAATAATAAATGCGAATCAAAGGCAATAAAATAGTAAACATTTGCTTCTTGCTGTCAGGAAAATGGGAGCACCCTTTAAACCCGTAGCCCGTAACCCGTAACCCCTTCCCCTTTAAGTCTGCTTAAGAAATGAGCGGTTATAGAAACAGAAACAGAACAGGAACAGACACAGATATACCCACTTGACATCAATTAAGGCCAATGAGTGAAAACGAGAAGATGAAAATGGATTAGGGCATGCATTGCATTCCCTCCATGCGGCCGAGAGACGACACAAAGGACTGGCTCTGGGCTCTGACTAGATCATATCGTCTACGGCTTGTATAAGCCCTCCTACGTGGCAAAATTGGGCGGGCACTACCAAATATGCAACGACGTAAACACCGATGGCGAAAAAGAATGCAAAAAAGAACACACACAGCACAGCACAAAAAAGCGTACATGCCCCGGGTGAGGCTCGAACTCACGACCTTAAGATTATGAGACTTACGCGCTGCCAACTGCGCCACCGAGGCTATGTGCGCTCGGGCGACAGGCACGCACTTGTGCTTCTGCCCCGGCGAGACGTTCTTTTCGTAAGTCGATTGTGTGCGAGGCAAGGATCGTGTATACGATGACCCAGAATGGACTTTCTGTGAGTCCACGGGCATAAATCCCCCCAAAATCCTCACCTTGCTGAACGTGATTCGTTTACTAGTTTGAATAGTTCCAATATTCATCAGAATATTTAGACACTAAATCCAAGGTAAATGTTCATGTTTTAGTCAAGATATGAAGTTACTGAGGATCTGCTGTAAAGCCAAGAGGCCACCCATTCCCCTGTCTGCACAGCTCTTCGTGATCGTCACTCGAGAATTGGATACTCCTTTCGTTGGCTACGGACAAGAAGGCCGTTAATTCACAGTCCGACTGGCAGGAAGGGCGGGCCGGCGGGCGGGCGGTCAGGCAGACGCTAGAGTCATGGCCTGCCATAGACAGACAAAGAAAGCGAAAAGTTTAATGAACTTTGTGTCCGCTGGTCAGGGCAGGGGCAGTGCCGCCACGGCCTCTCACATTGTGCCACAAACTACACAGAATGTGTCGCAACAGAAGTCGACACACACACACACAGACACACACGCACACAGAGACAAACATGAAGGGCACTGCATTTTCCGCCCATCCGAACTATCTTGAGTTGGTTTTTTTTCTCCTTTTTCAGTATATTGCTATCGTTGGATTAGTTTCGGTGTCGCCCCTGGCGTTCGCTAATGGCTGTTTACGTACAGAAAGAAGAAAAAAAAGATAATTCCGTGTGACTGCACTTGTTAACAGGGCTTTAATGGCCTGTGTCCAAACAGTGCAGGTCGCGACTCTGCTTTTGATTGCGGACACGCCGCGTGTCCTGGTTTGGAGAAGACTAAGCGGAGGGCTGGATAGCACTGCGATGCTTTGTTGAAGGAGGACGCCTGCGAGGCCGCTGCCGCTGCTGCTGCTGCTGCTCCTGCTGCTGTGCAGGAAATTCTGTATACTGCCACTGGACCAGCCACTGAACGGCCTTGACATGAGCGGGTGGGCCAGACCAGGAGCCGCGATGGAAGAGCCACAACGCGAACGCACTGCTCGCTGCTCGCTGCTCGCTTCTGTTGCTCCGGACCCGACTCGGTGCCAATGAGCAAAACGTGAGCACAGCACAAGCCCTGGCCCATCGAAACGAAAAACACAAAACAAACTCCCAGCCTCTGGACGGCACATGCGCAGTCCGCCGCTGCAAGGATGCCGCACAGTGGGCGGGCTAGGATAGGCTACCGGGTGGCAAGGACAAACAGAGGGTGCTCTCTAGTCTGGATTGGGCTGAACAAACATTCACATATGTACACGTACACGTACACGTATTTCCCCCACACAGCAGTTGCCAGGGAACCCGAGATGGATCTTGCCGACTGACAGCTGCAACGGCGAGTATCACAATGCCAGTGCCGGTGCCAGTACCGGTGCCAGTGCCAGTGCCAGTCCCCTCTCGTCGCGATTCAAACAAACAACTAGTATAAATAATAATCATAAAATTTCCCTTTTGGGTAACGCGAGTCAACAGATCCATTTCTGGAAATTGAATCGGTTCGTTTGTTTCGTTTCTTGTGGCGAAATCTGACAGATTTTGTTTTTCAAACAGGAGAAAGCTTTGCAGTCCCAGCTACGAAGTGGAAAGACTCCCCACGAGCCCCATAAAACGAAGATCATTTATTGGCCGTGGGATATAGAACATCGTTTTTCCTCAAAGCCTCTCTGGAAAGCCAACTAAGTTGCTTGTTAAGAACATATGAAGTGAATCATGGGGGAATCATGTGGGGTGATAAAGTAAAAAAAAACACATGGTTCTAAGCCTACACTAATCCTATCTTAAAGCACGTTAACTGCCTTAGAATATTCTGTACCGATTCGCAGATTCTTCCAAGCCAAAGTCGACTTCGGCTTCTATCGAATTGCCTGAGAAAACCTGGGGAACCGCCTGGATCCCCTGGATCTAATACCTGGAGTATTCCCCTTGATCCGAGATTTATTCTTAGGCAATAAAAAAAGGGAATGCCGGCCAATGCTAAAACAAAATTCACACCATGTGCATGACGCAGCTCATCGCTGTTTCCCATAAGCGAAAGGCTGACGACTATATGCGTAAAAGATAGACACAAGATTAAGATACATATGTATATACATATGCCGCCAACAGTTATACAAATAAATCCCACAATGAAGGTTAAAGTAATAGAGCACCGTTTATCTAGAACAGGTAGAACTCGTCATAGCCCACGCCAGAAAAGAAGATAGATCTGTTTACGGTGAATTAGCAGTCGTACTCACGTTACCGTAAGACCGTAAGAGAGCACCTGTAAGATCCACCTGATCTGCTTCCGAAAAACTATCACGATGCACTTTTAGGGATTTAGAGGGAGGGGGATTTTCGCCAGCCCAGAGAACGTACCCTTGCAAAAATATATTTGGGGCAAGCGAGAGCAGCCCACAGAGCGGAGACCACAGACCACAGACCGACTCCAAGTTAAGATGTGGCGAATGAACAGGTTGGCGGCTCTGCTGCCGCCAGAAACCCGTTTGGCCGCTCGTGTGACTCACTCGCACTCCGATAAAGCCGCAGAAATGGGCTAATCACACAGACAGACGGCAGAGTAAACTTCGTTGGATGAAAAATTGGACACATGTACCAGTAAAACGAATCCAAACAAAGGAAGTCGAATAATGCGGCTTAATTTAGCAGAGACACACACACACACGCACACACACACGGGGGGAGAAATGGGTAGAAAGAGAACTGCCTGCGCGTGTACGATCCAGAACTCAGCGGCGGAACGGAAGACCCGAAAGACATGGACACCAAGAAGTTGTCTATCTACTACTACATGAGTACACGTGTGTGTGTGTGTGTGTATGATATGGCAGGGAATCACAGTACAAGTATTGTGGCACGGCATCTCAATTTCAGCTCAGGTTTCTTTCTGCAGATTACTTCTGCAATGTTTTGTCTGGTTACCACACCTCTGGCGATAGATACCTTCTGGGCCTGGCCGGGCCTGGCCTTGTGCGGTCAAACCGTGCCACATCCGGGGGTTTTCCTTTGAAGACAATTTGGGGTTCATGCTACAACGATATTTCCACATCGACTTCAGCTCAATGGGGCACACTGTAATTTTTGTTCTGGTTTTTTTTTCTTTTTTTAATTTAGAGTCGGCCTCTGAAGCCAATGTGGCACGCATGAGGGAGAGGACCGGGAGACGTGTGGGGCAGGCAAGCGATTCGGAAGCACAGAAACCCAAACACGCCAATCGCTATAAATACACATGCACATGGGCCACCGCTGCCACCGGCTCTAGCATGCCCATGTAGACATGTACATATATATATGTACCTGCCACGGGCCAGGGGCCAGGTCAGGGATGGTACTACTACAGGCACACGCATACACATGCTACCGACTCACACACACATACATATGTACACCATGGAGAGAGTGTATCTACGGCTGCTGCGGAAGCGCATACGGATACACACATTATTTTTGTGTGCTCTTTTTGGTTAACGCCGAGTGGATCCCCAGCCCCCCCTGCCCCTCCAAGGAGGTTGGCCCAGAGCAATTAGTGCAGGGCTATAAATTAATTAAGTGTGTTCTCCCATCCAGTGGGTGCGATATGAATATGAAATGGTGGGAGCCCGTGCAGCAACCACGGTCTGGCCAATCAAATAATTCCACAAATTGAAATAAACAAGCTAAATCTAAGGCCGGGACGGACGGCACACACTCACCAAGCAAGCGACAGCAAGCTGCTGCGTTCCGGAGATTAAGCCAATTAAGAGATAGCTCTTTCGGGCGATGGCGATGGCGACGGCGATGATGATGCGTGATGCGTGCTCCCGTCTCCCGCTCCGACTCCGGCTCTTGCACGCACAAACGATCTACGAGAATATTCCGTTTAGGCGTCAGGGGCCCACGTTGACGGCTGACGAACGGCTAGTTCTCGGGCTAGCCCAGAAAGTCCTTGTGCTGCAGAGGTAACCAGAGAGTAGCAGTATGAGTAAACCGATCGCAAACAGCCTCCCGATGGAACGGAATCGCCAAGGAAACACACCCACGTTAGTGCGAAATAGAAACAATAAATTTAGACAACTTAAACGTTAGCAATTTAACAATGGATTGCAATTTGGCACATGCGTCGTTGCGCCACTCTTAAAAAAATACAAAAGTACACTTGATTTGTATTTGCGTGTTATATTCTAATAAAGTCTGAACTAATAAATGAAGAATTTGTAACAGTTAAATCAAAACCAACACAACCACAAAAATTCAAAAAAATACTTGTCGGTCCCCACCCGACCTCCTGAGTGCAGCAAACCCAACCATCTCTGTACAGCTTCCAATGGCTCTCTTTTACTGCCCTAATTGGAGTTCGAGTTCGAATCGAATCAGGAGCTTACAGCCTCACTTTAACAAAGTCACAAAGTACTTATGTACGGAATACATCTATGCATAGATTATTCAAATCTTATGCACTACACATGTATGTGTGTGTATATCAATGCACTTTGAGTCTCTTTTTCTGCAGAGCAACTGCAGCGCCGCGCACCCCGCCCATCACTTGCTTACTTCCACTTCCACGGCTGCTTTTTTCAAGCATAGCGTTTTTTTCTCCGTTTCCGTTCACACACACACACAATGTCCGATTTTTCGACTCAGTGCCATTTCTGTTTATGTTTCGTGCACAAAAGTTTAATTTAATTCATTAATTAGCCGAGCGTTTATTAATTTTTCACCTTTTTAATTTTACTGGTGCATTTTTCCACTAAAATTTCTACACATTTCTACATATTTGCTACATAATGGAAGGAAAAAAGGAGGGTATGGACAACAAGAAAAACGGCCCAGAAAGCCACCCCATTTGCACAATATACCTTCTCGATTTTGTTTTCAAGGTATGTTGTCGTCACACGCGAGGTGAGGTTCGTACGAACCTCGCAATTTGCTTTGTCTGTTTTTGCCTGTTGCCCATACCAAAATTCAAAATTACGACTCATTTTTCGTTGCAGGCGAGAGCAGCAGTGTGGCCGTCTAACCCTCGGAAACATACCGAAATATACCGTCTCATTTTCAATATATGCCGATGAAATGCCGATACCGATGAAAACGAAAAGAAACGAAAATATTACTGATTGTAAATTCTTCTAGCAGATCTTTGCTATGAACTTAAAAAGAACCACGATATCTTTCATCAGAACTGCGCTTAAATTATTAAATTTTCATTATTTTCGGTGGAATATTAATATACCCCGATTGTCTACAATGGGTTAATCGTATATTCCTCGATTTTGATATTCGGCTTAATATTACAAGCTAGGACTTCCATTCCGGGATGATATTCGTATGGAAACGAAAAATGCATGCCGTATTTTATTCGACAAAAATTGTAATAGCAGGTGTCTTGCAGATAGTACTCAGATCCGAAAAAAATATATCGACTAATAAGATAAAAAATTAACGGACCATTATTTTTCTTTATTTAGGATCATTTTTTCCTTTATTGTATTAATAGATCATTGTTTATACTAATCACTACATTTATTGCCGTCACTATCATTTTCCTTGGCATTTTGGAAACATCAGACTACATCAAACGCGTAAAAGTTCACGCCAAAGCACTATGGAGGATTTAAGATCCTTTAATTAGCTCGCTGACAAAACTGATTAGCGTTTTGCAAAAAAAGTATATGAAATTAGATTTGGAGGTAAAGAATTTAGTTGTATGTCGACAGTAAGGACTCAACAGTTTCCAGTCCTGTGTATACAGGATCAGAGTAATTATTAGTTATTTCTAAGACAAAGTGTTTTTTTTTTAACTTTAATTTTTTGATATATTTTTTCTATTTAATACAATAAAGAAACCATATTAAAAATATTTAATTTTTAATTTTTTATCTGACCTTTTTAATTTTTTTTTATTTCTGTCTCTTCCTTTGAATTATTACACGAACATTAGCCGTTCTATCTCTCTCCTTTTCGCCAGAACTCGCACACTGCACGAAAAAGAGTGTGTGGGATAGAGCAAGAGAGAGAGAGAATGAGTAAGGACGGGGAAGGGTAGCTACACAGCCACTTTTACCACAAATCTAATATACCGGATATAACGGCCACGATATCTTTCACCTGCGATAAAACTATTCAAATTTCATCCTTTTTAGTATAGTGTATTTTAATACCGACTGGTTTACCAGAGGTAATTCGTTATTTGTCCCTGATTGGAAATCGTATTCCTCGATTTTGATATTCGGTTGAATATTACTAGCCCTCAGACCCTCACCTCAAATACCCTCAAATTATTCTCAAAAACCTCCTGGCAAATACTCGTACAAACAACTGGAAACTGAAATTTGAGCCAATTGATGAAAACCTTCTTCTACATTCTTAATTTTTGTATTTTTTTTTATATTTTTTTATTAAATATATTTATATTTATTGTATACATATGTGATGTTTCTTAATTAATATTACAATTCTGTTTTCCAAACTGCTTTGCTAATAATGTATTTTTTACAGATTGACATTTATGCTGTTTTCTGTATATATATATATATATATATATATGTATATGTTTCTCGATCCTAATCCTTCTTATGCTTGCTCGGGGCCGGTGCCTCGCTTATAACCATCATCTCAGCGACTGGTCCGGGCATTGGTGCAGTCTGCTCTGGAGCAGCGCCCCCCCTGCCCCTGCCGCGCTTTGACTTTTTGGCCCCTTTACAAATCGGACACTGGCAAGCCGGATCGTGGTCGCGGCCGCAGGATTCCGTGGGGGCCTTATGCTTTATACCTCTACACGGCGCGCACCGGCAATCCGGATCGTGCTTGTTGCCGCACTTAGGCGGTATGATTGGCACGTACGGGTCACCTGTGCAAGTAGGACACCTGTTGGGAGAGTAAGGGACGGGGTAGTTAGGAAATTCTAAAAATTATTGTTGTTGGAGTCTCACCTTCCCGTGACGGAACCTACAGCAGCGACCGTAGGAGCCGGATAGATTTTGAGGTACAAACACATCAGACGATGGCATACAACGAGTGTAGGCAGGAGGAGTATGGAGCAGAGAAGCAAACCCAACCAGAATCCGTTCTGAAAAGGGATATGTTAAAGCACAAGCACAATATTTCAGGTGCCGCAGTCTGTACTCACTATGGGATCCACTAGACGGGAACAAACGAAGTAAACGCCTTCATAGTAAATGTAGGCGAGGGGCTGACACAGGCCCACTTTATTGTTTGCCTCCGTAATCACCATATTGATGTACTCCTCCACCTGTTCGTTGATGGCACTGGTGAGATTATAGCCCAGATTGTTGACGTACTCCGCGCCGCGCTTTCTGACAAAATTCTCGGCGTTAATTACCGCCGTGAGCAGTATTTCAATGGAGTTGCCAAAGTCATGGTTCAGGTAAAGAATGAGTGTATCGATCTCCTTCACAACTTTCAGAGCCTTCTTTATGCCACGTTGCACTGGCAGATAGAAGGTTTTGTGGTAGGCCAATGCACTGTATTTGTGCAGAATACTGTGAACTCGACCATCTATTTTTAGGACTGCTTCATCCGTTGCCAAGTCTTCCAATAACACATTGGCCAAGACCTCCAAATCGTTGTTCGATAGTTTCAAGCAAAGGTTCTGATCGTATAGCATGCTGTGATAGGTCGAGAGGTTGCTGTTGCGCACCTTATTAAGTAGGATCTTTTCGCTTTCCGTCAAAATTTCAAGCTTCGTCAAATCCTCGGTGAAGACGGGTGCTTCTTCTGGGATATCGGGCAGCAGAATGATGTTGGCCAAGTCGTTTATGTCGTAGATATTATTCGTACGCAGCAGCTGGAATATGGACTCATTTGCACGGCAGGACCTGACTGCCTCTGACATATGAAGTGGTGGCATCACCCACTCATCGCCCGGATTCGTTGGCCTTAGGTAGCGATTCATATCGATGACGGCATCCAATTGGCGGAAAAGTTCATACTTCTCATCTTGTGTTGTCGGTGCACAGGCCCCCTCGTAAGTAACCAGCCCGATCATGAAGTAGAACACTCCGACCATCGTGATGAACGAGAACACACAAAATATCAGGATTATAGCTCTGTAATATGATGACGAGTGAATATGATGACAATGTTTAGACACCTACGGATAGTCGCACTCACATCAGCAGGCATGAGGCGGCCATGCCCTTGCTGCAAAATCCACTTGGTCCAGGATGAGTCCGACTATAACCGCCGACGCCGCATACCAAGGACGTAAACAGGAAAACTATTATCTACGGCGATACAAGCATTTTAATACCGATAGCATTTTTCGCTTTGATTAGGCATACAACTATTCAGAAAGGCCACTAGTACACTAGTACTAGTACCTAAGGATCTACTATACTTTACGATATTCTCCCATAAAGACTAATGTGGAAAAACCAAGCTTTTAAGAAGACAGAACAAATCTATACTCGAAAAAACATCCGGTCCTTCTAAAGCCGCAGCTCAACCCACACAAAACCCATACGAGCTTAAACAATTCCGACTTACTATGAAGATTAATGTGATACATATGATATTAATAGTCCTTCGGTCCGTTCCAAACTTTTCATAGACGTCGTCGAATGTCTTTGTGGATCGCATGGTGTTCAAGTGAATATCGCTGATTATTGCATCAATCATGTTGCGTATTTTTAAGGCGCGATCATCGAAGATCGAGTGACCTGTGGCGATAGTTCGCTTAAGCGGCGGACCAACGAGTTCCATCTGCTCCTTGATCTTTTCTCGAACTTTATTGAATCGGACCAAGGCCAACTTCGGTATTAGGTTGTATCTCTTCTTAATAATCATCTCCACGGCTTCCACATAGACTGTGGTATTTGGAAGCTAGAAGTTACACAAGAAACTGATATGACAGAAACTGATAGATGGCGTGAGATGAAAACAAAATAAATACCTCGTCCAAGTGCAGGCACGTTGACGTATCCATATACAAAACGCTTTTTTCCGCCATGGTTTTGTAACAACGCTCCTTGGTATTGCCGCAGTAATGGGTTACCGTGTAGGTCATATCTCTTTTGAGGCCTCGTATTGCTGAAAAAAAAGAGAGACAGGGTAAAAAAGCTAGAAGATCTCATGGCATGGCACACGTATTGTCCTAGTTACAGTCTCTCAGGTTGGACATATAGAAGCGTAACTCCTTCTCCAGATATTCCAATTGCTTCATCTTGGGGTGAGCCAGAGGCATACTGTCCAGTATTCGCTCTAGTTCAATCAAAGCATTGCTATCGGAGGCATCCGCCAGGTCCAGGAAGATGTGATTATGCGCGTCTACAAAAAACGAAGGTACTCGGGCATATTTTAGCTGATTTCAATTTCCCGATTAGAGCCTACCGTTTATCTGTTCGATGAGGTGCATCTCCAGCTCCTGAAAGTTGAACACTAACAGATGGTGGATGTGGTCAGCGACATTCCTCAAAAATGTACAAGTGTCCTCGCTGCTACGTCGCATTGTCACCATGGACTCCTGCAATCCGCGATGCAAGAACTTGTTCGTCACAAACGCAATGAGAAGGCCAAATCTGTGAACACGGAAACGACGTTAATTGGACTGCCAATGCTGATGACGCTACCCAGACTCACATCAAGCCAATGATCAGCAGGAAGAGGCATATGCCGCAGCACATGCGCCGCCTGCGGTCCGTGGCCGCCATGCACCTGATACAGCCCTGCTTGCACCGTAGACAGCAGCAGAAGCAGCAGTAGCAAACACTGCGAGATATGGTTTGTGCCATTAGAAAATAACGCTCTGGGGGTAGCCCCACTTACGCAATGAATGGTATGACAATGATCGCGGCCAAAAGGAATATCACAAAGAAAAGCACCAGCCAGTACCGACTCATCAGCAGGGACCACTCGTTCCTCTCCACATTCTTGCCAAGTACCAGGACCTTCTCCTGCTGCACCATGATGTAGCCTGCAGATCGGAGGGCGAATTCGAGTCAACGTGTTGCTGATCGGCGCTCAGCGGAGCCAGGTCTTGGACACTCACCGGGGGGGAGAGCTGGTTCGTCGGTCATCACCGTGCCAAAGATAAAGTGTGTAAAATTGTAAATGGGATTAACAGCTTTTGTGGTCGATGACAAGTCCCGGGAATAGTTAAAGAACCCATTGAATTTGGTGTAGATAGGCTTAGGAAAGTGCACCTGTCCGACCTGCTCGTGCGTCGTACCGTGTCCCTCGTAGCCCGTGCGCCAAAAATCCGGCGGAACCCCCATATTTGGCAAACCATCTCCGCCTTCGCCTTCGCCTCCTTCTCCGTCTCCACCTGCAGCTGCAGTTGTTTGTCCATCCGTGGCGGCAATGAATGCCATAATGAGTAAGAAGAGCACGGCCAAGTGACGCCTCCGTTCTCTTCGCGAGATTTTTCTCTTGCCCCGAGGAAGATCCGACTGGTGATGGCATCCTCCACAGTCGCCTGCCGGACTTCTGCTGGAAGTCATCGTTCAACAGAAAATGCAGCCTAAATTTGGGTTCTGTGTAGATGTCTGCTTCTGAAGACTAATGTGTAGGTGTGTATGCTCGTTGTGTGTGGAGCGGAACATTAATTAATGTGTGCTTGTGTGTAAAGACAACTCAATAATCAAAATAACAGGTAGATCAAAGCTACAGTTGATCTACAGTGAACAGTCAGTCACAAAAGCATCTGTTGTGGGGATAAGAGGTATTCAAATGGTGTAAGCGCTTCATCAAACAGTTTCGTTTATTTTGGTTTCGTTTAAAACACTAAATTACATGTTAAATAATTTACAATCAAAATGTGGATATCGTTCTCTACATACATACTGTCGTCCTACCCGTCCTTACTCATTAGCAGCATTCAGAGCAGCATTCTACGTGCCGCATGCATGGGGTGGGGTGGAGGAGGACCTTACACTGTTCCTGCAGCACACTTTGAAAAATATATAACTTTGATTTTCTAAAGTACTGTACATACACACGCACATTCCACACTTGGGATTGGTTTGGTTTGTTTTGGTTTAGATTGGATTGGATTGGAGTGGTTTGGAGTGGTTTGGGGACTGACTATCCGTATGCCTCAAGCATCATTGCAACATTTATTTTTCATACTGGCTTTATCAAAATAAAAAAAAACTACAGTGTTCTCGCACGCTAATATTATGATTTGTGTCCAGTGCCCTCCTCTATACATTTATCTCATTTTTTGTTTTGTTTTGTTCTGTCGAGGCACACGTGTCTCGACATCAAGATACCCCGGTGCTCAGTTCCTATATATGTATGTGTGTATGCATATTTATATATATATGTATACTAGTACAATATTATTCCATTTGCGACTGCTGGAACTCGGTTTTGTTTTGAGTTTACACTTTTTAGATCACTACAATTTGCAAAGTAAAGCTTAGTATTCAGTTTATTTGGATTTTACCTCTTTCTAATTGTGTTTCTTTTTTGTTACAACTAAAAATGGTACTAGGGCTATTTGGGTATTTCGTTTAGGCATTTGCTGAATGGTAGTGTTGAATTTTCGCATTTAGCAGAAGGTTTTACGAATTTACAATTAATTTGTTTATTATTTTGGCAGTTTTTGTTCATCTGCTGTGTGATGTGTGTAATTTAGTCCCCAGCCGAAAGGGGAACCCCAGCATTGAGCCACAAAACAAACGAAAAACTGAACTGAATCCTGAAAGCGGGTGTGATGGGTGGTGGGTGCTGAGTGCTGGGTGCAAGTGTAACTTTACTGACACTGATGGAGTATCGGCTAAGGTGAAAACTAACCGAAGACTTGAATGGAGTACCAGGCGGCAAGGCAATAGCAGCAGCATGATCAGCAGCATGGGCATCGACGCAGAGACTCTCTCTCTCTAGAAAACTTAGCCATGGATTGTGGGATTGTGGGACTAACTAAAGCCAAACTAGTTACAGCATTCGTTACAATTACAAAATCGGTTAAAGTTAATTCTTAAATATCTCTGCTTATACGTATGTTTTAGACACCAGCTGCGGTTGTTGCGGTTGTGTGTGTTGCTGTGGGTGTGGGCTGTGTGTGTGGATAGGACGACTACAGCTGCGCCAGCGAATCGGAGCGTATAAGCGGCGCCAGGGAGCTGGGAGCCTTGTGGCCAGATTCGATCTCGTACTGTACATCGAGCGAGGCACCTGCGAAAAGAAAAAAAGATTTAGGCCAAAACTCTCATCAATACGGTGTCCCGTTCCACAACGGCAGGCAAATTTATTATTCAATCGATATTTCGGGCGCGAGTCTTGCTGCTCTGGCTCATGGACTATCTAATGTGCTGCGACTCTTATGGATCTCGAGTTCTCCTTACGTTTCTTCTCCAATTGGGCATTCTGGCCCTCTGGAATGAACGATGCCACGATTATAGCACAGACGACGCACAGGGCGCCAAACAAAAATGGCGGTCCTGGCACATGATGCGATATCTTTTCCACATTCGTCTCGCGACTGCCACTGGCCATATGTAGATTGTCGCGTTCTTCATTCAGATTTACATTGAACAGATAGAAGAAAACGCCAAACACAGCTGGTCCCAAGCCATTGCACAGGCCCCTCATGCCCGTGATCATACCCTGAACAGCACCTAAATGGTGGATGGGGGATCAAGGATAAGTGTCATATACGAATCATCGAAAGAGGAAACCAAACTCACCCTGACTCTCGGGGGACGCATACAGCGATACGAATGCACTGATGGCGGGATAGGTGATGGAGGCCAAGGCAGCCACAACGCCTGCCGACCACATCATCCTGCGAAAATAATAATGGATACATTCACACAATGCCCCACATCAGCATTTGGCTCCTGGCTCTCCTGACCACTCACCACTTCTGACTGCCCAAGCCGTACCACAGCAGCTGTACGATTTCCAAGGCCAGGCCCACAATGATCGTTCGCTTGGCGCCAAACACTCTGAAGGACAGAAACAGATGACGATCAGGATTCAGAGAGATTCAATCTTCTGTGTGATTAGAATACGTACTTCATAAAGGATCCCAGGGTCACTTGCACTGTGATGCTCAGGATGCCAACGATGGCTATGAAGATGGACACCTCCGTATAGTTGAAGCCCATCTTTAGCTTCAGGTAGACAAACATGCAGGAATACTCCCCAGCCTCTGGTAGATAGGAGAGCAGCACAGTGAGGCACAGCATCAAAACGGTCTTGTCCGTGCCGACCTTTCGCAAAGCCTGAATCGTCAAAAATCAAAGAAAGCATATTAATTTCTGGAAATCTCCTCGTTCTCCTGGTTCTTCTGCTCACCTGAAATGGATCCGCCTGCTCCCAACTAATGGGAGCACCCCAAGAGGAGGGTCGCACCTTCTCCGAGAGGCTTTCCGGCACTGCCACCAGAATAAAGAACACGTCCAGCAGCGCTATGGCTGTGGATAGAGCAATAACAAGCGTTTCGCCATACGAGTCCATCAGGGCATTGCCCAACGCCGGCGAGATGACCAGACTAGCAGCAAAGGTGGCTGAGGCAAGGCCATAAGCCTTGGAACGTTCCTCCGGCGTGGTCACATCGGCCACGTAGGCAAACACCACCGAGAAGGTGACGGCAAAGGCGCCACTTATTGAGATCATGGCAAAGAACCACGAGGTGTTGAAGGACATCACCGGTATGGGTAGGCAGGTGAAGAATACTGTCACTAATAGGAAAAACTTTCGACCCCAAATGTCCGAAAGAGCGCCGATCAGCGGCGCCGCCAGGAACGACAGGATCCCCTTGATGCCCATGACCAGGCCGTTCATGAGGAACGTATGATCCGGGAATGTCTTGTTCAGTTTCTGCAATAAAGATGCGAGAAAAAGGTCAAAGAGAGGTCACAGAGAAGCTAAAAACCTCCCACTCTGCTTACCGATATTATGGGCATCGTTAGGAGTCCCCACGCAAAGAACTCTAGAAATATCACAACCAGCGCATGATGAACACTCGGCTCGCCTATTCCGGAACTCTACGGAGAGAAGATGGAAGATGAGTTAGCCATTATTAGATTGCCAAGGAGTCTTTGGAGAAGGGAGATGGTGAATGGTAAATGGTAACTGGAAGCTGCGTCATCAACACGTCAGCACGAGCAACCGTCACAACGGGCACTGCCGTCACACTGCCACCCATCAATTGGCGGCTGCCATGCGGGTGACTGAAAATAAATTGTACTAAATTCGAAATTGTTTTCGTTTGTTAGGCAGGCCCCCTCCCCACGTGCGGCCGACCAGAGACCTTCTGGCTTCACAGGGTCTCTGGTCTCTAACCGATTTGTTGTGTCGCTCATCAATAAATAAAATAATAATAAATAAAAAACCGCGAGCCCAAATTCAATGAAGGAAAATTCCATCCAACATCCGATCCCTGGCGATCGAACGTTGCTCCCGCCGCCCCAGGGGATCGGATGGCTACGATGAAGAATGGAGAAGGAATCCCTAAAAGACCTCGAACACAGAGAAAAACCAACCTTGCAGCAGCATACGTTGCACGCGTAGCGTAGCCATCGAGAGAATCGATTCCGCTTGCGTCGCTGTAACGGCGGATCTGCGCCTGGAGCCAGCGACCACATCGAGATGTAAGAGGCGGCCGAGTGGGTGCGCCGATGCGTGCTGCCCGGTGCACCACCACCGCCCGTCCTTGAGGAGGTGCCCAGCGACGTTGAGGTGATTGCGGTCTCGACAAAGTTGCTCGGATGGGCCGCGTACCGCGATGACTGCAGGAGAGAGGCGGCATTAGAGGTGTCGACGTGGCCATGATGGACCTGTTGCCGTCGAGGGCTGCTCCCGCTTACCGTGGGCACGTTGTCCAGGTCCGGCTGATTGATACCGCTGCTCGGTGTCGTGCTGATGCTCGTGCTGGTGGTGGTGGTGGTGGCAATGGAGGCCGACCGGTTGTCCGCATGCAGCCTCTTGAGCGGAGAATTGCCCTTGACCAGCTGCCCGACGCCGCTGCGTACGCAGGTGGGCGGCGACAGCGGCAGGGAGCTGACGGTCTCCACATCTTCCTCGTCTGCCACATCTGCCGTTGTCGGCGTGGAGCTGTTGCTATCCGTGCTCTGGGTGTCCGTCTGTTCGCCGGACTCTGGGTCTGGTTCGGGCCTGATATGCGTGCCGATCAGTCGCCCGCTTGCCAGGGGAACGGAGTTGACTTGCTTGGCCTGCGGCTGCAATTCCGTCTCCGTATCCGACTCCTGCTCTGTCTCGGACTCTTCATCCGGGTCCGCATGCTCCTGCTCCGCCTGGTTCTGGTCCTGGTTCTGTTTCTGGTTTTGGTCGTGGTCCTCCTCCTTTTCCTTTTTCTGCCGCTGGGCATAACATTGCCCGTTACGCATTGTCTCCTTCCTCTCAGTGGCCAGTGGGCCGCGGCTTTGGTCTGGTATTTTCACTCGGTATTGTCCTGGTCACACTAAATTCCATTGCCATGGGCTCTACATGTGCAGGGGGTGGGGGAGGAGAGGGTAGTCGGGGATCACAGCTGCTGTCGCTGAATCCTTGGAACAGTTACTTTCCACCTCTTCTCTTGCGTCACCTTGCTCTCAACGGGGCTGCCTCTTCCTCTTCCTCTTCGTCTTCGCTCGTCTGCTCTTCTTTTCTTTTCTCTTATCTTATCATTTGTTTGGCTTAGATGAGAATATTACTACCACATTTTCTTGGGATGGGACGTAGCTTTATCGAGTTTCACGCACTTTTCTTGCTGTAATTAAAGATCCCCCCACCACCATTTTAAGGTTTACTTATTTGTCGAGCGACTTTTGTTCAGCTCTGAGGCGGCACCCCCATGTCTCTCGAATTTCCATTGTGGGTGGTGTCCGGTCTCCGGTCTCCGACTCTGCCCCATCCATGCCTGACCAAATGGCGCTAAAAAGCTCGGACTAAATGCTGAACAATGCTGACTTTTTAGCACTTGGGCGCGAATTGGGACAGCAAGCATGGATGTGGGGGGGGCCTTGGATCGAGAGAAAAAGCAGCAGCAGCAGCATCAGAAGCAGCAACAAGCAAACAAAGCAAATCAAATAAAGAAATAATTCAAAATTAAGATTGATTTAAAGGGAAATCGTTGGAGGATCGGTGGAGCTGTGATTTTTATGCCAGAAAAGATATTTCTTTATTTGTTTGTTTGTTTGTTGCTGCTGTCGGGACGCGTGGCCTAAATATGCACCCATACATACACACACGCCTCGTATAACCCTGGATAACTGCACACGGAGAAACTTTTTGGCGTTGGTTTCCGGTGGATGCACAGCGACGGAAAAAGTTCGGAAATTTTTTTGATGAATTTTTTGGAAAATAATCGCTTTGAATTTTGACAAACATTTGAATAATATACAAACAAATACAAATCGGACTCCTCTGACTTTAATTGGTTAGGTTTCTCTCAGTGTGCTCCCGAAGACAGCGAAAAAGGCATTTCCATTCCCCCCACTCTTTCTGTCTGCTGGGTTTCAATGCTCGCGCCGCACTGACACGATCACCGACCCACTAAGAACTGAGAGCAACGGTAACAGTGCAATTAAATGTCGACCAACTGAGAGCTTAGAGAGAGAGAGAGAGAGAGAGAGCGAAAGCCAGTGAGCGGAGAGCGCACAGACAGAGAGCTAGAACGGAACAGGTGGGCCAGTCATAGAGCCACTCTCTGTGCTCTCAAGATTTCGTTTGCGCGAGTGACACACTGAGAGCAAGCGTGAGAGGAGGCGACGAAGCATCCACCTTGTTTGAATATTAGAGAGCATTAGAGCGAAGACAAGCAACAAGCACAGTTCCGCCTACAAATATACCCTTTTGCGGGGTTTTGCACTGCGCTCTTTCCCTCCCATCCAGCATATAAGCTAGATCCGTTCGGTTTTCGACCTACAGAAGGTCTGCGAGTATCCCATTAATATACCCTTCCGCTTAAAGGGGTGCAGGGTGGCAAAAAGTTACTGCTCCAAAGTAAATTGTCGCTCGCTCATCTACAAATAGACAAAGCTCCCGAACGATGATGATACCGATGAAAGTTGGAGCGCAGAGCCGCGCTATTGTGTGGCAGTTTTGCGGGAAAGTCAACATTGAAACGATTGTTGTCGTATTGCTGTTGCAATTAGATTAATGTACTCACTAAACGTGGCAACCAGAGCAGCTGCTCGGCAGCACTTTTGACAGCATGAATCAGCCAGCCGCAAAACAGCTGTTGCCCTGTTTCGGATGGCAGTACTTTTCAAAGTGGAACCACTGCTTGGGAAAGGGTCAATACATTCGGAAATTTGCATAAATCTCCGGCCACAGCCAGCTGGCCAACGAGAAGGGCACTCAAGTCAAGTGCAGGCCAAACAAAAATAGGGATTTCCCCTACTTGCCCCCCCTACTGCCTTGCGGCATCTACATAATCATCCGGGACCGAGAGTGCATCCTGCCAGAGCTCGGGTCCCCCCATCAGCGAAGTCAATCAGCAGGCGGATATTGCTGAAAGCAGTCCTTGCTCATCCTCTTCCGTGGGTCCTCAAATCCAATTTGAAAGAAAAACTTGAAAACTTGGCCTGACATTCGCCTGTGGGGCCTGCGGGGCCTGTGGCCACTGGCCACATCAAAAGCCTGCACTGGGAGTGACCTTGACAGGCGGCAGTCCCCGGTCCCCCCTGCCTCCTAACGACTGCCCGACAGACACATCCTTTTTGGGGCATGCCGCCGAGCAACAACTACATGGGCGACGATGGCGTAATGATTTGGCAAGAGACATGCTGGAAAACATTTCCATGTTTTCCTTTCATTAATGTCACAAAGAATGAACTACAAGAGGAGGGGCAAAAGATGTGGGCGGTGGCCAAAACCAAATTGAAAACCTGCCCAAAATGGGATCTGAGCTAATGGCGAACAGAACGGGGTATTACGTACTACACGCAAAACGCGCACATTTCATACAGTTGGAAAAATGTTCTTAAATCAAGAATATGATGGGTAGAAAAGTGGTTCGAGTGGTGTGGGGGAGTGCTTAATGTGGCCGTTCGTTTATGGGAAATTTAGTCAGCGTTTCGAAGAATTTATCTAGCATGTATTAGTATTTCTTTCAGTGTATTCAAATTCTTTTCCTCTAATTAATCTTTTCGCTCTTTTCGTTTAGGCCTAGGTCCTGCCTGTGCCTGTGCCTATGCCTGTGGCTGCGGCTGCGGCTGTGGTCCCTGGCCTGCGGCTGTCCACGTGTGGCGCATTTAGCACGCAAAATTATAAAAATAAAAGGGGTGGCAAGGTCAAGTTGGCGGCTTAATTTTTCCACTCGATTTGGCCAGCCCCAAAAGTGTAGCCTGCACTGGGATGGCAAAGAGTTTCCATCCCTTTTCGTGCAGTCAAATTTTTGCAATAAGCTCAAGAACAGCAGACCTAATGGCCAATAGCAGGCAACTTCTTCATTGTTGTGGTTTTTTTTGCATTCAAAAGTAGGCCAAAGCCCAACGAACCAAGGACACACACACACAGAGATACTGATACCAATTCGAGCTGGAAATAAAGTATGACTCTCCCGCCCACACCACCTGTCTCCTGTCGCCTGTCCCCCGACTCCTGTCGCCTGGCTGGAGCCAGATGGAGCTGGAGTCCAACACTGTCGCATTTTAATTAAAAACCCCCACAAATTGGCGCCAAACCCGGCCACCCACGAGCCTCAAGCAGACTGTGAACCGGAATCCTCTGATGCAGGATCAAAGCTGAGGCCCAAGGCAGTGCCAATGTGAAGCCGAAACCATGAACGCCCATCATCCATCTCTGTGCTGTTGTGGAAGAGTATCGATCAACAGTTTTTGTGCCACTGGAACTGGATGCCAAATGTCAGCTTGTGCCTGTGCCGCCTGCGGGCCGCAGAGAGCTAATGGGGAAACCAAGGTCAGATGGGTGCAAGAGCAACAGCAACAGCTGCTGGGTCTCTGTGCCGAACTGCAGCGCGTGCAGCGTCTACGGGATACGCATTATGTACATACATATATATTACGTATACACAATGTGGCACCCCCCCCACATCATCCCCCGCTCGCAGCCTGCCGCCTTTTAATATTAAAAATAGTTTGTCAACAACATGGTGGACAGAAAGTGTCAATTGGCAATGTCTCCTGCCATGCGGCAGACTTAATAGCGCGCGCGTGGATGGGATGGGATGGGGCCACGTCCGTCTTCGAGAGAATAACTAGAGAAAAACTTGACCCTTGCTCTATGCCAGCGGCGGGCATGTCCTTGCTCTCTACTGCTGTCTAACTGCTCTGCTTATGACTGATGTTCGACTCGAGGCGCACAAGCGAATGATGGAAAAACAACATGCACATGTACATGTCGTGTGCATGAATGAAGCTAGCTTCGACTGGCCACCGCTCACCGCTCTATGTTATTCGTATCCTCTACTTCTTCTAGTAGAGATAGCGCTTTGCTTTTGGGGGGGTATGTCCCTATTTTTCTTTCGATTCGGGCTTTGGGCTAATAGAAAAATTCCATTGCAGACTGTCAAATCAAAGTGATTTTCATCAGGCCACGGCCAAGGGCAAGGTGGAAAGTGGAAGGTCTGTTACAGTTGTCTCTCATTGACGTGATTGATAATGCTTCGTTGCACTGCACCGAAACGGCGGCTCAGGGCGGACCTTGCATGTCGCACCACCAGAGACCGACGAGCACGAAAACCTGACAGGCTGACAGACTGACAAACACGTAAATCGGAATGGAACACAAACCAATTTTAATAGATTTATGATTCTTAAAGTTCTGCACAAACTGTGTTGACAGCGCAGACACGGCCCAGGCACAGGCACAGGCACAGGACTCTGCTGCACTGAAGGCAGTCGTGCAGTTAATTTGCATAAAGAAGACGACGGATATGGCACTGGAATCTGGCCAAAAAAAAATTTAAAAAAAAGCCAAGTACACAACTTTGGAAATGTAATGTTTCCGTCGCATAAAACCACAAAACAACTAGTGGAAAAAATAATTTGCAGCAAAAGAACGAAGAAGTCTTCCAGTCAGAAGTCACTTTCTGTGTGCCATATCCTTTTTCGATTGATAGTTGTAGCTCTGCAAAATCCTCTATAGCCAGTACATACTTTATTGCTGAGGCTCTTGTCTGGAAGAGGATTTGCGGTAAGGTTACACTGCGGCATATGCCAAAACAAAGGCCCACACTCCCCAACAAAGGCTTCATTCTGTGGGAGCGCAAGAGGGCAGAACAGCAAACAAAGCAGTGGATGGGCCATAATTTATGGACGGCAGTGTGTTATCTAACGGCTTTTCATGCGACCAGGACTGGGAAGGTCTGTCCTCCGATGTCTCCGCACTTGGGAGCTCTCGCGTGAAGAGAAGGACTGCTCCCCGTAATTGATTGGCATTAACGGCGCCGGTTGAGCAAATGTTTGGCTCTGGCATCTCAGACCCAGACTCAGACTCCGACTCCGACACAATCCTGTCAGCGAAAATCTACTGTATGCGTGGCAAGGTTTTTCCTTGCTTTCCCTATGTGGGGGAAAAGTGTCGTGCCATATTTGTTCTCTCGCTCTCGCTCTCCCTCTTACCCTGCGGTGCGGTAAGGGTTTATTGAACTTTGGCCAATGTTGGGTAAATTTGGTTAAGAAAATCAGACAAACAAACGTCCAAGGTGCCGCCATGTGATGGAACGACGGTGGGTTGCCATCCTGCTTCTGCCTGCCCCCCCTTTGGGACGATTGCAATCGGGGGCCAGCGACTAAGCGGAGTTTGATGTGGCCATAAAGCCAGAGCCCCGGGCCGGAGCTCATTGCCCATAAAAATCCAGGCAGAACAATGAATACATTTAACGACTCCCCCGGAATGGTTGCAGCAGGGCATTATGTCAAATTCTCAGAACATAAGGCGGTTGCGAGGATGGCTACTGGTCAAAGGATGGGGGCTGGGACCCCGTGCTCCCCCACATGGGGGACACTACCGATCTTTGTTCGCCATCCATGCGCTCGCTTCGGATCTCTTTGGGCAGCGCTCTCTCCCCTTAATCTGAAACCACCTTGGTGGACATAACCTAGCATAAGGCATAAGGCACAAGGCAGAAAATATAACCGTTCGAGCGGCCCCACATCTTTGGTACAGCGACTGTTTTTGCGTAACGGGACAAACAGCTGAAGGCGAAAGCACGCGTTCGTGCAAGTACGGATTGAGAAGCATTTCAAGTTCAGTTTTTGTCAATTTTCCCCCACGCGTTTGCTTTCTAACAGTAAATTCTGCTCACACACACACACACACAAACACATGCAAAAAAAAAACACACTCTATAGATGCCCCTTCGCTTCATACGGGGCCCGGGGTGGGGGGTGGGGGGCGGTCTATTGTTTATAGAGAAGAGGCTGGCGAACCGAGGGGCAAGCTAAACGGATAACCAGGGAAAACGCCACGAAACGAAATGAAAGCGAAAATGTAAACGCACGCAGAAAAACATGGGAAAATCGTGTAGGTATTTTTGTACACAATGACGCTACGCGACGATAGATGCGCAACGATTTGGATTTAGATTTAGATTGCGATTCCGATTCCGATTCCGACTCCGAGTCCGAGCGTGGTGTTCGCTTTTCCACATGCTGCGCCGTACTCAGCTGGAAAAGCGTCTGATTTTTACTCGCTGCCCCTGGGCCTTGCCAAACGAACATTTTCTTTGTGCCACCGCCGCTGTGTACCGTTTGTTGCACGCGACACACCGAGCTTTAAAGGCCAAAAGCTCTTTTTGGGTACTTTGCCACATTTTCAATGTACACATTTCGGGTTGTCCCCTCTGAATTTATTTATGTATATTCTGGAAACTAAACGAAGGCGATACAGCATTCTCATCACCGGATGCCATACGGATTGATTTTCAGAATATCCATTAATGGGTATGGCTATTTCCTGGGGTCCTGATTTCATCACAGGAATAGAAATTTCCCTTTACTTTCACTCACCAATACTAGTGCCATTGCTAGCACACACACACACCCTAGCGCCTTCGATTATTTCACTTTCGTCGCGGAATTTGCTCCACAAACCTGCTTTCTGGCGTGCACAAAACTTCCAAAACCATGGCAATTGCTGTTGTTTCTGTTGTTGCATTTGTCTTGACCAAAGCTTTCCCGTGTTGATCAACAACAGATGTATAAATGAACCAACTAGGCATTCAGGCTTGTTGTAAACTGATAAATGAGTCTAGTTATCATTTGGCATATTTATCTCATTTTCATGCACTGCGTTGTCTGCAGGAATGCCGCTGATATCTTGTGTAGAGAGTACTCAAATCTGTTGAGAGCTTCGTTCGCATCGATGGGACTTTTTCGCATTTCGCATTCTGTCCCTGTCTTCCTCTCTGCTTGTTGGCAGCTGGACGATTCGGCGCCATTGCTTTGCGTTTTATGAATGAAGAAGCTTTCTGCCGTGCAGCAAGTGGCAAAAGCTCCCCATGGGGAATATTTTCTAAAGGGAAATTTTCCAGACTCTGTGGTGGCTTCTCGGAAAACTAAGAATTAATTTCGCAGTGTTCATTGTTCCCGCACAAAAGCTCATTTACAGGGAATCTCCTGGGCGAACTGTAACCACTAATGGGTACCCTGTGCAGTAATTAACACTTAGTCAAGGTCGGACGAAAAGCAATTCCACATAATTTCCCCTCGACTCGAGACCCGTAATTAAGCCCACCCGAAAGGGAAAGAGAGAGAGAGAGAGAATGGAATGGAAAGAGAACTGCTTGGCGCAGGCGTCACGAGCTTTCCACATATACACTCGGGCGAAATCTGTTGCATAGTTTTGCGGGCTTGGCGGCGCGACAGGCAGGCTGCCGCGACTCGGACTTCGATTTCCAGCAGTATTGCGGCTAATTAACATTTTTAGTCAGAGCCCGGTGCCATGGTGTCAGGAATGTGTCATGCCATGTGCGACGGGCGACGCCTGCAATCGGAGGTGGAGGTGAAGTCGGAGTCGGAGTCGGATGATTACACCCAGACCAGTCCGATGTGTTGGTGAGTGGTGCTGGTGAGGGAGGGTGTGGGCAAGTACTAATGTAATATTCACACGCGCACGCACTGAAGGCAGCGGCGCGGGGTCCCTAGAAATTGGAACACCCAAAGGCAGACAGAGAAAGCCAAAGCTGATTCCACTTTCCCAAGACAGATTCTAAGACGGAATCGGGAAGACCTTGACTAGTTTTATAGTGGCTACCTCATTAATGATGGAACCTATGAAACTGGTTCACCGAGAAAAGCGAGAGTTCAACGCTCGCCCAAAACTCGATTCGAATCAAAACAGAAACCCGCCAGAACAGAACAGAACAGAACAGAACAACTTCAGCTTCTCAACGAAAACGAAAGTCGACGACCCACCGACCATCGACCACCGACCACAAGTGGTTCCAGTCGGTGAGAGTGAAGAGTGTGCGGCAGGTCATCGATGTTGAGTCGATTATGAAATCTGACACACTTACTCGCACGGGGAACGGAACTGAGAAATGAAATGGGAAATGGCGAGCAGTTCTTAGCACAGCTTTTTTATGTTTTTATTGGGTGTTGGGACTGAGAACATCAAGGCAATCACCCGTTTAGGGCACTATGAAGGGAAAAACCTTGTGATATTATCGCCAATGGCCCACCCACCCAATTCGCCTGTTTGTGATAAGCGGAATCGCCTGATTTGCCATCGAAATGGAATTTCCGTGCAGTAAAAAACTAGCAATTAGAATAGCGCGCATGTCTGTCATCAAGTGATCCCCAAATTGCTCGATAGAGCGGACGTATTACAATTAAAGTTAATTCTAAACCGCATTTCGTAGGCACGCAGCCGTCTAGTGAGTGATTCACGGCGATATGGGATGATAAGGAGGTCGGTTCCACTATCAGTGGCGCACTTACCGTGAAGATACTGCTGCTCTTGTGGGCCCGATTCCGTATGACCAGGCCCGCCAAGGGCTTCTTTACGTAGATCTTGGGCATCTCGGTGGCAACTTTTGCGGCTACGTGGCTCTCGTGGCACTAGCACAGAACGTTCCTAAATGTTAATGTTTGCACTGGGAAACGCGCCGCACGTCGGCGGTTGATTGGTGGGGGAGTGTTGTGTTGGGGGGATGGTTGATTAGCTCTCTTTTTGGCCTGCACTACAGTCGGGCGACGGCTACGGCTACGGCGACTGTTTATTGAATATTTGGGCAATTTTCATGCATCACTGTTTATGTTATTATAATACTATTATTTGTAGACGCGTTTCTATGTTTCTCTATCCTTTATTCAGGCTCCAGGCGCGCTCGATTGTGGTGATGCCTTGTTTCTGGCTCTGGGGCTGGGGCTGGGATTGGTGTCGGTCGCTTTGGTGGCATGCATGCCTCTCGATTTATGGATACACAATCGACCGCATCTGACTAGCAGCACCTGGACACGACGTTCGGTTGAGTATTTACTCTTTCCTTTATTTTAATTCCACTGAACTGAGAAAAATGCGCTCGTTGCGTTGCAAACACGGACAGAGATGGATGCGTTTTTGGTGCTAAAAAATGCCGCGGTAGGCGCTGTCAACATGTGTTCTAGGGTTGCCACTCTATCGCAACGCAATCGCTAGAATCGCCGTCGTGCCATCCCTAGCAAAAAGAGCCACAAGCAAAACATAAATATTTAATTACAAAGGTTTATAAAGTGCAACATGCAAATATTCTGACACAAGGTGTGTGTAGAACCACTCTTTCCCCTTCAACTCGAACTTTAAATAAAAACTCCCCTTCATTTCCCTCTTGCAGATATTCTCTTCTGTTTTGGGAGCCGAAAAATGGTTCGTATTTTGTTTCTTCATCCCGATTTGGGTATTGGCGGAGCCGAGCGGTTGGTTGTGGACGCCGCCCTGGCCCTCAAGGAGCGCGGTCACGAGGTCAGCTTCCTGACCAATCACCATGACAGCACCCACTGCTTCAAGGAGACCGCCGATGGGAGCTTTCCCGTTCAGGTCGTGGGCGACTGGCTGCCACGGAAGCTCTTTGGGCGGTTCTATGCCTTCTGCGCTTACATCCGCATGCTATATGCAGCCTTCTATGCCAGCTTCTTTATGCCCCAGCGCGAGCAGGTGGATGTGGTGTTCTGCGATCTGATATCCGTCTGTGTGCCTGTCTTGCGCCTGGCCCGTCACCGGCCGCGAGTTCTCTTCTACTGTCACTTTCCGGACCAGCTGCTCAGCGCCAGGGAGGGCCTGCTGAAGCGCGTGTATCGCGCTCCCATCAACTGGCTGGAGGAGCACACTGTTGGCCTGGCGGACAAGGTGCTGGTCAATTCCAAGTTCACGCTACGCGTATTCCAGGACACATTCCGACGGCTGCGAACCGTACCCGACGTTCTCTACCCCTCCATTCACACGCAATACTTCGACCAGATGGAACAGAAGCTACAGCAGCGCTCCACCGTCTTGGAAGAGACCGTGCATCCGCGGGTGCCGCGAAACGCCTTCATCTATCTGGACATCAATCGCTACGAAAGAAAGAAAAACCACGCTCTGGCATTGAAGTCGCTGCGTCTTATGGGAGACATGCTCTCATCGGCGGATTTCAAGCGCTGTCGCCTGATCATCGCCGGCGGCTATGACACGCGCTGCCTCGAGAATGTTGAGCACTACGCGGAGTTGGAACAACTGACTACCGAGCTGGACCTCCAAGAACATGTCATACTGCTGCGCTCACCCACGGACGAGGAGAAGTGTCGCCTGCTGTATGCCGCCCACTGTCTGCTCTACACCCCAGAGAACGAGCACTTTGGCATCGTCCCCTTGGAGGGCATGTATTTCTCCAAGCCGGTGGTGGCCCTCAACAGCGGCGGGCCCACGGAGACTGTGGTGCACACTTCCACGGGCTTCCTCTGCGAGAAGCAGGCGAAGAGCTTTGGCGGCGCCATGTGCCAGTTGTTTCGCGACGAACCGCTGCGCCTGAAGATGGGCGATCAGGGCCATAAGAGGGTGCAGCAAAAGTTCTCCTTCGAGGCATTCGCGGACCGTTTGAATGGCATTGTCCAAGATCTAGTGCCCCCCTCCCGGAAGAAACTTGATTAAAATTCCAGGCAATCTGCAATCGTGAGTCGCATTGGTTAGTGGGGATTGGGGGCGACCTGCAGCCTGTAACCTATTCCTTATGCAATTCTAGCTACCATTTAATGTAGGTTTATTCTTTATTTCGGAGTTTCCTTTGGGGGTGTATATAATAGTTTTTATTTAGTGATTTAGGGAGGACTTTTAATTTGGGATGAGATCAGACCACGGGCTCGGACTACTACTCATCGCGCATGTACAGATACAAGTAGCCGAGATCCTTGGGTGGATTCTGCGACTTGGCCACCTTGGTGTCGTTGTAGATGACCCACTCGCCGTTCTTCCGGATGTGGCAGACATAGTGGCCCACCTGGGCCGAGGTGCCCATGTGCGATATGAAAGCCACCAGCTTGTACTTGCCCGTGCCGTCACGATAGTTGGCGGCGGCAGAAGTGGAAGGAGCAGAGGTCGCCGGTGTTGCCACGGCCGGGGTCTCGTCCATGGGGATGCTGTCGGCATGCGAGAAGATCCAGTCTGTGGCACGCTCCACATTCCCGTCGGTGGCCTTGAGGGCGGCCACGGCCTGGCGTTCATCGAATCCCATGCTCATGAGCATAGCCAGGCTTTCCGGATTGGCCACAAACTGCTCGCTGGCGCAGTCGCCGATGCTATTGTTGGGCACCTCAAACGGATCGGAGATGTCCTCGTCGGCAATGTGCTCCATTAGCCAGTTGGAGGCGGCCTCCAGGCCGCTGTTCTTGGTGTGGAAACAGGCCCGCTTGCAGGCCTCATGGGGAAAGCCCATATTAAGCAACTCCGACATGACCGCCTCGTCGAACGTGAATTTGGGCTGCTCGGCGGCCGGTTCGGGCAGTGGCTCCTCACCAGGCTTTAGGCCACCGCCGGTGGACTTCCAGGCGCTCAGATCCAGATCGTCGGGCATGTCCACGGAGACGTCCAGCTTCTTGGGCACCCAGTCGTCGCCCAGCGTGAACTTTCCCAGATGGATCATGAGGAAGTCGGGCATGGTGGCCATGCGTGTGGTCTTCTCTGCGTTCGTTTTGCCATTGATGGCCGTCGAGTAGAACTGCTCGATGAGCTCCGTGCCGAAGAAGCGCTCCAGGCAGGCCCGCAGCGGCACCTTGTGACGGACAATGTCGCGATCGACGAGACGCTGTCCGCTCTCGCGGGCTGCCTGGTCCCGCTCCTGATACTCCCTGACCTCTTCCAGATTGGTGGCCTTCTCCAGCGGTATGGGCAGCCGGAAGCTGTACTCCTCGCGCTTCTTGTACTTGACCTTGCGGCTGGCCAGGCACTCCACGCGATCCTCCAGCAGGAACTTCAGGGCATCCGCCGGATTCGATTGATTGCGCGAATTGCGATCGAGCATCGTAAGCAAATGCAGATAGAAGTCGTTGGCATCCTGCTGCTGCTTGGTACTGAACTCCGGATGGTTCTTGCCTACAATGTTCTTGAACATGGCCGGCGATATGCCCGACAAGTTATCCGTGTCCAGTGTGTTCTCGACGATGCTGCTGTACTTGCCCGACTGGAGGCCGTTGCCCAGCTTGGCCATCTGTATGTTGAAGTCGTTCGCCGGATCGCTGGGGAACTCACTAAAGTAGCGCTCAGCCCCGGTGCCGACAAAACGCTCCTGGAAGTCAGGAATGACAAAGAGCACCTGCATCACGCTGTTGATGTAGCAGCTATTGCCCAAATTCCGCATTCCTGTGTATCCCGGTCCGGCCATAGGCTGCAGCTCACTATCGCTCTCGGTCAGGGCCGACCATTCGCCGATGCGCTGGTTTATCTCCAGCTCCAGCTCGACCATCGATTTCTCGCTCTTCTTCATGGCCGCCATATTGATGCCAAAGTGGGAGAGATGCTTCTCCAGGTGCGGATCGATGACCATGTCGTCCTCCGGGTAGGAGAACACATCGGACTTGCCGTCGGCGGTGATGGTGCCCAGCTTGACGGCCAGCGGATAGTTGGTAACGCGATAGTGCTCCACAGCGTGATCGTTGCCACCGCTGCCATCAAAGAACTTGCGGCCGCAGAGTATTGAGCCGTCGGTTAGATTCAGCCAGAGATTGCTGGTCAAATCGCACTTCTCACACTGCCAACCGGATGGCGGAATCCTCTTGCCGTTTTTTAGCTGCTCGAGGTTTTCTGCATACTTGGATGCCTGACGGACCTCACCATCCCAAGTGCCTACAAAATCGAAAAGGAAGATTCTGCTCGTCAGGAAAACGTCCAGCAAGAAGCGTCTACACACACTCACCCATCAGTGTGGACTTCTCCAGCTTGGAAATTGCCGAGTCCGCTGCCAGAATGCCTTCGATTGCCTGAGACACACGAATGGGCAGCTCGGGATCGGGATAGGGCAGCTTCTTGTCCAGCTCGGGAGCAACCACAATGCTGTAGGTGTCCTTAATCTCATACTTTTTGGCCATATCAGTCTCATTGTAGCCGCCGTCCACCCCAATGGCCAGGCGTGTGATCTTACTCTCTGGCGGGGCTTCGGCAGCGGCTTCCTTTTTCTCCTGTTCTGCGCTCTCGTCCTTTTTCAGCGTCTTCTCACGCTTGATGTGCAGGAAGACCGCGTTGCCAGTCTTACTGGCATATTCGCGCACATGAGCCTCGCCAAAGCCCAAGAAACTGTGCAGGCACACGTATAGGCCGGTGGGCGTCTCTGGGTTGTCGTATGAATAGACGCACTCGTCTTTGTACACTGGCGGAGAGCTGGCGCCTGAGGCGCAGATCACGTTGACCTTTGATAAATGCTTGCGAAGTTCCTCCATGATTAAATCTGGAAATATTTCTGTATTCGCAAAATATTTGTATGATTTATTGAGAATTTTTCGCAGCTGCCGCTGCTGCCTAGGGATGCAGTGTGACCGTTACCCCGGACTTATCGTTTAAATATACCGTCCGACCTTAGAAATTTACGAAAATATACTGACGAATTCAAGTTATATTTTACACATTGCTCGATTTTGATATTCCGTTGAATATTACTAGCTATCTAGATCTCAGCTTTATTTAAATTTTCTAAAACATTAACTACTTTTAAGTGCCGGGAGAAATTATCGATGTCCTCACATCCCTACAGAAAGTGCAACAACAAATTTCGCGAGTCACCTAAGGAACCAGTGCAATTGAATCAGTTCCGACTGACAATTAACAGTATGACCTTGCAAAATTCTGCGAACAACTAAACACAGGTTTTTTTTTAACAAAATTAGATTGTATTGAAAAAAACATTAAAATTCCAGAAACTTCAATATGACGGTTTCTTTAATTTTTCCTATATCAAATCGTGTTTCACTGCATGAATCCTCATATATTAATTATTGTTGTTATTTTACGGTAAAGTACTTTAATGTCAATCTCCTACAATTATCGATTGCCAGTTTCAAAAAGAATCTATGAGCGAATTTACTCAGAGAAATAAATACTCAAAAAAAATATATGTATGAATACAAATGTTTCAATTCTAAGAATGGGCGCGTTCACCAGCACTTACTCAATGATGGATTTCATATGACAGTGCCGATGATTAATAATTTCCATGCGTACATATCGATATATGCCAAAAGCAATGCACCACAAGGAGCGGAATATTTTTACACTCCATCTCAAGCAACGTATGAGCATTATCAACAGTATATTTACGGTATATTTTGAAATTCGGACGGTATATTTTGATGGGATTTCCACTCTTTTGATCGGATCTTTGTGGAGTTATTCCCATCACAAATTTCTGTAAAACCTTATTTTAAAAACAATCCAATAAAAGGAAGTCTTTAAAATTAGCCAAACTTGTACGAAATTGATTCGTGAATCAGATAAAATGTTGCGTTCAGGACTGGAAATCCTAGCCTTCCAGTAATATTCTACCGAATATCAAAATTGAACAATTTGATGGAATACGAAAAATCATCAGTATATTTACGGTATATTTTGAAAATGAGACGGTATATTTCAGTATATTTCTGAGGGCCAGACCGTATATTTTAGCGATAAATCCGCGGTCACACTGCTGTCAAGAGCAAGAAAGAAAACGTAAGAAAATTTCAAGTTAATTTTTCGTAAACAAATATAAAGGAAAACGGTGCAAAAATTGTACACACAAATAAATCATCTAATGGTGAAGCGAAATCAGTAAAGATATATAGTGTTTAAATGCTTTTAGACCGTTTTGCACGCGCATAATTTTGGTAAAGGCGCGCGCCATTTTGTTTTTGGACTTTCTACCTCGCCGTCTCTGTTTTCTTTTCTGCAAAATAATACAAAAAAACCTACCACAAACCCCACAGCATAGAAAACTCGATTAAAAAACGGCAAAGTACTCGGGTAAAGAAAGTGGAAAACATGTGGTAGTCATTGGGTTTGTGTATAAATTGTATACCTAAAATAACGCGCGACACCACATAAATAAATGCCTCTGAAAATATCGATACGATGTCTAAACGAAGCGGAGGCAGCGATTAGTACATCGGGTCGCTGTCTGTCGCTGTGTGGGTGAGATGAAGAGGGGGCCAGGCGAGGCGGAGCGGACGCGCTAATTACGTCATAAGAATCAAAGAAAATTCAAGGTCTGCGCCACAGCAACAGACCCCAAAGCTATTCGGTTTCGTTACGTTTCTCGGATTTATCAAAAATAAAACTTTTCGGCAGAAGAGCCAGGCAAAAGCAAAAGCAACAACACCAACAACAACAAGTACACACTGGGATTGGGTTGGTTTTTCCTTCGTTTTCGCGACTGTATAATTACATACGAGCGTGCGAGCGCAGCGCGGCGCAGCTGTGATACACAGAAACGCAGAGCAGGAAGGTGCCAGAACGACGTCGAAAAGAGAGCGCGGGCGGGCAGACAACGGACAAGGGAGAGAAAACACAACAAAGTTGATGAAAATTTCGGCAGTTTGGGGGAAAAGCTTTTGTGAAAAACGATCGGAGATTGGAGTCCAGATAATTTATTTGTGGCATTTGCTCTTCTTTCCATTTTAGTGATGTACGATGCGTGCGGCATAGAAGCTATAAACCCACCACCCCGACCCCCGAGCGCCAGAACACGATATATACACACACACACACTGAAACACACATGTACACGTAGGGCGCCCCGAAAAGAATATTGTACATAAATTTTAATTAAAGAAAGCAACGAAGAAAACAACGGAACGAGCAGAAGCAGCAGCAGCAGCAGCATAACAGAAAACATCACAAAAGACAATATAAAAATATTACAAAAAAAAAAAACAACAAAAAAATCAATAAAGAGCGGCAGCTCACGGCGATAAAAAGGTGTTATCAGTGTGAATTGTTGCTGTCGGTGCCCACACGACAACCAAAACAGATAGGAAGCAGACAGACAGAGGCGAAAAGTGGCGGAGACTCTTGTGGCCATCGGCCGCGGGCAGCGCTCCTCTTCACTGTTGTTTGCCGCGCAGTGACGCAGGCATTCGGCGGTGCGGTAGATAGGTAGAGATTGGAGATTGCAAAGCGTTTACCATGTCTGTGCAACAGTTCTGCCTGCGGTGGAACAATCACCAGCCGAACTTCATATCGGTGTGCTCCTCGCTGCTGCACAATGGCACCCTGGTGGATGTCACGCTGGCTGCCGAGGGGCGCCAGCTGCAGGCCCATAAAATAGTACTGTCTGCATGCAGCTCGTACTTTCAGGTAAATAGGCGTTTATTCCGTGTGCCCCCGAAAAATTAACTAAGCTCTGACTTCATTTCTTCTCTGATTTAGGCCCTGTTCACGACGAATCCGTGCCAGCATCCGATCGTTATACTGAAAGACGTTCAATATGATGATCTCAAGACGATGGTGGACTTTATGTATTACGGGGAGGTGAACGTGTCGCAGGAGCAGCTACCGCACATACTTAAGACGGCCGAGATGCTCAAGATCAAGGGCCTGGCCGAGATGCCCACGGACCCGGCCAATCTCACCAAATCGGACAGCAAATCATCGAGCGACGGCACTGAGCTGGTGGGTGGCGCCGGCTCTGGTGTGGCGGGAGCAGGAGGTACCTCTGCGGGCAGCCTAGGTGCTGCCAGTGGCAGCAGTGTGGGCGACTCGCTGTGGAGCAGCAGCGAGGCGCAACAGTTCCAACAGCAGCAACAGCAACAACAGCAGGCCCAGCAACAGCAGCAGCATCATCACCACCAGCAGCAGCAGCAGCACCAGCTCCAACAGCAGCAGCAACAACAGCAGCAGGCCCAGCAACAGCAGCAGCAACACCATCATCATCACCACCAGCATCAGCAGCAGCAGCAGCAACAGCAGCAGGGCGGACAGACGCAGGCGCCGCAGACGCATCACCATCAGATGAGACGAACCCCCTCGCCGCTGAGCGCTGGCACATCGCCGGCCACGCGGCGCAAGAGGCTGCGCAAATCCTCGAATAACGGTGAGTGTGAGTTGGGTAAAGCATCGTCGCAAGAGTTCCTGCAGTCCTTTGGAGTCTGACGTGAGAGACTAACCATTTCCAATCAAATTCCCATATGCTGTAGGCTCTGGCGAACGCAACAATGCAGAGGAGCAGCACAACAGTTCTTTGGATGCCGGGAGTGCCGCTGGCAATGCGGGCCTCAGTCTCGCCCAAATGAGCCAAATGTCCTTTGGCGGGGCGGCCAATACGGCGGCTGCATTGGGCAGTCTCGCGAGCCATTCACTGCACGCTTCCAAGCTGCTGAAGGAGTCGGCGAGCAGCGAGCTGGACCAGCAGCCGCAGGACTCGGACCTGGACGACGGACACGGACACTTACATATGCAAATTGTAATGAAATTGGTCACGTTGCCCCCTTTCCGCCCTTTCGCCCCTTGTGCAATCTTACTAATTTTGAATTTCTTTTCTCTTGTGCTGCTGTTGGCCAATGCAGAAGCCCGAGGTGGATATCGGCGGAGTGAACCAAACGATGCCCCTGGACATTTCCGGCGCCACCACACCATCTGAGCACGATGCGCCAAACTCTCAGTCCTCGCACTCGGGTAAGTCCACACTCAGTGCCGCGCCGCCCACACACTTCTCCATCATCCTTTCATGGCAGCAGCTCATGATTCATCGGGTTTTGCAGCAGGGTTTAAGGTTCCCATGGTTTATCGTTTGTTTATTTTCCTTACCATCATTATTTCGTACGTATTTGACACACATTTGGCACACAGACACCCAGAATCCCCGACTCGAATGGACACTGACTGAACCGAAGCAATCATAGAACGGTCGAACGGTAGAACGATGGGACATATGTATAGTGGACTGTGCTCGCAAAGATTAGCTCTGCATTAAATATTGAATCGAATTAATGTGAATGGGTAACTTTCTGCAAATAGAAACTGGATTATGTTATGCCACAGTTTCGTTTGGAGCGGATACCCATGTTGGTTCCACTGGGATGCTGAGAGGCAGTACAATATTCCTTCCGATGCCCTACAACTGGATTATTTCTCGCTCCTGGCGAATGGTCTTTGCTCGTGTCGAATGTGTCTATTCACCTATGGTGAATTTACACTCACTCCAGTGGAATAGGTGTATTAAGAAATGGGATATTATTCGAATGGGGACACAGTCTTGGAGGACTGGCTTAGGATCACTCTCTCTATCTGTCTCTCTCGCTCCACCCATTTGACGTTCCTCACGATCATATCTCACACGATCATTACACACACGAACTGTGCAACCATCCATCGACCATTTCCAAAACCATTTTCAGTACACTGCACAGCACAGCACTCGGAGAAATAACGCTAGAGCTAAGGCTGAAAATATACAATATATGAGAACTATAGCATACAATACATTGAGTACCGACTATCTGATCTCTGATTCGATTCGATTACTGATTATGATTCATTGCTTACCGACTAAGTGAAAGTGCAACGATATATAACGTATCTGTATCTGTAACTGTAGCTGTGATCGTGCGTGCCGTGCCGTGCCGTGCCGTGCCGCATTTGCTATGTTTAAAACCTATTATTGTGTGTGTATTTGATTGTGTTCCAAAAATAACTGAATCCTGCCTGAAACTTGGGAATGGGAGAGAGCTAGCCACAGAGTCCAAAAACAAAAACAAACTAAATAAAGCGATTAGAAATCTATCTAAAACTCGATATTTAACCCATTTTGAGTTGTTTAATGGTTTATTCTTTCCATTTTGATTTGTATTTTTGGGAATTTTTTTTTTTGTTTTTTTTTTTTTCAATTTTGGCCATAGAAATCTTTGCCCTAACTACTGTATACCCTATGCCCATGCCCCATGCCCCATGACCCATGACCCATGACCCTCCTCCTATCTAAGACTCAAACTCAGATTCAGATTAAGAGCAGATCCCGTCCTGTCCCATGGGCAGGGAATGCCCCGAACTAGATGAGATATTCAGGCGTGATTTTCTATTTCAATTCGAAAAGTTATCCCCCCACAACCAGAACGAACCGAACCCCCCAGACAAAACAAATCTTTCATACGCTGTCTCTCTCTCCCCTTCCCAGGTCTGCAATGGACAGTTGTCGATTCAAACTATCCGCGCTTTTCCCTGCCCGCCTGCCAGTCCAACCTGATTGGGAATGGCAGCGGTGGCGGTGGCGGTGGCGGCGGCGGTGCCGGCAATCAGAGCAGTGCGAATAGTAGCGCCGGCGGCGGCAACGTAGGCGGTGGTGGCACCAACGAGCAGCGTCAGCAGCAGCAGCACGAGGCACAGCAGCAGGCCACCCAGCAGCAGCAGCATCTGCAGCAACTGCACTACCAGCAGCAGCAGCAACAGCAGCAGCAGGAGCAGGCGGCGGCGGCCGCCTCCGGTCAGGCGTACTCCTCCCAGATCATAACCGTCAACAACCTAGTCAGCGGATATGCGACGGCGGCCCAGAACCTCTCGCCCACCTCACCCAACGAGTCCAACATGGTCCAGTCTGTCTACAGTCAGGGCCCCACGCCCACACAGTCGCCGGTGCATTCTGGCGTGACCGCCGCAGGCGCAGGGGGAGCAAGTACAGGCACAGGCAGCGGCGGTGGCGGCGGCAACAGCAGTGGAGCGGCGAGCCAGGTGGTGAAGCGCAAGCGATCAGTGAACCCACAAGGCGACGAGAACTTCATAAGGGCTCTGGAGGCGGTTCGCACGGGTGGAATTGGCTTCTGCAAGGCGGCCCGATTGTACGGCGTGAACAATCGGACTCTGTGGCTCGAGTACAAGAAGCGTGGCTACCCGGTGTCGCGGCCGAGCATAAAGGCGCGTGTGGTCAAGCAGGAGCCGAACCTCTCGCCGTCTCCAACACCGTCAACAAATCCGGGCGACGACACAGCAAACGAAACGCTCAACATGCAGATTCCACCGCAGGCAGAGACCCCGACACCTTCCCTGATGTGCACACCCCACCACGGCAGCATCGGCAGCAGTGCGGGCACCTTGCCCAGCGGCGGCAACTCCCATCCGGCCATCGGGGTGATGAGCCTCTTCGACGCACGCTACATGGACTCGCCGGGAAATGTACACACCATGTCTCGGCAGCGGTACATCGACGCCACAGGCGCCGGGGCGGGAGCAGCAGGAACGGGTGCGGGCACCATCAACGTCAATCCGACCACTGCAATGAATCTACAGAGTATTAACTTTAACTCAATATAGAATACGATTTCGAGTCATATGGGGGCCACAGCAGCAGCAGCCGGAGCAGCAGGGGCAGGGCCACATACCCTGCTGCAGGCAGCCGCTGTTATGGCCGCCAGCGAGCCACCCGAAACAATGAGCATATCAGCAATGTCGATGCCCGTTCCAGTACCCGTCTCTGTTTCGGCCATGGGCATGGCCCATAGCTTTCTGATCAACAATTTCGTAACGGTGGCGGGCCCCCCAGTGGCAACGGTGAGCAGTACGCTTGGGCCACTGGTCAACACCGGCCTGCAATACATGGACAAACCATAAAAGAAGAGCATAAGGGCAAGAGGGCAAGAGGAATACCCATCTCCCCCCACCCCCTAAAATCGATACAATACAGGTATTAGAGAAATGGCAGCATAAACCCATAGTGTACATATTATGTAGCAGACCGATTAAACGGAAGAGTGGCAATATCATAATGTCGGCGTTGGATGTTGATCTGGAGTCCGCGGGAACCCACCGGAGGATGCACTGCACACTGCGCTGAGCTGAGCTGAGATGAACGCAGGAGGGCAGAGGCACAGCGGAACGGCACGGCACGGATTGGAACGAAGCGGAGCGGAGCAGGGAGACAACGACAGCCCCCCACGGCCGCACTTGTAATAATTGTCATAGAACGTAATTCCTTAATCTTAAAGTTTTACACCCCCCTTACATTTTTACGATTGTTAACTAAGGAAGAATCGGTAGTACAGATCTATAGTTCTATCTATATATATATATGTATATGTAAAACAAAAAATATGGTAACTGTATATAAATTATTCAATTTTATTAGTCTTAAACCGAACATCAAATGCGTTGAAACACCAGCAACCGAAAGTGTCCCATGTATCAGCCTCCCAAGGGGATATGTGCGCAGCTCTAGATAGGGTGCTGTGCCAGAAGCCAGCCGAGCATACACTCTGCGAATACCCTACCCTACCCTGCTGTGTGTCGATATTCGGGTGATATTCGGCCCCATTTAAGATGTTCAATCCATATTTTTTTTCTTTTTTTTTTTTTTGAGATTCCTTTTGTATGGGAAATCCCTTAACACACACTCGGTACGGTATGGTGCGAGAGGGTATGGTGGGCTGCCTGGCCCATCAGAGATAAGTTTTCTTCCAAGTTTTTAAAGAAATTTTGAATTGTGCACTTGTGTTATAGTAGCAAATATCAGTATGTTAGGTACTCCTATATTCATTATCTTTATATAATTGTATATATATACGATATAGCATCTTAGGTATAAAGATATATATATATATAACGTTTTGTGTACAGTTGAAAGGCGAAGAATCAATTTTATTTGAAGCACACACACACAGAAACACACGTAATCGTCAGTCGGTCCCTCCCTCAGAGGAACAGAGAGAGCGAGAGAGAGAGAGAGAGATGATCTGTTCGGTCGAGGGGCCGTACAATAGTTTTAAGCAAAATAGATCCACAGAAATTGAACGAGAGAAGAAGAGCAATGTAAGAGAATCGGATATGTATGATATACTTATATGTACCACACCACTCAATATATATGTATATATATTTATATTTGTGAATGTACCCAACAATTTTTTATTTCTTCAACTCTTCGAATGTGTCGGAAAAGCGGAGAGCGAGCAGGCTTCCTGTGGATGTGGAAGTGGGACCCCCAGATTATCGGCGAACGTTTTTTTTTCCTGCAAGACTCTACGCGACATGAGAGTCACATAGCGAGGCGGCGGTAGTCGGTATTTTTTTTTTTTTTTTTTAGAGGGCAGTTTTCTTTGTAAATAGGGTATCATAGTGTAGTAGCAGTAGTATGTGTGTATGTACATATAGACACAAGATCGGCCGAGAGATACCGAGAACCATATGCAGGACACTCGCAATAGACAAGCAACAAAAACTTAAACAAATAACTCGTAACCACCCAAGAAAATCCTAAATGGAGACTGCAGCTAAGGGCAAATAGTAGGCCAAACAAACAACAAAAAGAAAAAAAACAAACCGAAACAGAAACAGAAATACGATTCCACTACGACTAGACTACGAATAGTATGGTTTTTAATACGACTCATATACATATTGTAACTAAATAGAGATCTTTTTATATATATTGTGTCAAGTGCATACTAAGGACTAAGCGTGATTTGTTAGAAGTCATACGAAAAAGTAAAGTAAACTTTGATAATGGACTTTTATTACACACATAAAGCAAAACACACACACACACACACATGAACACTGAAGGACCGCAGAAGGAGACCACACAAAACAGACACAGACACCACACACACAATACAGAAAGAGAACGCGAAAATAGCAGAAAAGAAACAATAAAAACATATAGTATAGTATTACTAACTCTGTTTCCTATACAATTGCAAAAAGTACCAATAACTACGCCTAGTTATCTGTGTGTTAAATAGTATATATATAATTATTTAAAATCCAGCGCCAGTGCATAAGCGAAACGATTGTATTATATGTACGTAAGCTGCATGTTGCATGCAATGCACCATACCATACCATGTGTGTACCATACTACGCAAAACGCAAAACGAATCGCAATCGAATCGAGATGGAACGAACATGAAACATTCTCTAGACTGTAGTCGATGTGTGCAAGAAACGAATAAACTTTCAAAACTACAACGTACCACCCGCCGTACATTTTCACTCTCCTGCCGGCTGTCTCCTGCCTCCTGTCACCCGTCACCTGTGTCCTGTTTACTCTCCCATGTTAATCGATCGATGATAATATATGACCCCCATCTGTGGCCGTTTTCTTTTCCAGAGCCAAGTCCGGCGCATGCACCGCATCATCCACATCCCCCATTGGTGGCCACCAGCAGCAGCAGCGGCGGCAGCGGCAGCTTCGAGCGCTCATTCAGCATCGGAGGCCTGGGCGAAACTGATCCCGAGAACAATGCCAGCTCGCCGGTCATGATGGGGACCAAGAGGAATCGTGTGCTCACGCGACAGCCGAGGGTGAAGCGCGACAGCGACAGTATCTCCTCGACGAACCAGATATCGCCGGAGACGGCCGCCACGACGCTGGACTTTGATCCGTTTAATGCCGCTGGGGCCACAAGCGCCACCGCCAGGGACTATTCGACGACGGGCTCGCATCACCTGCACCACCAGCATTCGCATCCGAATCCGCACCAGCAGCAGCACCACCACCACCAGGCGCCTCCGCAGCACCATCACCTGCTGACGGTGCCACCTCGAATCGAGCGGCATGCCTCTGAGCCGGCGCCTAGTCTTGGTCCCTCCACCCCGCACCTGCTCAGCGTGCCGTCCAGCACGCCGTATCTCATAAAGCAGCACTCGGATCCGCTTCTGCCGCGTCAGTCCGCTCTGCACTCCGCCTCCGGCAATTTGGCCGGCGGCACCAACCCGTTCGCTCCCTTGCACCGCCAATACTCGCATCCGCTGTCCGGCAGCAATGCCGGCTATGTGCCGCCCACACCGCTGCACCATCCGCATCATATCTCGCTGCCCGAGTCAATCTACGCATCGGGGTCACCGCCGCCGGCCGGTTCCTCGCAGTACCTGGTTCCCACCCGTGTGGTGGCCTGTCCGGTGTCCAGTGAGACGGCTGCCACACCCACAAATGCCAGCTCCAACGTTTCGTCATCGACGGTGTCAGCCGTTTCCGTGGTCACCTCGCCGACGGCCGGCCTCAACAGCAGCCGGCATTCGTTCTCGCCCACATATGCGGGCAGTTCGGAGACGGCGCCGCCAGAGCGACGCTCTCCACACTCCCACTCGCACTCGCCCACTGTCACCCATTCGCACTCGCTCGTGGAGCGTAGCTCGAAGGGCAGCGATGCTGCCAACGGATCTGGCGGTTCGAAGCTGCGCAATTCCAAGTCTGTCACGGGCACGGGATCGACCTCCCACCTACATCCCGGCCAGACCACGATGAGCAGCTCGTCCGAGCATTTGCCGACGCTTCGGGTCAAGAACGAGGAACTGCAACGTTCGGTGTCTTCACCGCAGGTTTGTCTCCGCCTGTCGAATCAAAGATCCACACCCAATAACCAATAACCGTTTGCTTCTCTCTCACAGACCCAGAGGGAAATAATCACCCTGGAAAATCCACGTTCTAGTCATTGCCCCGTCATCCGGCCGGGTCCGGCCCTGGGCTGCAACTTCTGTTGGAACACCATCGATGGGCATGGCCGTATTTTGCGACGCAAAACGAAATACCATTGCCCCGAGTGTCAGACGAATTTATGCATTGTGCCCTGCTTCCAGGAGTATCACGAGCGGCTCAACAACGAAGCCGCCGCCACCGTGGGAGCCAGTGGCAGTGCCAGCGCCAGCGCCAGCAACAGCAGTGCCCACGATAACCAGCTGCACAGCAGCAGCACTGGCAGCAGCAGTGGCAGCGGCAAGGCCTCCCCCTATGTCTCGGCCGGCAGCAGCAACAGCGGCAGCGGGACGGGCCCTGGCCCAGGCGCAGGCACAGGCGCGGCTCGGCATTACACCAAAACCGAATCGATATAATCTGCGCCAGGCGAGCAGCAGCTGATTGTTGGCCCGCGTATTTGTATTTGTGGCACGACGGCCACCACAGAATGATCTTGATCGTGTGTACCGTACCCATGCATCGGATCATTTGGGGGCCGTCGGTCAATTTGTTTTTTTGTAAGCAGGATGCTTGTTGTTCCGCCGCACAGGCATCGGGACACGTCCTGCACCGAAAATTTTAATTTGTTGTGGCAGTTCCACTGTAATGTGCCCGTTCCCGACTCCTACCACGACCCCAGAAGCGAGGTGTGTCCGGTGGCCGGAAGCCGGGAGCCGGGAGCCAAGGGACTGCCCGAGAAAGCGCGCGTAAGGGCGCCCAGAAATTTGTTTTGTGAGCCGTGCGAAATGGCACGCGCAGACGTTGTGTGTACTCGTAAGTAAAACGAAAAACTTTTTGTAGCATCCGGCCGGAAATATATGTATGTAGTATGGCCGGCGGCACGCCCGCTAAATTTTTTAAACAATCGCTAACTGTAAAACTATATTTAAATGTGTGTGTACCTATGTATATGTATGTAATATGTATATGTGTATGTTCTTGTACAAACAAAAAACCGAAATCAAATACAAAAAAAAACAACAAAAACAAAAGCAACAAACACATTAACTTAAACTAAAACGCTGTCAGCGGTGCAGCCAATGACTTGAAAAGCTCGAAAATTAACGATTAGGTTTTCAAACACAAGTACAACAACTCCTCCCCGAAAACAACCACAACAACCACACCACTGTGTCTATACGGTCTATACTTAAGTATGTCTCCCCCTCCCCCCCTCCGTCATCAAGACTATTGGATGATTATGCCCTGGGCACCGCTGCGCAGGCGCACGTTTGTCTACGAGTATATATGTATGAACCCCGACCCCGACCCCCTTCCCCACCCCCAGACGACACTGTCACTGTTTTACTAAATGTTTTATAAATGTATATGTATATGAATCCGGATGTGGATCCACTGTGTGCAATGTACAGTCAATGGAGATTGTTTATATTGTGTGTGTGTGTTAAGTCCTATGTAAACCATACAAAATACGGAAATTAATAAATATATTTGTGACCCTTCTGGATTTTCTCCATAAAACAGCAACGACATGTGTACACTTTGATGGCCCATCCGAAATTCATTCACAAAGGATAACCAGCTCTCCCTTCCATTACATTGTTTATTTTTAATAAAACTTTAACTGAATTTATTCAATCACCCATTGAATCTCATAATTCAAACGTCCCACAGTGGATAATATCACCGAATGGTGGTAGTGTCTTTCGTTGCTGTGGTACCGTGCCATTTAAACAGGCAATAGACCGACTGACATGCCTTTCTTATCTGACTATTGGATAAGGAACTCTCCCGAATAGGGGCCCGCCCCCTATTATGTTCATCAAAAAATAGTCGAATTGTTCCTTTTTGTATTACATACGTATGTATTTTATTTATTTCGTTTTATTAAGGCTTCCTCTAATTACCATTTAACAAACCGCATTGGGAGACTACTTCTTGGCTGGCTGGGCCTGTGAGGGCACCACCTCAGCGGGGGGATTAGCATTGCGGAAATTGGGGAACTGCTCCCAGGGGGCCGACAAATCAAACTTCCGGAACTCTTGCGCCAACTCCAGGGGCTCGCAGACAACGCGTTTCTTCTCATCATCGTAGCGCAACTCCACGTAACCGGACAGGGGGAAGTCGCGGCGCTGGGGATGGCCCTCGAAGCCGTAGTCGGTGAGAATGCGACGCAAGTCGGGGTGGTTGGCAAAGAACACGCCATACATGTCCCAAATTTCACGCTCGTACCAGTTGGCAGCCTTGTGCACCTCGCAGGCAGAGTCCAAGGGGGTCAGCTCATCGGTGTAGGTCTTCACGCGAATACGGGCGTTGTAGCGGAGCGACAGGAGGTTGTAAATGACCTCGAAACGATGCTTGCGGCAGGGCACATCCATGCCTGCAATATCGATCAGATTGGTGAACTGTGCCTGGTGGTGGTCCTTCAGGAACTGCAGCACGGGCACCACGCCTTCAGGGGCAATCAGCACTTCCAGCTCATCGCCGGCGGTCAGCTGAACCTTCTGCACGTACTTGGGCAAGCACTCGGCAACGTAGCGTCCGAAATCGGAGAGACTGGTGCGACCGGCTGCATCCGGCTTTCGCACAGTGGCTGCACATATAGGAGAGTTAAGTTTAGGACCTTGCCAAACCATGGCAAACAAAAGTGTACTCACGTTTCTCTGGTTTTTTGGCGTCAACGGGCGCCGTGCTGGCGAAACGAAGAGCAGCTGTGCCAGCAGCGGGCAGAACTATAAGGGGACAAAAATCAATTAGTTCTGGATGTGGTTTAGCTGTGGCTACTTACCATGCTTGGTCGCCAAAACGGCGACAGCAGCTCTGGCACCCAGAGTCCTAATTATGGCTGCCATTAGCACGAATTGCTCGTTTTTAAGTTAACAATTTGCACTTTCTGACACTTTATGTAATAACAAATACAGTTGTTGCCAGTGTGACCGCTCAGCTCGATTTCGACGTAAAAATATACCGAAAAGTATTAATATACCGTAAACGGTCACCCTAATGTAAACTTTTAATTTAATCGCGTCGTCGCGTTCTTTTGCTCGTTTTGCTGGAATTGCAATTGAAACTAAAATTAAAAACATTAGGCGTTACATTGGAAGTGAAACACAACAAACCAAAATGGTAATTGGAACACTGCATTGTTTATGTTTTTGAAATCAATTAATTGTCAATGAAATCGATCTAGAATCACCTGAAATGGATGGGGCACTCGTCCACAATAATGGACCTACAACGCTCTCTGCGCAACGATATCCAAACATGCGAGGTTGTGCTGGCCGCCAAAGACGGCTTCAGTGTACGCGCCCATTCCTTCGTGCTCAGCACATGCAGCGACCTGATGCGGAATCTCCTGGTGGATGTTCCGCCGGGCTTTGAGGCCACCATAGTGCTGCCCGATGTCCGAGGCGAACTGCTGGAAAGCATGTTGTCGTTCATCTATATGGGCGAAACAGCCCTGCCGTCGGTGCTGCTCAGCGAGTTTCTAGAGGCTATCAACCTATTGGGCATCAAATCCGCCATTAGCTTCGAGTGCAATGCCGCCTCTAATGTGGACCTAGGCGCTAGCGCTTTGGCGGTGGAGGCAGCTAAATCAATCAGCGGCCTGCAAATCGCTCAAGCCGAGCTGATTGAAGAAGAGGAGGAGGAGGAGGAGGCACAGACACAGATGGCTGTGGCAGACGCAGTCCTGACGGAAGAACAGCCGCATCAGCCAACACACACCAGCCGTCCGCTGGAGTTTCTCGATGTGTACAACGAGACGCCAAAGATCACGTACTCCATTGAGCACATGGGCGGCCACTCGAATGGCAATCAGTTTATTCTAACAGAGAATACGGGAGCGTTTACAATCACACAGTCGGCGTCCAGTTTGTCCAAGCTGGAGACCTCTGAAAATGCCACCAGTGGCGGCGATGTGGATATGGCGGAAGATGACGCGGAAGCTGATGGTGATACCAACATAGAGGAGCCCGAAACACAAATACTAGAGGAGGAATATCCCTCAGATCCCTTGACTGAGATGGGAGCGGATGCCGATTTGGACGACGATGAAATGCACGAGGATCTGGTAGATGAGGAGCTGCTGGATGTGAAACCGCGCAAACTGGCTGTGGCCAAGCCGAGAGGCCGACGCCCCAATCGAACGAAGATTATGAAGCGAACGCCGCCCAGGCAACAGCAACAGCAACAGCAGGAGCAGTTTCTCACCCTCAAAGCAGAAGGAAAAGATGACATTAACGATGCCCTGGATCTCGCGGCCGACGCCGTGATACTCGAGGGACTAAGTCTGCAAAAGGCTGCCGATCGTTATGACATTTCGAAGACGGTTTTGTGGCGTCGTGTGCGCACCAACCCCGCGTATATGCGAAGTAACCGCGAGAGACCATCATTGTCTGAAGCGTACGAAAGACTTAAAGTCGGCGACTCGTTAAAGAACATCAGCCGGGATCTGGGGATACCCATGTCAACCCTACATAGACACAAAGTTCGACTGTCGGCGCAGGGTCGCCTGCCTGAGTTTGTGGCTTGCCGCCGCCGTGACACTACCCCCAAGGACGAGCTTCGCGAGAAACTGGCCAAGGCCGTCCATGCCTGCATGATTCAGGGAATGTCGCAGAACCATGCGGCGAATCTGTTCGAGATACCCAAGAGCACACTCTGGCGGCACCTTCAGCGCCGCATGTCCGCCGCGGAAAGAAAGGTAAAGAAGGAGGAACAGGACGACTATGATGAGGAGATACTGAACTAGATATAATAGAGTTAGCTAACGTTTTAGGATCTACTCGTACAATTAGGCTACTTACCAGTTAAGTTAAGATTCTAAATAAGTCTTATCATTAAATCCCTCGACCTAAACAACGCTTCCCTTTGATTTTTCTCACGGCCATCTTACCTGCCTTAAAAACGTCCAAATTTGGCGCGTAAAATTATATCGGTTTGTTATACTATCGGCAGACTATCGATTGCAAAGTACAAAATGCCAAATGCCGGGTTGCTGAGCAGGTGCGAAATATTTGTTTATTTCGGTGTTTATATAGCTTATATTGTTGTTGGACTGTACAAAATCTATGAGCTGCGCGACCACATCGTCAAGGAGGCTCAGTTTCAGTTCTCGGATGGCTGGAGCCTGCTCCCATTCCTGCGGCGTCGCCGCGATGACAGCAACGACGAGCTGGAGAACTTTGGGGACTTTATCGCAAAGTTCTGGCCCTTCTACTTGTTGCACGCGATTGTGAATGGAGTGCTTAACTGGAAGTGGCCACGCCTGCTGTGCCATGGATACGCTGCCGTTTGTGCCTTGGCACTGGGCCTTAATCTCCATTGGACATCGCTGGCGGTGCTGGTTCTGCTGGTCGGTAGCTATTTTCTGGTGTCGTTGACCGGCTCCAAGCGCCTGGTGTGGCTCCTCTCCGCCGGCTGGATCCTGTGGATCAATGTGATGAAGAACAACACGTGGTGGATTGACCGCGTCGGCTATGCGGAGTATGTAATGGTGATAGTTACTCTTTCTTGGAGTTTGCTGCGCGGCTGCAGCTTTGCCCTGTCGAAATTTGGCGCACAGAAGGACGTTAACACATCAAGCTACGACTTGATCCAGTATCTGGGCTATGCCATGTACTTTCCATGCCTAACCTACGGGCCCATCATCAGCTACCAGCGATTCGCAGCTCGTCGCCAGGGACAGGGAGTGCCACGGAATTGGCTGGGATTTATTTGCGCCGTGGGACGCAGCGCTATCTGGTGGCTACTGATGCAGTGCGGACTCCACTACTTCTACATACACTACATGGCGAGGGATGTCCGCATGGTGGCCATGATGGACTCTGTTTTCTGGCAGCACTCTGCCGGCTATTTCATGGGACAGTTCTTCTTCCTTTACTACGTGGTCACCTATGGCCTGGGGATCGCCTTTGCGGTGCACGATGGGATTCCGGCGCCCAGTCGTCCCCGCTGCATTGGACGCATACACTTCTACTCGGACATGTGGAAGTACTTTGATGAGGGGCTCTACGAGTTCCTCTTCAAGCACATCTATGCAGAGCTGTGTGGCAAGCACTCCTCTCCTGCGAGAAAATTTTGTGCCACTGCCCTGACTTTTGCGTTTGTCTTCGTTTGGCATGGCTGCTACACCTATGTACTCATCTGGAGCATACTCAACTTCCTCTGCCTTGCCGCGGAGAAGCTCTACAAGTCGTTGATTTCCATGCCCACCTACCAGACCTGGACGCTTAGACACTTGGGCCCTGTCGGGGCTCAGAGACTGCATGCCATGCTGGCCACCCAGCTATTTATTCCGGCTGCCTTTTCGAATGTGTACTTCATTGGGGGACAGGAAATTGGCGACTTTCTGATGCGCGGCGCCTACTTAAGTGGAGTGGGTAACTATATGGCGCTCTGCTTTTGCAGCTACTGCTTCTTCCAATGCTCAGAGCTGCTCTTGGCCAAGTTAAAGCCAAAAACCACTTGATTCCAGAGACACGCCTGCTTGCAGTAGACGTAAAGAAAAGGTTGACAGTATTTTGTAATAAAATTCTATATATTCATGGAATATACCATATTTAATGACACCTTGGTTCATCTGTCGTTATCTTCGTTGTCCTGCCAGTCCAGCCATCGGGTCTGTGTATATGTGGAAGTAAAGTTCTCCAGCAGCTCGTCAAGCATTTCGTCGCAGGTTTGCGTATGCTGTGTGTTGTACAGTCCATCGTCCGGCCAATGGGTCTGGGTCTGTATGTGGGACAGTCCCAGCTCCTCGAATAAATCATCACAGGTCTGGGTGTACATGTTGGCCGAAGTCTGAGCGCCAAACATAGGCTCGTTATCGGGATAGGAGGGAAAACCGTCATCGACTGAAGTGGACGCAGTGTGTTGCTGCACTTGATCCCAGTTTTCGGCTGGCGTTTGGGTCTCTATGTGGCCCACAGAAGTGGCGGCAGTCTGTTCCTGCACCTGCGTCATCTCGATCATCGTTTCTGGATCCCAGTTGTCGTCTGGTGTCTGGGTTTCCTGCACTACCATTGTCATCGTTTCCTGATCCCAGTTGTCGTCTGGCGTTTGGGTTTCGATGTGACCAACTGAAGTGGCAGCCGTGTGTGCCTGCACCGGCAGTTCCGAATTTAATTCCGTCGTCATTTCGGCCAACGTTCCCTGATACCAATTGTCTTCCGGCGTTTGGGTTTCCTGCACTACCGTTGCAGTTGCCGTTACCATCGTCATCTCGGCTATGGTTCCCTGTTCCCAGTTGTCGTCTGGCGTTTGGGTTTCTATGTTGCGCAGTGGAGGCACTAGTATCTCATTTGGATCTTCGAATTCCGTTTGAGTTTCCATATCCAGCTTCTCTCTCTGCGAATCCTGCGGGAGCTGCAGCACACATTGAACGTCTATGGGTGGCAAATACCAAGCGTATGTTTGCTCTGGTTCTGCTGCCTCCGTGGAGCTCTCCGGAGTGAGGGGCATTGCGGGAATTGTAGGTAGATTTTCATTAGTGGTGACGGTGATTTCCTGCAACTTCTGCCACGTTCTGAGGGCAGGTATTGCTACCTTCCCGTCATTTTTATCCAACAGATGATTCTTGCGTCGCATGTGGGTTCTCAGACCAGCGGCGCTGCTATATGTTAGCCCGCAAACGTTACATATGTGCACCAAGCATTTGTGCCTGTCCAGGTCTCGTTGGAGCAGAAACTTTTCGCTACAGTGCGGACATTTGTGGTTTTTGGCGAGGTGGATCTTCTGAAAGTGCTGCCGGACCAGGCGCAGGCTGGAAAAGCTTCTGCCTTCCACTCGAGCGATTGCAGAGGCATGGTACCTGCACCGTTCCACTGGACAATGGAACACAGAAAAGTTTTGCTTAGAAATGACCACTTTGTGCCTCTGCCGCAGATGAAGCTGGTAGTGGCTGTGGTTGCTGAACACCTGGTCGCCACATTTTTCACAGCGGTACTCGCGTTCTGGCAGCAGCTCCGAAATGTTGGGCGTATATTTTATATTGTTTATGTCCTTGGAACATTCCATTTCCAATTCATTCTTTTTTTTATTCATGCAGAATTCACGTAAACATCTGTTTCATGTATTTTTCCGGTAACGTAGTATGGTCACTCTTTGTGTAGTTAGCCACCATGTAACATGTAGATAAAGACATGTAAGTTACACGCAAAGTAAATGATCGAATGTCACTCTGACAAAAGCTCGCCACAACGTTTCATTAGTCCATAGTTCATGCATGGACAGACATCGACATCCTGATCGTTTGCCATCAAAATCTCAATTTTTTCAAAAATGTCGGAAAAGAGTCATGTCAAAAAGTGTATGTTCCATGGGGGTTATATGAAAAACAACCGGCCAAAAATGTTTACCCACTAGGTGTCGTTTTTGGTATTTACATAAAAATGTAGCTGACATGTAGCAAATATGTAGTTGCGGTGTAGTTACAATGTAAGGAAATTAATTGTGTGGAAATTGTTCTTGACCCATTTTGTTTAAACCTTATTTCATAGATAATAAAATCAAGATGAGAACTTAGAATCAACCAGTCTTGTAGAAAAGTGATGCAACAATTGGATAAAATTGTGAGTTCAGGGCTTTGGATTCTAGCCAGCTTGTAAATTTCAACCGAATATCCAAAACGAGGAATATGATGTTGCTTGAATATGAATAATTCGTCAGTATATTTACGGTATATTTTTTAAATGAGACGGTATGTTTCGGTATATTTCTGAGGGTCGGACCGTACTGTATCGATCCGCGGTCACACTGCACACAGTTTGCTGTTTTGTTGTTCGACTTGCAAAAAACTGTTGTAGGAGAGCGAGCTATTTTAAAAGTCCATTTAAAACAGGCCAAATCAAATGAAAACGCTGCCCAGCCGTTACTTTTAATAACTGATGCACGTGTGAATTGAAGATCAGTGACCAGGAGCCGCGACCATCCCGCCGCTGGACAATCGAAGAGACGGAGACTGGAAAATCAATCAGCCGCTATCCTATGCTGTTTATTGTGTGTGTGCGAGAGAGTCGGCTGCAGTTGTGCATTTAATTAAAACCTAAGCCACTCCGAAGCCAGAGTTGGAGTCATTGCGGGCGTTGGCTTTCACTCGAGCGACGTTGGGCGAAGACGCGGGAACAGGCATCCAAATAAGGTGAACCAGTGAAAGCTGGCCGAGATCTCTTTGTTCAAGGTCATTGGCAACCCCACACCATGGCCATCAGCTTCGAGAAGAATCGCTCGCAAATCGTGGCCGCCTGGAAGGATGTGCTGGACGACAAGAGTGACACCAATTGGTCCCTGTTCGGCTACGAGGGCCAGACCAACGAATTGAAGCTCGTTGGCTCCGGAGACGGCGGTGTGGAGGAGCTGAGCGAGGACCTCAACAGTGGCAAGATCATGTACGCCTTCGTGCGTATTGAAGATCCAAAAACCGGCCTGAATAAGTACTTACTCATCAACTGGCAGGTGAGTCAGGACCCCCTTCCCATCGCCAATCTTATCACCAGACGCTTATCTAAACTCTTACCGGCTGGCTTTTTTGTTGCTTTTTATGTTGAAGGGTGAAGGCGCACCTGTGCTACGCAAGGGCACCTGCGCCAACCACATACGAGACGTCAGTAATCTTTTTTCGGGTGCCCACCTGACAATCAACGCCCGGAATGAGGATGACATCGACCTGGAGCGCCTACTGAAGAAACTGAGCGCCGTCAGCTCTGCCTACAGCTTCAAGGAGCCACGCGGCACTATGGAAGAGCAGAAGGCGCCGGTGGGAACAAACTACACGCGCGTTATCCCAACCAAGGAGCTCAATGCCAGCGTTATGCAGGACTTTTGGAAAAAAGAAGAGGCTGAAGAGCAGCGTCGCTTGGAGTCAGAGAAGGATGCCAAACGTGTGGAGCTGCAGAAGCTCGAGCAAGAGGTTCGCAGCCGCGAAGAAAAGGAGCACAAGGAGCGGGAGAAGCTAGTCATCAGCACCACCAAGCTCCAGCCGGCGCATGTGCCCATCAAAACGTAATTGTAGCCACCATTAGCTACCATAACATGGTGAAAACTTTTCCCATTTGTTCTTCTAGCTCCCCGCAACCGCTGAGCCCCGAGAAAACCGCACCAGGATTTGGCAACAACTTGACGGATGCAGAGCGCATGCGTCAGGCACGAAATCAGGAGGCTCGAGAATTGATTGGCTCGCGTGTCGGCGCCGCCAAGGCCATGTTTACCAAGCACACCAGCGAGGGTCAACTGCAATCCAAGTGAGATATCCTTGCTTTTCAATAGTTCCTATAATAATAGTACGTTCTCCTCTTATAGACTCAACACGCAACCGCCGGCGAAACCAGCACGCAATTCGATTGCCCAGCGAATAAATGTGTTCAACCAGAACCAGCCTCAGGAAGCCTCTGTGCCTTCACCACCACGCGCTGTGTCGCCCATCAAACTGCCAGAAGTAGTAGAAGTAGAGCCTGCTGCCCCAGTCGCTGCTGCTGTTGCTGCTGCCCCGGTGGCCGCTGAAGTTGTCTCGACCATAGCCGAGGTGGAGGCCGAGACGCAGCCGGTAGACGACTTGCCCCTGGCCCACGAGAGCGAACAGTTCTCGACCATCAAACGATCGCCGCACAGTAAAACCAACTCGCTCCAGTCGCAGTCGCCGGACGAGACAACGTCTTCCAATGAGACGGACACGGCGGTGTATCAGGAGGAGGAGGAGGTGCGCACCAAAGTGTCCGTCACAGTGCAGCAGTCGCAGTCGACCAAGACGGGCGCCCTTAGCACTTTGGAACGGAATACATGTAAGAAGAAGCAGTGTTTCAAGGATGTTTCCCCAACTAATGCGTTTCCTTTAGTGACCGATTTGGTTAACGAGGACGACTTCATATGCCAGGAGAGCCTGGGGGATCTGGGACTGCGTGCCCGAGCACTGTACGACTATCAGGCAGCCGACGAGTCGGAGATCACATTCGATCCGGGGGATGTCATAACGCATATCGATCAAATCGATGAGGGATGGTGGCAGGGCCTCGGCCCTGATGGAACCTATGGACTGTTTCCGGCAAACTATGTCGAGATCATCAACTAAGCAGCGACCCAAGTGCCAAGCAGCTGGGCCACCTTTTTGCTAGATATCTACATACATCCCTACTTTATGGAACAGGAAGAGAACTACTTAACTTATAATCCCCACTCTTGAACAATAATGCAACACAGAGAGAACCTAGAGGAGATTCAACGATGACTAAATACGACTATAAGGCGATTTCTATCGTACATCACGTCTGTTTTTTTTACATACATATATTGCATAGTACTACTTTATCTTTATATAACGCGTACATATATACTCGATGCGATGCCACATATGCGACCCCATCTGTGTATGTGTATACATACTTATTATTATATGATTGTTTGACTATTTTGATTGTCAAAACCATGTTGCGTCCTTTTAAAATGTTCTTAATATACGAGTGCATACAGTGTAACCACTACTTAGTCAGTATTTAAGCCCCCTCTCCATCAACATCCCCATATCCATATCCATCCCCATGCCCATCCCATCCGGCGATCCCGGACTCTGTATACATATGTATTTAGATGGAGAGACCTTTGTAACCTTTCGATAATAAACTTTGATAATTGTGCAACAATATTGTGTATGTTCAACAATATCTACATTTATTCTCGTATTAATTAGTAGCATAAATAGTTATTCATAAGAGTTCTCAATAAGTGTGTGTGTGTGTGTGTGTGTAACAATTCAACTGCAGCAAAGACGTAAGCGGTGCGCCAGCAAGCTCCATTTGCTGTAGATTTGTATGAGATCATACTGCTGCTTTCCGCTTGCTCCGTTTCGTTCCGTTTCGGAACCTTGCACACTCGCAGTTGTCTGATACTCGTACAAGGATTATAAAAAGTGGACTCGGTCGTGATCTTCCATCGCTTAAACATAATCAGCTCTTTCAAGTGTCAAGCAACTGAGTTATCAATGTGAATCGTTGCTTAAATCGTTTTCGTTTTGTTTGCTTCCCAATTCTATGCAGATGCAGGCACTTTTTAGTCAATATTTCAATATCAAATTTCTTACTAGCCTAATCTATGCGTTGTACGAAGTGTACCATGTGGTGTGTGAAGGATGGGCTTATGGGATGGTGGTGCCTTTGTTATGTCACATGAGATTTGCATGCCTATATGTATGCTGTATGTGTGTAGTGTGTAGTACGTATGTGGATGTATGTGTGCATGGAACACCATCAAAGATACGTGTGTTCACATTCACTTCACATGCCGTTTAATCAATCAAGTTTTCGCTGTCCTTTGATAAATTCCAAACAAAACTCGTCTGCTCTCTGCTGTCGTTTTCTCCCGCCCAATCATCACTTGAATTTGGTTAATTTGCGTAGCTGCCGCGAAGTGGTGGTCGCCTTGTAGAGGCGCTCTGTTCATCATTCGGACGTCGAGGTGGTTGTCTCAGTCGATGAGACGGTTTGAGCCGCCTCGGCTGCAGCTGGTGGAGCCTCCACGGCTGCCTCCACAGCACTTGGTGGCGGAGGCAGAGGGATTGGCTCTTGGATCTTTGTAGCATCCTGTGGCTGTGGTGTGATCGGCTCTTGCACCTCTGCAGCAGCCTCTGTGGACACCTGCTCGGAGACGGGACCCCCAGCCTCTGCTCCTGCCGCCAGCCTGGCGTTCTCCTCGGCCTTGGCCTCCAGCACATTGATTGAAGCCTGAATGCATCTGAAAAGGTGGGAATCGGTTTATTAGCAATCTATAATTGGAATATCAGGAGTTAATTGGACTTACTTGATGGCTTCTTTGCGGGCTAGACGAATGCTGTCCTTTCCGTTTGTGTCGATGGTGTCCAGCTTGAGTAGATTGCGGGTTAGCATCTCGTCCAGGTAGGCATACTCCTTCTCCTGCCGCATGCCCTTGAACTGCTCTACCTTGGTCATCAGCTCGAGCACGTCGCGCTGGATGTCCTGAATCTTGTTGATCGAATCGAGAGTGTGTGGCGTCTGGGGTGGCAGTCCTGCGGCTCCATCTCCCGGAACCTGTTGCTCCGCCTGCTGCTGCTGAGTATTTAGTGGCGTTGGACGCGACTGCTGTGGCGAGAAGTGGGCCTGAGCCTGGGCAGATGCATGGGCCTGGGCCTGGGCCTGAGCCTGGGCACTGGGCGGAGCATTCTGGTTTGGAATCTCCTTGTGGGCATTGATGATGGGCTCAGTCCGACCCTCCACGAAAATGGGAATAGTGCGCACGAAGCTTCCCCCGGGCGTCTGTGGGGCAGGTGGCGGCGTCTGCTGCTTCTGCTGAGGATGCGTTTGCTGATGCGGGGCATAGTACGACTTGAACTGAGGCGGATGCTGCTGGGGTTGCTGCGGCTGCTGGTACTGTCCCTGCACCGGTGGACTGGTCTGAGTGCCAAATGGTGACTGATGCACTCCAGGCGGTGGAGTGGGACGCTGCTGTTGCTGCTGTTGGTACACCAGGTTCTGCTGCTGTTGCTCTGGCGGAGGGGCAGAGTGGGAGCGGGCTGCCTGGTCCTGCTCGGCCACACTCTTCACACCCATGTCCACAGTGTTGCGCAGTCCATGCTGATTGAGGTTCACGGGTGCGGCACAATCCACCTCGGAGCGGCCGGCAGGGTCCTCCGTTTGGATGGCCGCATCGCAGAGACGCTTCGAGGGCGACTGCGGCACCTGCTGCTGCTGCGGGGCCACGGGCACGTACTGCTGCTGTTGTGGCGGCACAGGGTAATCCTGCTGGTAGTACTGCTGTGGGTACTGCTGCTGCTGCGCCTGCGGCTGCGGCTGCTGTGGAGGCACGACGCCAGTCGCCGGTCCTGGACCGCGTCTGGCCCCAAAGCCATCGGGGATGTACTGTCGGAACTCCGACGGCAGCCGGTTGAAGAAGTCGTCGTCGTGATCCATGTGGTTGTTAGCGCCGCCAGCCATACGGCCCCGCCTGCCCATAGTCGAGAACTGGGGGAATCCAAAGTCTGCGTCGTCAAAATGGGAGGAAAAGGCATCGTCAGCATTCGTTTGGGGGGGACCGTTCAAACTACTCCGCTTACGTGTGTCGCCGAAGCCGGCAAAGGGATCGTGGTGCATCCGCCCTAGGCGCGAGCGCGGGAACATGTTGTCCATGTCCATATCCATGTCGGGTTCAAATCCAAAGGTCGGCTGCTGAAATCACAGATCAGATCGAGAGTTGTTATGAGAACAAGTGCGACAAGCGAGTGTAAAGTGTAGTGTTTGGCTCGGTGGGCGAATTGTTTATAAATAACAACATGACTCAGCGAGAGCACTTGTGGAGAGCAGTCAGCAATAATTCGACACGAACGAACAGCTGTTTGCACTGCCCGCGGGTAGGGGAGCCACTCCGACGCCTCTTACCTTTGCAATCGTATTCCGGATTGACTCTATTGTTTGCTTTATCAATTAACAATTATTGTTGTTCTGTTACAAATGTACTTTATTTCACTTCTGTCCGTCACTGGCTTTGTTCGCTGAATGCTCGGTCGGTCCGGCAGCTTGTGAATGAATGAGCAGAGCAGTTGGCGCAGAAGCCGTTTTATAGCCTCTGTCGCCCACTCTCGGATCTTCTCCTGCGTTCTCGTTGCTTCTCGTAGCTTCTGTCTAGCTCTAGCTATTGCTCTCTCTCTCTCTCTCTCACTTTCTTGTACTTCTCTGCTCGCTCAACAACTGTCACTGAGACTTGAAAGGACACTCTGTCTTTTTCACACCCTCTTACCCTCTTACGGGTGAGCATGGACTTTTTTGTGGGAAGGTACATTAACTTGTTGATGACGTTTGGATGAGGAAACGTCACAGAGTTGTGGGCCCTGCTCTGCGTTGGCCAAACGGTTGGGCAACCCAAAAATATCGCCCACGCCTCTCATATTAGACAACTGACTTGCTTACACAAACGTACATCAATATATAGCGTCATTATATATTATGTATTACTGTGTATGCTGCTGCCCACCTACTAAGGAAAACACATACACACACACACACACACACACACACACACACACACAATAGTCGGTATTTCGCTAGAGAGCAGCACGTCAGGAGAAATAGAAACAGAGAGCCAGCAATGGGCGCAAAGAGAGACAAGAGAGAGAGAGAGGGATAGAGGGATAGAGCGCGCGGGCAGCCGAGCAGCGCGTCCATTAGCTTGGGCTTTTTTTTTCTTCTAGAAATTTTCAAATATTTTCAGCGAATCGAGCGCCAAATCTTTTTGTTCTTGATAGATTGGATGGCTGGCCAATAGATTAGACCACTAAAAAACAGCTGTACTCTCGGGTCTGTGGTAAATTTCCGCACGCGTTGCCGCATTAATCATACGCAGAGCTGCCCAGAACAGAAGAGTGCTTGACACGACAGCACTTCCCGTTTCTTTGCCCCAACTAAGGCCCACATTCCACGGCCAGAACAGCAGCGGCACAGAGACAGCAGCCCAGGCTGAGTAGGTCAATAGTGTATGCATACATACTTGACACACTGTGCCCACAGCTGCCACAATGGGTTGCTTGGTTGGTTTGTTGGCGGTTCGGTGGGTGCATCTAGCAGCTGTGGACGAACGCCCCTCCTCCCACTCACAGGGGGGCCTTTTACGCAACCTCCAACCGATTTTTCCATTGTTTGCGACCGCTTTTCGATTTGGAAAGTCTACAATGCGCCCGAGGGCAATGCGAGAACGTGAAGGATTCGTACATCCGCAAAAATCGAACAATTGCAACGTCAGAGTACAGTGAAGCAGTGGAGAATGCCTGTCATGCGATTTCGCAATGTATTAAATGGGAGATTCCCCTCTGACGCTGCTTCACTGTAACAGACAGACAGAAACAACAACAATCACAATGATACGCATCCGAATATGTCCAAGCGACCTTGCCTGGCGCCAACCTTGAAGCTCGCTCACTGCCGCTCGTCACCCCGTCTCCCCGTCTACCCCGTATCCCCCGTCCCCACCCCCTCCTGCACGAGTGACCCGTGAAGTCCACTCACCTGAAAATGTTGCTGCTGTTGATTTGTGGGAACCTGCTGCTGAGGATGCTGCTGCTGGTGCGGGGGCCGCTGCCTGGGCGATCCGTATCCGGGCAGAGTGCTGCTGTTGAATTGCGGGTGCGGCTGCTGCTGGTGCGGGGATCCGTGGGCACCGCTCACGTACTCCCGATTGATGGGTATATTGATGCCCGACACGTTGCCGGGCCCTCCATTGCCGCCCGCACTGGCCTGCGCTTGGGCATGGGCTTGATTTGCTGCTATCACAGTTGGCTTCATCTCAGTTTCCGAGTTGCTTTCTTAACCGTTATCCCTGCAGTTGCCGTTGCCGTTACCCTAACTGTTCTCGAGTCCGGGCGTGCAAAGAAAATTTCTGTGTTATCTTCCTTTATATTTCTGAATTTAGCTTTAACTTCTGAGGCTTGTCGAAAGAGTTGCTGCGACAGAAAATAGTTTTTGGAAACGGGACAGCCAACTCTCGGATCGTGCGAGGGAATGGAGTGGAGTGCGGGTTCACCTTGAACGACGACAACGACGATGGCGCGTGCTGCGCTGCGCTGCTAGTTCTCGTATGTTCCGCTGCGTTGCGCGTTAATTTTCGCCGCTTTTGTGGGCGCTTCTCCTGCTGATACTTCTCAACGGCTGGCTCCTGCTAATCGCTCTGATGCTCTTGTCCCCGCGTCGCCTTCTCCGGGTGTGATGTCACTTCTGGCCACACTTTCTAACACACAAACACACACACACAAAAGCAGACACTTTTTTCCACTTCCACTTTTCGCTTTTTGCTTTTTTAGTATTTCCGCTGCAATCTTTTGTCTCCCTTCCACTCCTCTCCCGTGTGTGTGCTTTTGTATTTCTATATTCAATTTAAAATATATATAGATTTTTTATTTTTGCACATTGCCGCCGATACACACACACACACGCATGCACACTATGAAAAAAAACACTTTGATTTGTTGTTGTTTATTTAGCCAAATATCCACGTAGTCTCTGCGCCGTCGTCCGTTCTTCACGCTGCCAAAGTTGCTCGTCGATTGAGCGCCATCGCCGCTTGCTAGTGGCCCCAAAGCAAATGGCTCCCGCTGTCGCTGGCGTTGGGGCTGCTATCTTTCTCTCTCTCTCTCTCTGTGTGTGTGTGTGTGTTTGTAGTTTTGCCACGCGGTTTGTGTGTGTAAGCTTTGCTTGGCTTCTCTGCCATATGTCGAACCTGTCTCCGTGTCTCCGTGTCTCAGTCTCGTCTCTCCACTCCACCAAGTTAAGGCCTAAATAGGTAAACACTTTACTGCCTCTCCCTCTCGCTCTCTCTCTCTCTGTATCATTCTCCATCTGACGCTCTCTCTCGGCTCTCTGGTTTCTGCACTGATCGTTGCCCAAGATACACACACATCAGATTTATAAATAGACGGACGTGGAGACGACGCGTCGATGGGGCTAAAAAGCTGGCCGAGAGCGGCTCTCAGAGACGAATTCCATGGCAGTCGCAGTCGCATGGCTTCTAGAACGTGTAACTAAGCCGGAGCGACGCCTACATGTCCGTCGCCGTCGTCGCCGCCGCCGCACACATCCACTGCGTCACCAGCAACGGCAGCGGGGGTAAACAGTTGTCGTCGCCCACTAACGGAGTTGTTCAATCGTCAATCAATCCATCAATGGGTTCGTGACTAACGATCTCCGCTACCTCGATCTGCTCCCCCACTCGATACCTTTCTGTACATATGTATATACATACATATGTGTACCGCCTCTCGCGTTTTCTATTTCCCTTCTTTCTTGTTTTGCAGCGCCGCAATGTCTTCTGCCATCAACCGATATGACGATCGGCTGATTACTGCATACTGCTGGTCAACCACTGTTTACTTAGCGCTGTTGCCTTTTGTAGAACGATGCGTCACCTACGGCCAAGGCATTTTCCTCAGAATGCCAAAATGATGCATATGTACAATCGTACATATACATATATATGTATGTACATACATAGATAGTCGCCTGGCCGGCGACACGCCCACACAGAAAGCTGCTTTAACCGTTCGATGTATTTTCCAAATATTTTCTAGCTTTTCGCCCGAACAACAGCGTCGGCCGAGCATATAAAATTGAAATAATTCATAATTAAATATTGCACACATCTCTCTATAAGCACACGCATCTACACAATGATAAATGCATGTACATATATATTATATACATACATATGTGTAGGGGAAAGCCATCTAATATAGCCACAAAGGCGAAACGCAATGCAAAAACGAAGTCAAATTCATGTTGCATCCCAGACGTTTTTCCTCGGAATCCGAAATTCTAAAACAAAAAGTCACAAAGAGAACGTCGAAGCTAGAATTCTCTCCCCAAGAACACCGACAGATATTAGATAATGCCCAGAATGTCTCCCAGCATGTTAAGAAATCTGATAAAAGTACCAGTACTGGGACTGCAATGGTATCAAAAGACCACCGAGTAAAATAGGTTAGGTTTTTGCCAAGCTACGCATCGGTAAATATGTATGTATGTATGTCTATATGCACATATGTATGTATATATGTCTGAATTACTGGAAAGAGTGGGTGATACTTCTAGTGAGAGTATCGCATGCGAATTCGTTCCTTTTATGGGACCCCTGCAACCCGTCAAAACAAATCGAATTGAGTGAGTCAGCCGCGTCAAGTGATTATTTTGGCTGAAATAAGCTGAAATCGGAGAAGGACAGAAAGTGATATAGAGCTGGAAGAATTGTAATAATCGGAATCAATTACTCAGAAAGTGTTTACCTTTGGAGATGCAAACACACATTAGTATATTTTTTAGTAAGCTCTAAGCCAATTTCCTAATGGGATTTATAATAATAAATTTGTGTTTACTCAACATATGCCCGGCTCAGGCACAATGAAATATTTGCTCTTCTGATCCCACTGTTCCTCTTCGCTAATCCCTTGCAGCACTGTATTACAGTTAGTGCCCAAAAATGGATTCCTTTAAGCGTTTCATGAGCGTATCGGAAGTCGTTCGATGTGGCTAGTGGAATGGGGGGAAGTGGCAATTCCCTGATTATTGGTGGGGCGTTAATTGCCGACCGACAGGTACCTTTATACCTGGTAGAGTATATGGCAGCAAAACAAACGCCACCAAACCTGGCCACCAATTATATAACTGAATCAAAGGTTTTTACGCACTCTCCCTCTCTCTCTCTCGTCATGCCATTCGCACTCGCACTCGCATTCGCAATCGCACTCTCACTCACTCTCATTCTCGGCCTCAGTCGTAGCTTTGCTTTGAGTGAGCTTTAATTTTGGCGCGCTGCGAGAGAGCGCATGCTCGGCTCGGGTTCCCATTCATGAACCTCGGCTGTCTGTGGCTGGCTCTGCCACTGCCACGCCACTACCGCTGATGCCGCTGCCGCCGTCGGTGGCTCTGCCTTTTGCACTCCACTCGAGCCGAGTCCTGCTGAGCGCTTTCCCTGCAAGCGCTTTCCTTTCAGATTCAGTCTCTGACCAGCGTTTGAGGCGTTTTGTTTGGCGCTCTCTATCTTCCACCTCACGACACTCACGCGGCGGCTGCAGCTCGTTTTTTATTTCCCTTCCTTCCACTTTTCTCGCGCTGCGTTTCTTGCGGTTCGCCTTTCATTGTTTCTCCTACTACTTAATCGCTTTGTGGCTGCTGTTGTTGCTGTTGTGGCCGTGGTTACTGCTGCTCCACGCCCGACCGACCGACCGCCCTTCGATACACACTCTGCTGGCACGGCACGGCATGGCAGGAACACAACAGTAAACGGCAGCCCTAACTGTCACAAAATTCAGTTTTTGCGTTCACACTGAGAGAAAGGCGACTCGGAAAATCGGAAACTCGGAAACTCGTAAACTCGGAACGGAGCTAAGTACGAATCAAAATTTTACGTTTGCGGCCGCTGCGGCGTCCTCGTCGTGATATAACAGTCTTCGAGGAGTTGCTTGGTTTCGCTCACCTCGGCACCTTGCGCGACCCCCTCTCCCTCCCACTCAGACGGGAGTTTCCCTCTCTCGTCGTCGTCGCAACATCAGCTGCAGCAGCACTAGCAGCAGAAGTGGAGTCGGACTCGAAGTCAAAGTCCCCCATGCTGGAGTTACATTGACCCTACGGCGTGGGACGAAGGAGTCAGCAGAGGAGCGCAACGATAATGTAAGTTTAGCTATCCCCTATACTCGTAATGGTCCTATAATGGGTCGCTTTCCTGGTCGATGACGCCTGGCGCCTGACCCTCCACAACTCCTGCTCCACAACTCGTGGTTCCCGCTAAACGCAAATGCCCCGAAAATTACACTGCTATATGGCGTAATTTGCAGCTTTCGGGCCATTTTAGTGAAATTATTTTTTGTTATTTTTTGTTGTTGTTTGTGTGGTTTTGTGTTGGTTCTCGATGCTACGGCACGCAACCTGGGAATTAACGGAATCCCAGTCCCGTGGCAGGAGCGCGTAAGTGTTTTCCATGTAAATCATGCCCCACGGGTCGTATGTGTAATGTCTGGCCCAGACCAAGGCAGAGTCGAGCCAGGTCGTGCCCCTGTCATCTGGCCGTCAAATGCAAATTGGTGTGAAAATGGCTCGAGACGTGACTGTGGCGGGGAACACTGCGATGACTCCACTCGAGTGTCGTGGGGCAAGGGCTTAAGTCAGGGTCTGGTCCTAGATCCAGCTTGTGTCCGGACGGATCTGTCGTATTCGCAGGTATGCATATTTTATGCCTGAATAGAACCTCTCTATAGGATGTACATATTTCCTTCCAGCCACGCTTTTACTTTCACGCTTGATTAGGGGACTGCCACTTCCGATTCGGCTCTGATACCTATCATCTATTGCGTCTATTAATTAAAAAGGTTCTGTATCGCTGGAATCCCATTTCCCATCCTGTTCTGTTAGCCCCATCCATGCGCTCCATTTCGCTTAATTTCCCTTGTTGCACACAAAAAGAGCATGCCCCAAGCCCGGTTTTGTGTTCCTGTCATTGCATATGTAAAGTGAAATTAATATTTTGAGGCATGCACGACCTCCCCTGGCTGCCTGATCCCTTCCTGTACCCCTTGCCACCCTAATTATTTATTTAAATTGGGCTCCGACAAGGGCTAAAACTTTCCGAGCCAAGTGCTTCAACAGGCCGAAATTGTCACCTTTTGCAGGGGTCGCCCTGGCTATAAAGAATGGGATTGGACATGAATGCAGTTAATTAGCCTTCAGCCGGAGAGTGTGGGGGTGGGCGGAACGAGGGGGAAAGATGAATTGCATGGCGAATCATGGCTGATGTCCTCGGGTCGGATTATGTGCGCCATCATGGGGAACAGTGACGCCCGGGCGATCCATTTGGCTTTTATTGCCACTGCGATTGCAACACTTTGTCTCTGTCAAGGATGTTGGAGAGCGGACAACATAGAAGGGGGGTCCTGGCCAGGGGTGCCCACGGGTCAGCAGATAGCCTGTGGCCATCGAGGAATAGTTTCTGCTGGTCCCAGCGTTTGTTTAGGAACTGCACCCAGACCCAGACCCGAACCCGAACCCGAGAGGACTACTCAAATATTTGCCTCCAGCAAGGGAATCTTCGATGCTCATAAAATCCACAACCAGCCATGCCTTTCCTGGTCCTCCCCTCATGTTAATAAACCATTTTATGGCAGCACGTGGCCCACAGAGAAAGTTTCTCCCAGGCGGCGGCTTCTGTCCGAGGAGTGGGACTCCAATCCTGCCAGTCCATTGAAGTCCTCCCCAGACAAAGCGGCGCTATTTGGTTGTCAGCTTGGCTGCCCTTATCCTTATCCAGTCGTGTATGGCAAACATGATGTCCCCATCCTCTCCGATCTCTTCTGCTTTGTGAGCCGCATGCCGCATGTGTAAGGGGGGCAAAGGGAGCCAAGCCGAGGCTCCCTTTGAATTTATTTAAAACTGCCTGCCTGGCAGCAAAAGGAAGCAAAACTTAATCGCCCTTCAGAACATATATATTTAGATAGATCCATGTGTGTGTGTGTGTTTCCTGTTTGTGTCCTTTTGCCCGAGACATTTATTATAAACAAAACTCGTGGAAAAGGCACATTTTTTCACAGTCACTGAGCAATCGAGTCGGCTTTGGGACTGGGAGGGGTGGAGCAGAACCGCTGCGGGGGCTTCACTCCAATCCGCTGTCATTGAGTCACCAAACAGCAAGCCCAGCAGCGATGGAGTCATAAAGGCCCCGTCCTGGTCCCATTCCCAGTGCCAGTCCCGCGTCCCGCGTCCTAGTAGGTGTGGCTTCTGGTGCCGCTTGCATGTATTTTATTGCTCATGTAGAATGTCTAAACGATATAATTGACTGCTAGACGGCAGGCGCTGAGGAGGAGGAGGAGGAGCTGGAGGTGTACTACTGTACAAGGCCGGATTGAGCTAATTTATATGCATACATACCGTACTATATACTATATATGCGAGTAGTGCTCCTGCCCCATCGACTGGCTGTGCCCAGCAAAAAGTCGGAATTAGAAGTCGATTGATGGGAAATGATAATGAAAGAACTGTCGTTGGAAAAACAAGAGAAAAAACATTAAGTGGAAAACTTGGCAGCCCATGAAAATCTTGACAAGCGCAATCAGATGATGCGGGGCAGGGAGAGGGCAGCAACTAATTTAATTTGATTAAAGTTTCCCATAAATTCAGAGCCTCGCTCAATGTCTTTGGGCCTTGGGGCATGCAACACTTTTTTTTTCTTTGCCCAAACCCGGCGAAAAAAACTTTTGGCAAGCAGCCCACAAGTGATGGCGGGACAGACAGCCAGACAGACAGCCAGCCACAATGCGATTTCATTAGGAGTTTGTCGGTGAATTCAATGCAAAAATGTTTTTCAATCATGGCCCCTAAAATATTTGGCCACAGGCTGAACAAACACAAAACGCTCACATGGTCACAGACGACGAAGGCGATGCTGCAGGACATCGCCGGGCACACAAGCCAATCGATTCCGACAAGCAGTTTTCCCGGGAAACCTCCTCCAATCCCTGGCCATGGAGAGCTGCGGGAGATTCGCCAGCGAAAGAGAAGCGCGGAATAGCAGAGCAGGCTGCGAGGCTGGGAAGCTGAGCGAAGTGTCACATCAATTGATTTGAATTGAATGGCGGCGCACTGGTCGCTCCACAGTGGTCCACCTCAGGCGGACACGAGGGGGGGCCCAGACTATTTATAGCCACTGTAATGGTGATTGGATGCACTTGAATCCATGCCGCTGCGGTCCGAGAGCGGCTAAGCAGCTATTTCGGCTGATCAATTGCCTCCGATACCATCGAGATGATGAAGAGGATTGACTGCTCTAATTTCGTAATTTTCTGTGCAAAAAGGACTGGGGGCGCAGGGATGGAGGGGTGGAGGGGCGCAGGGATGGAGCGGACTGGCAAATGGCAGCTGCTTTTGCTCCATACGGCACACGTGCCTTATCTGCTCCTCCACGGATGTGTCAGTCAATTTAATGCCCGTGGTCCCACGGCAACGTGCCGGGAATGAAATTACAACAAAGCGACACTTTTACTCATTGCCTCAACTCGAGACACTTATGCAAATGTGGCGGATTCCAAGTGCACCCAAAGGATGGGCTATCCACACACCCGTATGTGTGTGCGTGTGTGTGTGAGTGTTTGTGGTTACATAACTCGAGGTGTACTGCCTACGACTTGACTTTGTGATGAGGCTGTCGTCTCTGAGGCGCTTCCGAGAAGGAAGCATTGGGGGAAGGAAGGCCCAACCAACTGTTGCAAGGACAGAACTGTGGAGAGAACTTAGCCTTGCCTACGGTTGGGGTCCAAACAAGCACCGCCGGATGATGGCAGGGCAACCTCTGGCATTTCAGCCCAATTCGAATACCAATACTAGGAGTATCCTTCGTTCGTCTCTCTGCCGTCTGTCTCTCTGCCGTCTGTCTGTCTGTCTGTCCCACTAATGAGATGCAACAAAGCCAGTGGCAGAGTCAACGTCAAGGTCTGTTTACTTCCGCGACGAAGGCGGTGGCAAAGACATCCATTATGTCTCGGCTAAGGTGGCTTTCCGTGGCATGGCGTGGTGTGGCGACCCCGGCCCTGGCAGTGGCAGTGTCAGTGGCAGTGGCAGTGGCAACAGCTTGCATCTTGCCACTTGCACTTTCATCAGGGCCAACCACAACAAAAGCGCAGACCGACAGACAGACAGCAGGAAGGAAAGACCCCCCCGCCCCTCACCCAGTCTGTCCAATGAAAGGATTCAAAACCTAAGCCCCTTCGTCTACCTTTTCTTCTCTTGCAGCACTGTGTTTTTGGACAATTCGTTTGACAATTGAGGAAGTGAGCCGCAACTTTTAAATGAAGAAACATGGGGAATGGCATGAACAAGGTAAGAGCTAAATTTATGGTTGACATACAGTCTCAAGGTTCGGACACGGATACGGGCAAGGCCTTACCGTACCGTACAATAATTTCAGTTTTTATACATTAATTTTCACAAATCAAACCAGGACTGTCGCCATGAGTTGGCCGTAATGTGTCTGGGTAGCTTATCGACGTAACAATTTGGATTATATTCATGCTATTTTGCAGCAGGTCCTACATTTACCCTACATTTAATCGAAATCTGTTTCGGTAATCCCCACAATAAAACGTTCTTTGCGTGTTATGGCTGGACTTCACCAGACATCAAGTCCAGGACAGAGATATCAAGGGACGATAAGTTTTAATTGGTAATGGGCTTGTGACATTATACTTAGCTATAGGACCATAGGCCATAGGACATTCGAAGCGTAGCTGCGAAAAAAGAGATGGCTTCATGGGAAAAACCTTCAGTGAGAGCGAGAGATATACATACATATATGCGTCAGCGTGGCTTTCGTGTCCAGCTGGGAGCAGCGTTGCGGCGGAGATTATCGATTGTTATACTTTAAAGATCCAAACAGTGCCTCAGTTCTTCGACTGACAACCGGGAGATGAGTACGAGGACGCCTACGAGCACTGATTTGGCGTTTTGTCTCTCCTGCCATCTCTCTCTTCGCAACAAAGTTAGTTGTAAAACTGCTAAAATAGAGATACCCTGTGGAAAGTCGTGACTGCAGACTTGTCTCTGTTGTGCCTGGCTTTGCAAATAGTCAGTTAGCAAAACTCGCTCAAACTACCAGCTTTTCTCGCTATTATCGATGCATATATCTATTATCGATAGAATCATCGACTCATTGTTGCGGCTCAGTAATTCCTGCACTACGTAGCGTATAAACGATTAACGTAACGTAGGCAACCACGAGCAGTTTCAGTTTTGTTTCAAGGTGAAATTCGTGCTCTGCATGCATGCAATGCATTTTATTCGTTCCAATCGCAGATTTTCGTCACGCCACTTAAGTGGGAAGTAGCAACAAAAATCGAACCTAAGTTTGAACTATTCTGAAAGAGATAAATCAACACGAACCAAAAACGTACACCATTTGTAGGTAAATTATATTTATGTCTGGCATATCGTAGAGGTACATTGAATCAAACAGGCAATCGACTCGAAAAGGCTTGGCCCATGCAATACCTGCGACAAAATCTACATAAAACCATCGCAGCAGCAACGTTGTACCGACCACAAGAATCGGCAAGAAAACGAGTCCTTAACAGATCCGGCATAATCTCCAGCTGTTAGTTTCTGTGACTAATTTTTAAAACATCAAAGAAAAAGTAATGCCGGCGAGGCAGACTCCCGTCCCAACCCACTCCGGCCAAAAGGGCGCGCATTGCTTTCCACATGGAGCAACCCAAGCGGCGCCAGATTGTGGGCAGCGTGCGACTTGTGGCAGCTTGGCCTGGGTGAGGATATCGAGCAGCGGATGCGCTTCACAGTGGTGGAGAACAAATCCCAAATCCTGTGGATGTTTTCGCTGGTGTTGGCTCCTTTGACTGCAACGACGAGGGCGCCTTGGGGCGGAATACCGGTGTGGACGGCAGCGAGTCGCTGCCCGCTTTGGTCTATTTGCCCAGCAATGCGTTGTGGGAGATTCGCACTCTGACTAAAACATGGACTTGATCATTGCAGCAGCCACGAGCAGCACCCCCAATTAAGCGTCTCGTACGCATATCCATATGTTTTCACCAGGTCTAGTGCGCAAGACACATACAATATCAACACGGAGATTAATATTTATTTCATTAAAACATTGCCTTTGGATCTAAGCCACAGAATCAGTTAATCTTCAACATTTCTATAAAACTGATTTCTGATTTGTTTAAGGAACAGCGTAGCCACACGTTATTTTGCTACCATTTTGTCTCGCCGATGGAAATTATGTCCCTGGCACGTACTCTTCCTCGTGCAGTGTGCGCTCCCTTGCGGAGGAAAGCGAGATATAACGGCGGGTGTAACTGTGAGAAGAGTAGAAACATATGATTTACATCATCAAATAGCTCGTTAGGTGTAAAGATGACAAACGGAGTGCAAGAATTCCCATTAGAACATAACGGTCTCTCTCTACTTTTCCCATTTTCCATGATCCTTTTTAACGAACAGCGCTACCAAAAGACAGAGAGAGAAAGGGCAGGCGGCATTTCGTAGAGTTACTTGGAGAATATAGTGTAAAAGTACATAAATAATAAGCTCGGATATATATGCATCTACTGACTGAGCATAAAAGTAGGGTATACAAGTAGAGCGGAGGCCCTTGCCACGGCTCACAACGGTCTCGCTAGTCCTTGTAAATTGTATCATGAAATAACAATAATATTACAATATGGAGTATTGTTTTACTTATCGCCTTCTATTGTTGCAGGTCTTGCCGGGACTGTATGTGGGCAATTACCGCGACTCCAAGGATCACGCGCAGCTGGAGAGATTCCAGATCTCGCACATCATCGCCATACATGACAGTCCCAGACGTTTGTTACCGGTACGTGGACAACACCCACCCATTCCCATGCCGGGATCCCGGCGATCCTGATAACTCTGTTCTCCGATTCGTTGCAGGACAAACACTACCTATGCGTCATGGCCTCGGACACGCCGGACCAGAACCTCTCCCAATACTTTTCCGTCTGCAATGATTTTATCCACGCCGCCCGGTTGCGGGAGGGCAACGTGCTCATCCACTGCCTGGCGGGAATGTCGCGCTCGGTGACCGTGGCCGTGGCCTACATCATGACGTCCACGCATCTCAACTGGAAGGAGGCGTTGAAGGTGGTGCGCGCGGGCCGCGCCGTAGCCAATCCGAACACCGGTTTCCAGAACCAGCTGCAGGAGTTTGAGCAGTTCAAGCTGTCCGAGGAGCGACGCCGGCTAAGGGAGCGCTTCCCTTCTTCGGCATTGGAGCAGCTGGACCGCCTGAAGGTCGCCACGGCCCTGAACAACTACAAGGAGCTGCTGCAGAACAGGGACATCTGCGAGGGCAACTGTTCCCGCGGCGAGAAGTGTCCTACAGGTGCGAACACTCCCTCTTCCAGTTCCGTAGCCGACGAGGGGAAGGCTGAAGAGGATCGGCTAAGGAACGAGACCCTGAGGCTCGTGGTGGAAAAGTGGAAGCGCCGAGTTTTCAATAGGACCCCCAAGGACCTATACGAAGAGTCCTCTCAATGCTGTAACAGTAGCTCCGGCGAAGAAATCATGCCAAATGTACGTTACCACAATGCGGACAGCGACAAGGGTCACTTCGTCAACAACCTGGATGGGCAGATAGAGGACGACAACCTCTGCAGTACTGGCACGTCGCACATGAGAGGTCTAGCCAGGTGGTACGAGAACGAGAACCCAGAAGGAACACAGAAGGCGCCAGAAGACCAAGCTACGACCAAACGACGGAGGCGTCGTAAATCCAAGAAAATTAAAAAATTAGACCAATAAAAATTGATGGGTGTCGCAAGTTATTTAAGTTATTTCCATCCATCTTCTTGTGTGATTGCAGGCGTCTGCAACATGGACCCCACCAAGGGATTGTTTCGGCGCCGTCCCTCGACGGCCTCGACGCACTCGCGATTCCGTGCCCAATCCTCCAACGCCAACGCCTCGTCCAGCACGCTCAGTGTAAGCGGCATCGCCGCCCAGTCCTGCCCCACATCGCCGAAGCACTCGCCCCTGCCGCTGCCCCGCCGCTCGGTGGGCAACGACCGCACCTCCATACCCGAGGACGATATTCCCCTCGACCAGCCGCCCACCACCTCCAGCGAGGCGGCCCAGTATGCCGCTGCGATCGAGGACGCCCGTCGAGAGCAGGAGCAGCGCATGGAACAGCGCATGGAGCAGCGCATGGATCAGCGCTCGGAGCAGCGTTCTGATCAGCGCTCGGAGCAGCGCTCTCAGCAGCTTTACAAGAGCCAGTACTCGCCGAGGCCAGGAAGCTCCTCGAGCGGCACTCCTCGGGTGAATAGTGCCGGCAGCCGTAGGGAGTCCAAGGTCAAGGAGGGCGACGGCTCATCCTCATCCCAGCTGCAGCGCAGTGCCAGCACCGTGAGCGGTTTTGGAGTGCGTCCGCGAAGCAGTCCGGCAGGTCTGCATGCCTACACGGGTGAATGGCGAAGCCGCTGTATCTCCAACACTTACCGTAAGACTTTTTTCTGTCACACAGGTTCGGTCCCCTCCTCCGTCCACGGATCACGCGTGGATCTGCGAGATCCCGACAAGGGATCCGCCATTTATCTGGGCTGCTCCGCGCCGCGGGCCTCCACTCTGTCTATATCATCGTCGCGGGGCTCGTCGGGTGGCTCCGCCCCTCCTTCGCCCTGTAACACACCGCCTGTCAGTCCACGTCACGGGGTTAGGAGGTCAGTGGTCGATTCTCTAATCACTCTTGCAATCCACTGCTAATCATCAGGAGTCTTCTCTTCCTACAGATCCACTAGTCTGGTGAAAAAGCCGAGATGAAGGCCAGGCCAGAGGGGATGGATTATGCGTAAGGCGAGCTGCACCTGCACCCACTGCATCCACTGGAACTACTTAGTCTGTAATCAGTAAACAGTAAACCGTAATCCTTAGTCCTTAATCCGTAATCCGTAATCCGTAATGCCTAGGCAACCCCCATGGCATTCATTGGAAAACGCGCGCGAGACCTGCAGAATTATTTGAAGAAGAAGAACAAGGATTTCGTGGATGGGTACCCTCTGACTTACTGTTATTAGACGCCGAGGCTGTGGCATCCTACGTTGCTAGCTTTGGCTGCTGAGCCCCTCGGCTTCAGGAGCAGCTTGAATCAAAATCAGATGTTGACAGATTATTTTTCAGAGACGCATTTAAAAAGTACCGACATATACATATACACACATATTTACTGTATATTATATAGCGTACTCGTATGTATTTATACGAGCAGATTTGTTGTCGGTCCAGTTGCAAGGACTGACCACCCCCTAGGCCCAGGATTAGGTCCAGGCCCAGCCCCAGCCTCTGGCAGCGCGGGCATTTGTTAGTTTTGTACCAAGCAAGCGAGAGGCAGAGACAGAAGTCGCACAATAATTGAGAATTGTACAATTGCGTATGTTTTTTTGATTAGATTCATTGTTGAAAATATTTTGATAGCAAACCAAAAGAACAAAAAAAATAATAATAAGGGTTCCACAGGGAAACCAGAAACAGAAGCGTTATATACATTCATACCTAGCTGATATTGATATTGATACTCCCCGTATGGGACTCGATTCGAGATTGTTATTTAGAGTTGTTGCATTGTGTAGCATTGAATATATAAACCAAGTTTATTAGCTCACTCCTCAATACTCACTCCCCCCCACGGCCCACCCTCACGCGAGATAAGCAATACCAGAGGATTTTTCGAAATGAGTCGAAATACACGAGAATTAAAGCAAAACCAAAATTAAACTAAATTTAACAATACACTATACAAACGCATTGAAGTGTGCTTTAAAGCTTGTGGCTTATCGTTAAGAAATGAAAAAAACACAATTAGATTTGTAATTTGTAAGGGCGCAAATTTATTTACAACACTTCCTAGAATATCGAAAACAATCTAAGGGAGATTTGAGACATTTTTGCAAGCTGGCTTTGGCAAAAGGAATTCAGTTACGAGGCGGATGGTGGGGCAATCAAATATTGTATTTATAATGCCTAGAGAAATGCACAAATCGGTTTTAAACTAAAGTTATATAATGAAATCGTTAAGTTTGACAAATTAATACAATTATTATACAATAATAAAGGCAACTGTCTCCAAGACACTGAAAATTGATATGAGATCTGACACATACTCGTACTAGCTAATAAAATAAAACGCGCCATGCATATCCCTGGAAATATGATTTGGTCTAAGGAGGCGATGTCCTCAAAGAGCCACTACCAGAGTATCTTCAGATCCACAAACACGAAACAGGTGTGAAGATCAACTGCAGGGGACTCTTCAATTGAATTCAACATTTTTTAGTATTTGAATTTAACTATTTTGGCCAGGGCTGTCGCTCTCGTTCGTCTAACGTTATTGGTGGCCGTCACGTAGCGTTGCTTACGTTGAATATCTATCGCAGTTTTCGATAGGCAACCGGCGATCGCAACTTTGTAAACAAAACACACACACAAGCAAACACACATCAAAATTAAGTATGCCGCACATCTGAAAAAGAGAGCAATGACGGAGAGAGTTCTATCAATTTCTGACCAGGCCATGAACTGGCATATGGGAGAGGTGCAGTGAGCCAAGCCAGGCAGGTCTCGGATGTTTAATTCGTCTCCTTTTCGTGCCGCAGGTGTTGCCGGGCCTGTATGTGGGAAGCTACCACGACTCCAAGGATCGCGCGCAACTGGAGCGGTTCCAAATCTCCCACATTGTTGCCGTCCATGACAGTCCGAAGCGTCTGCTGCTGGTACAGGGAGATCCCCCACCCTGCGAACCCCCTGGTCACTTTGTTCTCCGATTCGTTGCAGGACAAACACTACCTATGCGTCATGGCCTCGGACATGCCGGACCAGAACCTCGCCCAATACTTCTCCGTCTGCAATGATTTTATCCACGCCGCCCGGTTGCGGGAGGGCAACGTGCTCATCCACTGCCTGGCGGGAATGTCGCGCTCGGTGACCGTGGCCGTGGCCTACATCATGACGTCCACGCATCTCAACTGGAAGGAGGCGTTGAAGGTGGTGCGCGCGGGCCGCACCGTAGCCAATCCGAACACCGGTTTCCAGAATCAGCTGCAGGAGTTTGAGCAGTTCAAGCTGTCAGAGGAGCGACGCCGGCTAAGGGAGCGCTTCCCTTCTTCGGCATTGGAGCAGCTGGACCGCCTAAAGGTAGCAACGGCCCTCCTGCAGAACCGCGACATCTGCGAGGGCAACAGTTCCCGCGGCGAGAAGAGCCCCACAGATGCCTGCATCCCAGCATTCGATGCGAATGCCGACAAAGGAGCGGTCCCGACCAATGTGGCCTACACCTTGCAGTTTGCGGTGGACAAACGAAAGCCTGTGTCCTCTGGTCAACACCCTAAAAAACTGCACAAAGAAATTTCCGAAGGTATTAGTTGCGGCGAGGAAATAATGCCCAACGTGCTTTACTACAAAGCGAACGGAAGTATAGGACGCTTCGACAATGAGTTCCTGTTTGGCAGAAACGAAGCATCTGCCGCCGGAGCTGGCGGCAGTAATCCAGCCGATCAAGTCGCTGAGCCTGAGACGGAATCGGCGACAGCCCAGGGCGATAAAAAGACACCATAGGCCTTACAGCTTTACGAGTACTTTCTCCAGTTTATTCATCCATTAAGTTAACCAAATAAATAACTACAAAAAAATTCCATTAGGTTATTGACTATTCGGTTTAGGTAAGGTTAGCGATTGGATTTGTTTAGACAACGACTAGATTTATAATCACTCTCACAATATGCTGATGCTACAGATACCACAATTACATACTTGACGCGGCACAAACCCAGCGGAACATGCCAACGGGAATTCGATGGGATGCGATGTGCTGGGTCTGTGCCTGGTCCTAACAACACTAAAAGCGATCAAAATACTTGGCTAAACATACTGAACACAAATTCCACTAAGATCCCTGTAGTTGGGTTATACTATAAGTACTAGACGGCCTCCTGTTCGCCTGCTCACACCTCCACATGGTTCAGGAGCAGCGGAGTGTTGGCAGTCGGATATGAGGAGGGACGCCGCTGATTCTGCTGGACGCTCACCACCTCGATGCTCTGGCAGGACAAGGTCAGCGACAGCGTCGTCTCCTCGTAGCGGGAGTGTGTGGATCCCCCCGAGGAGCGGCGCAGCCCCGTGTAGGAATCCACCTCGAGCAGGGCCTCGTCACTGAAATAGTTGCAAAGATAAGTTGCTTGCCCGTGCGACACAAAAAGTCAACTGCCAACCTGTGATAGCGATGATGTTCGAGGAGGCTGCCCGCAGCGAACCGCAGCTTCTTGGGCGACTCCAGGCTGGAGGATCGGGTGAGCGAGTTTCGTGGCAGGTTCTTCTGCTTCAGCGAGGACCGTATGCCGTACTCGTTGGCCTGGTCCTGGGCCTGCTTGATGGTGCCCTGAATGAACTTGTTGAGGGCTCGCGAGCCCCTTCGCTGGGACCGTTCGTAGGTGCGGCGAGTACGCGCCTCCTCGTCCTCCCCCAGCAGCCAGTACGTGCGCTGCTCGCCCTTGCCCTTCATCGAGATCATACCACGCTCCTGGAAGTGATAGCCCCCCAGGCGATCGAGTAGCTGTCGACACTGCCCGCTGCAGTGGATCTTCAGGGGCACGCCGCTGGACTCCATGCGCGAGGCGGTGTTGACGGTGTCGCCAAAGAGGCAGTATCGCGGCATCTTCAGGCCCACGACGCCGGCACACACAGGCCCCGAGTGGATGCCGATACGCAGCAGCAGACGATTGGTGGGCCGATGACGGATCTTGAACTCGGAAACAGCACTCAACAAGTGCAGCGACATGGTGGCTATCTCGGCCGCGTGGAGATCCCCGTTGCGGAGTGGGAGGCCGGACACCACCATGTATGCATCGCCTATGGTCTCCACCTTGTAGACATCGTAGTGGCCGATGATCGAGTCGAAGCAGGTGTAGAGATCGTTCAGAAAGTCCACCACCTGCAGGGGCGTGCACTCGGCGGACATGGCCGTGAAGCCGACAATATCGCTAAAGTAGATGCTGACCTGCTCGTAGTGCTCGGGATCCACCTTGTGGCCCTTCTTCAGCTGGTCGGCCACGCAGCGCGGGAGCATCTCGTGCAGCAGTGCGTCAGTCTTCTTCTTCTCCTCCTGCAGCTGGTCCGTGCGATCGTCCACGAGGGCCTCCAGGTTGTTGGCGTACTTCTCCATCATGGCCATCATGTTGTCGAAGATGTTCGGCCGCATCCCCTTGCGCAGGGGCCGAAGCTTGGCACGGATTGTCTTGAAATCCGGCCTATCCTCGGCCCTCTCCGACCAGCACTCCCGCAGGCACTCGCTGACGCAGTCGAACGCCGTCTCCAGGGGCTGCAGGGAGGGTCTGTAGGGATTCAGCTGATCCTGCGGCTGGAGCACCTTCTGCAGGCATTGCATGGCCGTCAGGCCAGTCTCCCCGAAAGGTCCACGCCGCACATGCATCTCGTAGAGCAGAATGCCAAAGGAATAGGAATCTCCGCGCTGGGTGCCCATGACCAGTGACGAGGGCCCCAGCCTGAGGAGTTCCGGGGCGCGGTAGAGCAGCTCTGCAAAAGAATAATACGTCCATTAGGGGGCAGCGACAAACCATAAAGGGGGAGGGATACACTCACTCAGACACTTGGCCGACATGTGCTGCACATCCATGGAACTGTCCTCGATGCCCTGCTTGAAGGCAAACAGCCCGAAGTCGGTCAGCTTGACCACCCATCGCGAGTCCACCAGGCAGTTGGAAGTGCACAGCGCTCCATGGAAGCGTATGGGCGACTCGTGCAAATAGATGACGCCCTGCGCAGGAGGGGAGAGCGAGCAGGGGGTTGGGTTGGGGGTTTAGGGGATGGTTGGCCATTAGTATAATGTTACAGCACTCACGCGAATAATGTCCGCCACCATGGAGGCAATGAACATGTTGTCCAGCTTGACGTCTTCGTTCTCCAGAATGTCCTGCAAGGAAATCAGTTGGGTTCAGGGTGGGTTTCAATGGGGCCCTGTGCGGACTGACGGACTGACCTTAAGGCTGCCGCGGGTGCAGTACTCGCTGATGATGCAGATGTTGGGCGGATCCGTGCAGGCGCCGATGAAGGCGCAGATGTTGTCGTGGCGGGCGTCGCGCAGCTGCGGAAGAGAATGTAGAGAAATTCAGAATCCGGAGACGAAGACTGGGGTGGAGCGGAGCGGAGGTCAATGGCTCACCAGTTTCAGTTCTTTCTTCATTTCGCGGGTGATGTCGACGCTCTTCTTGCGCACTTTCTTGATGGCGTACAGCTGGCCCTTGTAGAGGCCGATGGGCGTGAAAATGGTCGTGTAGCGGAAGTCGGCATCCGGATTGGAGCTGAGGCTGACCTGGCTGGTGCGTATCAGCGGATGGGTTGACTGCGGAGGAAGACGACGCGGCAAGTGATTTAGCAAAAGCTGTTGTCAGACATGCAAAGGCAGGAGAAGAGTCTTAGACCAGGCCCCCTCTGACGCCCACACTTTCAAGATCCCAACAGAGTCATACATAATACCCTCTTGCTGCTGACAGGCAGACAACACAACCAAATGGGGGTCCGGTGCCGGGGCCGGTGCCTGGGCCGGTGCCGGGCCGATGCCGGGGCCTCCTGGCTGTCTGCCCGACTGCATCATTAAGTTAAATGCTGTCACTGCCAGAGACTTACGCGCGTCTGCTTCTGGCTCTGCTGCTCCCTCTCGTTCTCGTGCATCTGCACCTCGCGAAAGTCTATCTTCCAGAGCAGGCTGTCCAGCTCCTGCTCGTAGCGCCAGTTCCGGTACAGGACCAGCGAGACCACGCCCAGCAGCAGCAGCGCTCCCCCAGCAATGGCCGCAGAGATTTCGCCCGTGTAATCTGTGAACACACAAAGAGACGACAAAAACCTCAATTTATCCGAAGAGGTCGACCCTCTCTACTTACTGACACACTTCTCGCCGCCAAAGCCGCAGCGTGGAGCAGCTGCCGGACGCGCACCGCCCACCCAGTCGATGGGGCTGAACAGATTGAGATCCTGAAGGGGTTACACAGACCAGAGCAGGATTAGGAGCAAATAACGTGGACAAACAGAACAGGTGTGTAAGTGTGTGTGTCTGTGGTAAGTCGAACCAAGCCAAAGCGCGCTTACCTGCTGCTGGACGTGGCCAAGCGGTATGAGTGCAGAAGGGTGTTGGGGGGCAGTACAAGAGAGCAAAAGTACAAGAGAGGACGGACAAAATAGAGTGGATGGAGGGGGGGATTACTTACGGGCAGCGCCTCGCTGATGCTGCTGAGGCTGCTGTTCCTGTGTCCGAAGGTGCCCACGGGCCGGAGTCCGAGCACCGTCTGGTTGCGGCCGTTCCTCGCCGTTCCCCTGGCTAATACTGTGTAGTTGCCGGCCGCATCTCCGTTCTCGTCGATGTAGACGTGGTAGCTGGGGATTCAAGATTCAGGCGAAATGTAGGCGATCCAGGAGCTGGTTGGGGGTGGGTGGTGGCGGTTGGACTACTCACCCCATGGCGCTGCGATAGCGCGAACCCTTGATGGCCGACACAATGGCGCTGCCGTTCTTGGGCCGGCCGCCCGACTCCAGCACTTCCAGCAGGGCCTTGGCGTACAGATGCACGGCATCATAGAGATAGGCCGCCTCGGCGCTTATCTGTGGATGGTTGGAGATGGTGGCAATGAGATACGGCTTGGGTTTCCCTTAATGCGTGCGGCAAACCTGCTTAGTGCCCCCGAAAAGACCCAGCGGATTGGGGAAATTGAATGGCGGTCGCTCCATGTATTTGTTGACCTAGAAACAGCCAGAAAAAGAAATGGGGGTCGGGTCAGAATGTGTGCTCAATGTGGCGAAAGTGCCGACAATTATGAGATGAGATCAGAGCGGATGCAGCGCATCAATCACATCACTGTCAGGGCCTGTCATTCACCAACCTCCTGGGCGAACGTGGCGAAGGAGACGGGCGCTGTGGGCACGATGCCCAGATAGGACTGGAACGCCTGCACGGCCAGCGGCTCCACCTCCTCCAGCAGCAGGCCGCGCAGATACTTCTCGGGCTTGGCCGGCTCGTACTGCTCGATGTCGATGCCCACCACGAAGTAATCGCCTGCGGAGAGCAGTCCCCTCCTCTGGAGCGAGACCATTAGGCCGACGTGCTCGTAGTAGTGCCCCAGAATGAGGTAGACTTTGGAAAGGGAAGGGATTCGGATTAGGCTTAAAGAGACTCCTCCACTCCTCTACTCACTGCGCGTGTTGACATGGGTCTGCTCCACGAGCGCCTCAAAGGGATTGGCCATGAACCCGTGATGGTATATGGTGTTCCAGGTGCGGACGTCCCGAATGCTGACGCCGGCCGCACTCAGCGTGCTCAAGATGGTCTCCGCCACGGGCTGGTACTGGCCGCTGGCATCGTCCAGGTAGAGGAAGCTCACCTGCGTCCAGTTGAAGGCCAGCAGCAAGGCCACCACCGACTTGGATATCTGCGTGTCCGGGGGCCGGGTCCTAGCGAACGTCGGAAAGTCCCCCTTGTTCGAGGGATCGCGATGGGTGCAGTACTGTGGGGGAATACACAGGATTAGGCGCTGCTTGCAACTGGGCAGCGGCCAGGTGCTACTCACGTAGGATATCATCGGCAGGTTGAAGGCCGCCGCCATGCGCCCCTCGTGCACGCACGTCTCCTGCGGCCCAATGTAAGCGGCCACCTGCTGCGTCCACAGCGCTGCCGTCTGCCGGATGCTGGCCACCTCATCGCCGAAGGTCTCGGCCACGACAAACTCCAGCGAGTGGCCCAGGGCGCCCAGCCGGCCCGCGTTCACCTGCTCCACGGCCAGCGAGATGGCGCCCGAGATGGTCAGACCGGGTCGATGGTAGTCCAGGTTGCCCGGCCGCCGTTGCGATCCCGTGAGGTAGCCCAGCGTGAACACTTCCCCATTGGCCGGCAGGAGACAGAGCAGGATCAGGAGCAGTGGCAGTGGCAGTGGCAGTGGCAGCTGTCTTGAGTGGTGGTTACCGTGTGGAGCGGGGCCGGGGGGCGTGTACATTACGCGGGGGGAACTGCTCCTCTCTGGGTGACGCTTAATTCAAATGGAATCGTTTCGCTTCGCTGATGAGGGTTCAGGGTCCTTGGCAGCAAGTTTTTCTTTATGAAGATGCAACATTTTCGTTCATTTTGCATGTCCTGGCCCCCTCCGCTGTTTCCTTTAGACACGACTCTACTCCTTGTTAATTACGTTCTCGACTTGGCCAGCTCTCTTCAGTCCCCTCTGTGTCCTCTGCGTCCCCTGCGTCCTCTGTGTCCTTCGTTGCCCGTTTCCTGTTTTCTGTGTAGTACAGTAAGTGAGAGCTCTTTAATCACAAAGTCGTTTATGCTCGAGTCCTGTAACAACATACGGACAAGGACATGGTCGCACGCACCGCCATGCAGGACTGCCTCTGATTTATGCGCTGGCACACCCACACTCCCACACACCCACACACCCACTCTCACACACACGTACTAACTTTAGCGGGGGCTTAATCAAAGATGGCTGCCCTAATGACGCCAAAGATTCCTCTTACGTTCCACAATTGTTTCTACAGAGCCACGATGAGACTTACTTAAGCCAGAGCCTGGGAAAGTCAAGCAATCGAATGGAGATGCTACTAATCCTCCATACTACGCTTCAAGGGACTTGAAGTCGATCATAGATCAAAGGATCTTCTTATGCTTACACCCGATAATCGGTTAAGTATTGCGTATAAGCATATGTAGATCCGCGACCCTTGCCGCGTCTCACAGCGTTCACACTCGGTTTTGAGATGTAAAGAGTCACTTTCTGGACTATTTAAAGTATTTAAAAGCCATGCCATGTCTTGCTTCTCCCCAAATCATTTTGTATTAAAAACGTTTTAGATCTTCATGTATTACAACTTACACGAAGCAAGTGTCATATGGGTACCCGTTGCTGGAGTGCTGGAGTGGTGAAGCTCTTAAAGCCATCCAAGGATATCCAAGGGCCATGTATCACTGGTTTCTGGGCGTGAAAAGGCCTGATCAGGCATGTCTCCTGCTTTATGGGGCAGGATGTGTCTTTAACTTGGTGCACCACTCAAGCAGAGTAATGTGGGCAACCTTTGCTGATATTAAACTGCCACACATTTCTGGCGATGTAATGAAATTTTTATGAGAAATGGCGACGCATCAAGTGTGATTTTCCCAGGGATGCTGCATGGAAACTTGCTGATAGACAACTCGCCTCCTCCTGCCCCGTTGAAACGTCTTTGTTTGCCTTTTGTCTGGCCCCACACCCGCTCCCCCTTGCCACTCCACCATCTCGGCTGATTGCTTCTTTCGCACGCCCTTTTGGCCCCCTCTCGAACACCCCATTGTGTGAGCGGGGGCGGCAGGCAGGAGTGCTGCGAGGGCTGCGGATGCTGCTCGAGTCGATACGAGTATTGGCAGGACCTGTGCAACTTCTTGCAGCTTTCACAGTAATTTATTATATTGACTCTAGCAGCAACTCGTACCCCTTGGAGTCCCCTCCTGAAACCACTTGAAAGTTAGCCGTCCTGGCATATTGACTTTCCTTTCATTCGCTTTTGACCCCAACTGCGGTGCGGGGATGCCCCTCATGGCATCCCCTCACTTGGCTTATTACACGCGCCGCGTGCCGTCTCCCGCTCCGTTTATGCTAATACAAGTGGCTTAGTACGACCCTCCGCCCACCGCCACTCCCACTCCCACTGTGTCCTGCCGCATTACAACACTGCCATGAATGGGCCGCCGCGGCGTTGCCGCTGGCATCGTTTAATAACGCGTCTTTGGTCATAAATCTAGCGTAAGCTCGTGACGTGCCCATTGAGCCGGAGCGAAGAGTTCTTGGATCTTTGGTTAATTGTTGTGCCACATGGAGTCGCGTCCTCTGCGCCTGCACTTGACACAACAATTTCGCAAGCAATTTATCCGCATTCTGCAATGGCGGTCGGATGGCTAGGGGACGGGGGGCAAACGTTCTTCTTTCCGCTCCAGTTTGTCCGAATACCTTCAGCCAGAAGCAGGACCAAGGACGCACCCGGCGGAGCCGCATGAGTAGTTGGATTACGGCTATGGCTGTGACTCCCCTGGCAGCCAGCCGCTGGCCTAGGGACGGAGCAGACCCAAACTGCAGCATTCCGAGCGGTTTAATTCGTCAGCTCGAAGGCGGGAGTCGAGTGCTGGCAGATGTTTCATTGTTTCGCCATCTGACATTGAGGGGGGGCGTCGCATGGTGGCAGGAGGCAGGTGGCAGGTGGCCGGAGGGTGCGAGTGATGTTGCAAGCGGAATGCCAACGTCGCTCGACTCTTGACTGGAAGTTGGAGCTGTCAGGCAATTAAGTGCAATTTGTTAGCCGTACCCTGCCCCATTCTCCATGCCCCATGCGCCATACCCCATGCAAATGCAAATGCAGTCGGTGGGAGAGGGAGCCGGGCAGGGGAGGGCTGGGCTGACACTTGCTATGCAACGCTGCAGCTGCTGATTAATCGGACAATCTACAAGTGCCATAAACAGCAATTTTCGCGTGAGAGAAATACGAACCGTAGGAACCGCTGCGGCGGAACGTGTGAAAATCAGGGGCCAAGTGGATGGCTGAAGTCATTCATTCCGTAAGCGATCGTCGATAGCCACTTCACCGATCGATGGGCCGGTGGAAGCCGCACTTATCAATAGATATCACTGGCCATAAAACGGAACGGTCCCGCAATCTTATCGAGCATAACTGCGATCGATTCCGCGGAATGTCGAGAACAAGGGGTCTCCCGATCAGTCGATTACAGAATGCAGACGAGAGCGTTTCTACTGCTTGCCTTAGCCCTTGGCTCAGCAGCCGCGGGTGAGTGTGCGCCCCGATCCAAGGTCGCGAATAATGAAATACTTCCTCCGCTACTCAGCCAAGGGGGAGCCCGGCTTCCTTCTCTTCACGCGCCGCATCCGGGAGAGCCCGCAAGCCCTCCAACCGGAGGTGGAGTCGCTGGTGCGCAGCTCCTTCTATGCCGCCCATCCCACTGTGTGAGTCCTCAAGGACGACTGCTAGTCGAAGCCTCTCTCTGAGACGAAGCCTCTCCCTCCCCCTCCCGCTTTCAGGCTATCCATTCCCCGCTGGCTGGGCAACAGCTCCGCGCCGGAGCACTCGGCCGTGGTGGCCGCCCAACTGGAGCAGCGCGAGTGCAATGTGATCACCGTGGATCTGGCGGAGACCACTGATGAGACTGCCATCGCCGAGAGCGTGAGCCAACTGATCGAGCTGCTGAGCCGCAACTTCGATGTCCCGCTGGAGCGGATCCTGCTCGTCGGCTTCGCGGAAGGTGCCCATCTGGCGGGTGCCGTGGCTGCCAAGGTCCAGGCCGATCTGGGCCAGCGATTCCCGCACCTCACCGCCCTGGACCCCACTGAGGGCTCGCTGGAGCATCTGCTTTCCCCCTCCGATGCGCAGTTCGTGGAGGTTGTGCACACCAATGGCGGCGGCCTGGGCACCCTTGAGCGCCTGGGCCATGTGGACTACTACCCCAATGGAGGCGGGACGCAGCCAGGCTGTGTTGAGGACTCCTGCTCGCATGAGCGATCCTTCGAGCTGCTCGCAGAGATGTGGTCCCCGGAGAACGACTTTGTCAGCGCCCTCTGCGGCTCTTTGGAGACAATGAGCGTGGAAAGCTGCCGCTGGACGTCCCTCAAGATGGGACAAGGGAGCCAGTGGGCACCCACCCCCGGTATCTACTTCCTGGAGACGCGCAGCTCCCAGCCCTTCGCCAGAGGAGCCTACCACATCAGCTTCTTGTGAACAGACGTAGACCCAATAAAGAACGGAAGCCCAAGCGCCGAAGTAAACAAAGGGGCGGGCAGACCCTGTCATTAGTCATTCAGCATTGGAGGGGAGGGAGGAGCCCCGCTTGGAGCGACAACTGTCAGAATTGATGCGCGTCAGGCGTTTGCCTCATTCATTATTATAAAATCAATTTAAAAGGCCTCCCTGCCTCCCTCCCACCCTTCCTCCCTCCTCCTCATAATTTACGACGCACGTCCTCAGCCAGGAGGAGTGGAGCGTCACCCTTATCTTCGGCTGAGATACTCGTCAAAGAAGTTTCCAACTTTTCTTCCCTTTTCCCCGGGCCCCATGCCGGCCCTGAAGTGCCGAAAAGTTTATCGGCTATCGGATCCGCTCATCCGCTTTGAGCGTTCCTCTCCTTCCGAATTGTGAGGCAGGGGGTGCAGTGAGTGCAGTGAAGAATATTCACAGAATAAACTCAATTATTCAAAGACATATCGTGTCTCGCTCTCAGCTGGAATGGAAAGCTTCGCCCTCGCCTTCGCTAGGAATATCTCTGCGCGATATTATGGGGAAATTCCTTTGAACAGGGCATGCCATGACTTTCGTGCAATGCGGGTCGCTGCATGCTGCCACGCCTCCTCCTCCTCCAGCTCCTCCCGCTGTGTGCGTGTCAACTGAAAGTCGCACGAAAGGAAAACTGTCACAAATTGCATTTAAATGCGCTGTACTTAAGTTTATCTTTCGGGCAGTGTCGGGAGGCAGCTCCCCCCAGCAACCGCTGAGCCAAACTTTGTGGCGAAACCAATTTGCTGCGTGCCCCCAGCAGCCAGCCAATGCCAATCCTGCCGTGCAGTGCGCTCACGTACGCTCCCGTTCCGGCGAAGATCCATTTCCTGGTTCCACTGCGAGACACTTGCACCCTGCACCCTCTTTATGAGCCATCGCTTTGCTGGCTATCAGACAATTGGCTAATTAGCAGTCAGTCAATGGTGATAGCTGATAAGCGGCCGGGCCAACGCTCCGCGATAGCGAGCGCCCAAAAGCAGGCAAACAAAAGGCAAAACTTTCTCTTTGGGGCTCATTGGGGCTTCATTAGCGGACAAAGGTTGTGTCCCAGAGCATCCGGCGCATCTCCTGTGATTTATGAGCGCGCTTTTTGAGGAGCAGCTTTAAAGTTGCACATTCTTCAGTTGCCAGGCAGCCCGAGCCCGAACCCGAGTCGGAGCCGGCAAAGTGGGTTAAGCGGGCATTAAACCCGCCGCAAGGCGAATCCGCTGTGAGTTAGCTCTTCATTCGCCTGCACTTGTCCTCCTCCTGTGCGCCACTGCTCGAATCTCGGTCTCGGATTCGCATTCGGCCTCAGATGCTGGGCATTAAATGTCGGGCCATAAAACAGGAGCTCCCACGCCATGGGCCGCCAATAATGGGCCTGTAGGTGGGCCATTAGCCATTGACCCAACGCGCTCCTCCTGTCCGCTGCCTCTCCAGGACGGGCCCAACCACAGACCGTGAAAAATGTTGTCCATTGTTTTTGCTATTCCTTTTTTGTGGTATTTTCCCCAGCACGTCCTTGTTCCCATCCCCGTGTCCCTTTCCTCTCGTGGCGACACACACATACTCGTGGAGAGCATAAAATATTTCCATTACGGAATGTGTAACAGAAATTAAGTCGCAACAATTTCACCATACCCTTGGAACGGGCATGATGACGTTGGCAGCGCGGAGAGGGCAGCATCCCCCCCCCCAATACATATATAAATTATCCTGTGAATCCTGTTTCCATGTCCTTTATGCGATATTAGATATTTTCATTGCGATTTCTTCGAAGGGGTATCAAAGCTTCGGTTCCTAATTTGTTCGTAATATTTTTTTGCTTTCGTTTCTGTTTATGCCGCTCTTTCTCTTTCAATTTGCTTTGCTTTTTGTAATGTTAATGTTAATGAGTCTTGGAATGCGTTTGAATTTGGCCAGTTCCAATTGATAAGGAATCTTTCCTTGCCTGCCCCTCCCTGCCCCTACCTGCCTCTCCCTGCCTCTTCTTTAGCAATTAAAGTTCCTTTGAGACCCGCACACACACACACACACACACCCATGCACACATTTACACGTACATTTAAACGTACCCAAAGGTGGGTTCTGTTCCCTTGTAGCCCCCGCCTGGCGAATTTAGCTTTTATGGCTATGTTAATTTTTGTACAACGTTTTTATGGGATGCCATTTGAACGGCTCCACAGTCCCCAGTCCCCAGTCCCCACCCCCCGAGCGAGCGCCCCAACCCGACCAAGCCCCCGAAAACTGTGCCAACTGTGGGTGAGGCTCTTTGTCGCCAACTCAACGTGGTGGTGCCTGTGGTGGTGGTGGTGGCCCATTGTGCTGTTGCTGTTGCTGTTGCTGTAAGCGTTGATAAGCGACGACAGGCAGAGTGTAACATATGTCGAGCGCACACACGTTCCACACCCACACACCACATAGCGCCCCCAGCGGGGTGCCCATGGAAAGTGCTTTACATTTGGAGCTGCCTCAAGTGATAAGCGAAGGTTTGTCCAACTGGGAGAGCCGATTGAAAAGCCATCTACATACAGGTTTAATTTAATTTGCATGTTCCACGAGTGCTAGACCGCGGATAGAGCGGTGCCCCCAGCCATCAACCGCACTACAGGTGCGAACGGTGTGGTTTTAGTACATCACTTTTGCGGGTAATTTGTGTTCCAGTGGGGGCGACGCGGACGCGGACACGGACATTCCACTCTCCACGCATAATCTCTTGGCCCCGTTTTGCGCGTAATCAGCAGCATTACTTTTATTGTGGGGGTATTTAGTTATTTAAATTCCCATGATAAGATGGGATGGATGATGTTCAAAGTACGGGCCAAGAACGTTCCAGAGATCCGAACCGGACAGATCTGGCGCTGGCTGAGGCCAATGGCTAATGCATAATGGGTATGCTGGCCACGGACATCAATCATTAATCTTTTTTTTTTGTTTTTTTTGCATTTTCATTCGTGTTAAATGCAATTCCAAAAAGCCGCACGCAAAGCGCCAAGCAGCACACACACACCCGCACCACACATGCAGACAGACAGAAAGAGACGACGACTGTCGATATGCCGTTGACTGTGGTCAGTGACAGAGAGGCAGAGGCAGCGGCAGCGGCATCGACGCCGACTGCGAATGCAGAGCGGGGAAAAGCAATGCAAGAAAAAACGCACGCCGTTTAGCAGCCGTAGCAACAGCAGCAGCCGTAGCAGCAGCGCCATCAGACGAGTGGGCCAATGACAGACAGCGCCCCCCGCTCACCCACTCAGACGATCACAATTTGACAGCAGCATGCTTATGACAGCGCAGCGCAGCCTCTGTCGCCACAGAAGTACGCGCTGGCATGCAGTGGTGCTGCAACACAAAGCTTTGACTGCAACAACGCCACGCGACTGACTCATTTTGAGGTTTGCGCTCAAGCCAAAAAATTTAAATATGTTGGGGAAATATTGCACTGTGAGCAACAATGCAGATTGTTTGCCGTTTGGCCTGCGGCAGCATTTTGGCCTTACAGCTGCCGCCGACTATTCGTATCATAGCATTGTTGTTCTTATGGCGCTTATCAATTACGAGTATTTTCCCACTGTATGCGAAATTTGCTTAAATTTTTCTATTGCGTAAGAACTGTCATACGCACACACACACCTCATCATCCATATGCAGTTGAATATGTTGAGTGTGTGTTAAAGAGAAAGGCAGGCTGCTGCTCTGCAGAGGAGGAAGCGCTGGCTGTCGTACTCACTCTCTCACACTTCATTTGCGCTGCGATGCTAATTGAAGTGCATATGGATTTTATAATATTGAAGACCGTTATTTATAGGCGGCTGGGTGGCTTGCTCTCCCGCGCGTGTGTGTTAGATGGCTCCCACTCCCGTACTCCCTACGACATTCATTCATTCCATCTTGTTCTCTCTTAATAGCTATAATACCTTAACTGTTATTCTATGTAGCAGCGGGGCTGTTGCTTACAAAATTTGGTCACGTTCAAAGTCACAAATAAAGAAAAAAAAAACTAGATATTCTCTTTTTCATTTGCAATTTCTGAATTAATGAAACACTTTTTGAGTGCGGCAAGTGCGAGTGTGCGATAATTTATTAGTGCCACATTTCTGACACAGATTTCGATTTCGGACGATGGCCAACTTAATTCAATTTCTTCACGCGCACACTTCGTCACTGACTGGGGAGAGGGGGCTGATAGGGGGTGCAAATGCTAATAATGCGAGCCTATATCAGTCTATAAACACACTGATCTCAACACTTTCAGCCGAATCCACCTACCGAATCGCTGGCAGATTTTCCATCGTCTGACACCTGTTGTTGCTAAAATCGCGGCACAATTTGCAGGCGCCACGGCATCCGGAGGCAGCAGATGTGGGGCATGCAAAAGAGTTTTTTAAATGCTGCTCTGGCGACTGGGTTTGATGCAATCAATTGTATTATAAACACTCGACACGCGCCGCCTTATTTGCTTTTCATTGTGCGCTCGCTCTACTGGCCGGATCCAAAAACTTTTCGCGCGTTGAAACTCCCGCGCTTTTGAACTCGCGTCCGCTTGTCGTCAACCGTTTTTGAAAAGTGCTTCGCAAAGGGACCGTATCTCACAAAGACGTAAATTCCGAAAACCGTTGTGCGCTGCGTTACTCATTTTTGGGCGCCTTTTTGAGTTGGTCAGAAGAGCGCAAATTCAAATTTCGACAAAATGAAACTTTTGAATGTTCTTTCCATGAGACAAAATTAGATCGCTTCCTTGGATCCTGGATTTTTACGCATATCCCCAAAATCTTTTTTAAAAATGAATGGCAGCGGCAAGCGGGTTCCCTGCAACAGGCGGCTAAATTGCTTCAAATCATATTTTTTAGGCTTTTGAGTTTTTCCAGCATGAAACCCCATAAGCAGAAGTCCAATGAATTCAGATCCTGAAAGGAAAGAGGCTGACCCAACCACCGGAAAAGCTATTATTCTGGAAAGCAGGAACAAATTTTTCTGTCATTTAGCGGATATTGGAAGCCTCAATAGTATAACAGATTTCGTATTGACTGAAGTCACTGAAAAGTCAACTTCCTTCTTTCCGCCTGCATTTTTTGTTGTCTCTCAATGTCTCAAAGTCTGCTTTGTTTTAGCAAGATTTCATCTTTTAATGGTCTATGCCTCACATTGCATAATTTCTTCTTATTTGCTTTCTGATCTCTTTACCATCCCAAAATTTGTAGCGCTGCATATCTACCAGATTGCCGCAACTGTCTACATACATAAAGCTTGAAGGAACAAATCAATGTGCAGCCACAGCAATTCCTTCCAAGGGCTTACTCATTCTCTCTCACTCTTTCTCGTGCAGTGCGCGCTCCTTGGCGGAGGGAAGCAAATGCAACTGAAAGTTCGCAACAAAGGCAAGTTTGGCTTCCAGCGCTTAAAAGCTTTCAATAGCTATATAAAAAGCTATATATAGCTGGAAATGATAAATATGTGTATTCAATTCAAAATAAACGTAAGAGTAAGAATTTATAACGGCTACAAGTCTGAGAGTTTTTGAGTTTGTACAGGACCGCTTTAAAACGTGCGATAGCTATGAAAATAATATTGTATATAGAAAAAATCAGTATATACTCGTTTCAAATCCATTTTTGAATAGCTTAGAATTACCGTAAAACGGATAATCATACATATGTACATATATACCAAAAATACCTATCACATAAGCAAAAAGAAAAACATTATTGAAATCTGGATGAAAGAGGCTGTATAGAAGAACCGTACGAAACTGGCATGTATGTACTGTGTATATTTTGAATTTATGGCGAACAAAGTATATTTTCAAGTAACGGTTATATGGTTATAAAACGCCGATACGTTCCGCCTATCGCACAAAACTACCGATATTTTTGTATGAATCGATGAGCATAGTCAAAAGTCGGTATGTTGTTATGATCCGCCTCTTTGCCACCATGGCCTATCGTTCCCAGCTAGCTCACGGGAAAGTCAGGGGTGTATCCGACCCGATAAGCCAGGGGACGGATTGAACAAAACAAAAACATAAAAAAAAGAACACATCTAGCCTATGGCACTTTCATCAGCGGGGATAGTTGGTTTCGTTATCCTTAGCACGGTCCCACCCTTCCATGAGCGCCTTTTATTGAATTCGCGCGCTCCCTTTTCATATTCTGGGTCCCGCTCTTCTTCTCGCTCTTGACCCAAACAACTAGTTATCGGATATAAATGTAGAGTTGCGGCCGCAGCAGCTATTGTACTTTATTAAAACATATTAAAATGTTATTAATTACTTTTATTTAAATTTTTGTTTCATTTAGGACATAAGCCATTGCTTGAGAACTCGCTCAGCAATTGGCAAAAAAAGGCATTGTTTCAATAGAAGATATTGAAAACAAAACTGCCGATCTATCAATAGATAATATTGATATCAATTACAATGAAGATACATATTCTTCTCAAGAATACGGCTATGAATTTCTGGAAAAGAAATGTAAAGCCCCAAATGAGGAAAATATTTGGTTACGTAGACCTGGGAGACAGAATTTCCGATAAGGAACAATACTCCTCCCAAGCCACTGGAATGTTAACATTCCTTGTTAGAGGGCTGGTCAGTGATTACAGCTATTTTGTTAACTCAATATTTGTTAACAAAAATGTAACTCACAAGTACGCCCAAGCCATTGGTCAGGCGGTTAAGTGTGCGCTATAGTCTGCGATCAGGCAGCAGTAATCACGGCGGCTCTTGAAAAAATTGCCCGTCAAAGATTGATCAATCCGCCAGTGACTCAGTTCGTGTGCGATTGCGTACATTTATTCAAGAGTGTTAAAAATAACTTCTTGACACACGACATAACTACACCAGTCGGAAAAGCGACATTTAAAGTGATCGAAAAGTTTTATGAAGTCGATTCATTAAACTCTTTTTGCTTGGCACCCAAGAGTTATATCCTGAAAAGCATAGCCCTTATGCCAAAAAAATAAAGGGAATAATAAAAGATGGCTTTTGTGAATAGAAAATATTTACAAAATGCTGAAAAGCACGCATCGCCCTTTAATTTATAAGCCAATGGCTGCAGAAATGTAGGTTGTCCGATTTACCATCTTTTTCATTATTGAAAAAGAAACTTCCGCTGATGAGGAAGAGTGGTGTCTTCCGAAACAGTCTTCGAAACATATGTATTATATGATTTAAAATCTTTTTTTAAACTATATAGCTCAGAATATTTGACGGAAGATCAAAAACGAGGAATTTGAAAAATACATCTTGAATTCGTCAGTATGTTTACGGTATATTTTTAAAATGAGGCAGTTTGTTTCGGTATATTTCTGAGTGTCGGACGGCATATTTATCGTCACACTGGAAACGTCAGAAACGAGGCATAGCAAACGAGGCAAACGGCGACGGCGACAGCAACTTAGAAAAGCATAAACGGAGAAGAGAGTTGGAGAGTTTCGGGCAGCCCAGGGCGTGTGATAGCAACTGCAATAAGTGCTAAATAGATTAATCCCGAGACACAGTGACATCGCAAGCAGCAAAATGAGCGGCGGAGGCATGGACAAGAGAAAACTCTCGTAAGTAAAAATAATTCGCAAGTTCTGCGAAATATCCCCCTTGTCTGTTCGTGCTATTCCTTCTTTTTTTCTTCTGCTGCGCGCACTCACACACTCAGACCATCGGTAGAGTACACACTAGCATTGTGTGTGTGTGTGTGTGTGTGACTAGCAGCTGCGCGCAGACTGCGGCAGCGCAGTCGGCGTTTAATTGATTTTTCGCGGCAGAAGTTGTACGGCGTATGGCATTCCTTTGGATGTGTGTCCCGGGATAAACAAGGAGCAGGATCAGGAGAAGCGGTGGTGGGGGGGACATGCGTGAGGGAGAGAGAGCGCAAAACACAGTGTGACAGCTGCCGCTGCTGCATTTGAAAGACAAACGGTCTCGTCCAGAGCAAGGCCAAGGATTTTCTGGCCTGCTGCAATTTCCCATTGATTGTCTGTGCACATCCCTCGCTCCCGCAGAATGGAATTTAATAACTATTTCGTGCAACACCAAATCGGACTAAAACATGATGCAAATGTTTGATGGGCGATAACAACAAGTGCGATCCACCCGAACCCGTACACATGCACACAGAAAAGAGTACCTGTTATCTATGTCATAGTATCGGCTTGCTCGCTCGCTCCCAACTCTATGCCCAATGAGTAATTCTGACGGCCACCTCCATTTGGCCCAATTCTGAACGGCTGTAAATTTTTCAAGGCGAAAGCGAATCTGAATTCGCGCTGCGCCTTCGTGACGACTGCCGTTGTCCTTGGCCCTGAAACGGCTTCCTTCCCTCCCCACACAATTACACCCCACCACCCAAAAGTGACCCTGAATTTCTCGTCCGCTCGAGTCCTAATCACCATCATCATTGTCATCATCCCCTTCAAGAGGAGAGCATTTGGGCTTCGTTGCGTAGCCTCTTCTGCCCTCTCGACGCTCGTTGTCTTATCAGCTTGTAGATTTGCCTGCCCCCGGTTGCAGACATAACATAACAACAGCTAGAGCCAGCCGCAGCAGTGCCCCCTTCGCTGGGCGGGCTTATAAATAGCTACGCCCTGCCAACCTGCTCAAGAAAATCCATACGAAGTGCATGTGGTAGAATGCAGCAGAGAGAAGGAAGGGGTGCAATCTATGCTGCACGCGACCTCTGCTTTGGTGCCGCTGCTGCTGCTTTTCTTGCCCTGTCAATGCCAGCTGCTTCCGACGGGCCCGTGGTTACGCATCCGGCAGTGACCGACCGCTCGATTCCAGGGTAGGGGCGCAGGCGCCTGCATGGCTATCGCGTGCCACTCCGCACCTAACTGTTGCTGTGAATGGCCACTGACTCATCAAGGGAGTCGTCAGAGCTTGCTTCTTATCGCCCCGTACGGCAAGCCCGCTCCCAGGCAGGCATTGTTGCTGGCTCAGCTCTTGTTCGCAGATGACAGCCGCACAGTACTCCCCCGCTAAAGACTCTCTCCGTACTTAATCTGAACGCACTGTTATCTAACCCGGTTTGTTATCAGAAGCGAATTCCAATGTTCGCAATGTGAAAGTTTTGCAGAGGGAGGAGGGAGAACCTTGTAGAGCGACTATTAATGATTTTCTACTCTTTCCATATAGCACATCGGGGGACTCGCTGTACGAGATCCTGGGACTTCCGAAGACTGCCACCGGAGACGATATCAAGAAGACTTACCGGAAGCTGGCACTCAAATACCATCCGGACAAGAACCCCGACAACGTCGATGCTTCCGATAAGGTAAAGCGATTGTGTTGCATAGATGGCATGATAGGGAGTGTGCCCTAATCATGTTTGCCATTGTCTGGATTTCAGTTCAAGGAGGTGAACCGGGCGCACTCGATTCTGAGCGACCAGACCAAACGCAATATCTACGACAACTATGGCTCCCTGGGACTGTATATAGCCGAGCAGTTCGGCGAGGAGAATGTGAATGCATACTTTGTGGTCACATCGCCGGCGGTGAAGGTCAGTGCGGTGACACTTACGCATACATAGACGATGCATATGTGATATGTGCCATTCAACATTTGTATAACGTTTTCTCCCTTGCAGGCCTTGTTTATCTGCTGTGCAGTGGTCACCGGCTGCTGCTGCTGTTGCTGCTGCTGCTGCTGTTGCAACTTCTGCTGCGGCAAGTTCAAGCCGCCGGTCAACGAATCGCACGACCAGTATGCACATCTGAACGTGAGTGATGTTTGAATTGGCCCAGCCAACACCCTGTCCCCGAGTCCAAGTCCAACTCTAACTCCGCCCGCTACTAACTGAACCCATTTTGATTTAGTTTAAAAAAAAAACGACAGAAAACAAGAAAATCAATCTGGTGCAAGTCTTAAATACTAAATCTATCTACTAACGCATGCCTCCATCCCCCACACTACACTGTAATATCCCCCAAACACCCACACACACACACACACACATTTTGATGATTTTTGTGAGGCCATATAGCATTACCATACGTAGTTCCGTTTGAGAAGCAAATGTTTAGTCAAAAACGTTGCCCCAAGGCGTCCCAAGAGCATCCACACATCAAACGCTTACCAGCTAGTAGCTTAACCCGATCAATAAACGCTTACCATTATTTAGTGCATATTATTTACTTGACCTATCAGATTGCTTGGCACGCCCTTTATCTCGTACATAGATATATAGTATACAATATGTGCTTTCTTCTCGTACGAATGTTGCACTGATCTGTTGTTAGTTTTTCGTTTTGGTAAGTATTGGTTTTGGTTTTGGTTTCGTATTCGGTAATCAGTATTCCTTGATCCGTAATCCGTAATCCGGGGTAAGCATTTAGAGCTGGGAGGCCAAAGGTAAACACGACTAACCCATCCCCACAAGTGATTCGATCATTCAATTTAAGTTTCCCAAATATTTCGTATACAAAATTCGATATTGATTATATTTATTTCTATAACATGAACTTCACGAAAATCATCAAATGCTTCCAACGTCTCTCACTCTCTATCTCTCTCTATCTCTCTCTCTCTATATATATATATGTATACAAATGTAAATATAATACAGTTGAACATCCAAAAGTCGAGCCAATATTATTCAAGGAAAAAAGGTTCGTCTAATGGAGACTGTTGCCATCCGTGTTTTGGTTCGAAATGTAGAAAATTCGAGTTATGGAAGTTCAACTGTACTGTATGTGCACATAGTATGTGAATATATATTTGTATATGTATCTCTTGACTAAAAATAACACATAATCGGGTTCCCTGCGATATTCAGCCTGGGAATTACTATCGAATTTCCAGACGAGTTTTGATTTGATCCACGATTGTTTTTCTTGTTTTTGTACGTGCCTCATTACGCATTCAGACTTTTGAATTGGTTTTCATTTGCATTCGCGCACTGCATTTTGTTCAGCCTTATTCTTTGTTTGTTTGCTCCAACGCAAGCAAGAGAAGCCGACGATACGATTTACGTTTCTATTTTTGTTTAACTTTTTTTCTCAAAACTCTTCGATCGACTCATCAATCCACCTACTACTCTACCCACCACCACCACCACCACAACCACCACCAACCAACCAACCAACCAACCAACCAACCACCTCCACACACAAACGGCTCCTCATTCGCTCCGATAGCGCCCCGATGGCAATCGAGAGGCTAGTGATCTGCCACCGCACCTGGGACAGCAGCCACGTCTTGTAAGTATGCGAATCGAAATCGAAAATGATACCGGCACGAGTACCGCATGAGATCAGAGCAGCCACAAGTCCTCTCTAACCAAGCAACTACATACTACTTACAACCGTAACACTAACCAGCCCAAAGCAGAGTCAAAATTAAAACCAAATTCCGAGCTCGGACCCAATCAGAACTGTTATGTTTGGGAACGAAATTTAGACGTCCCGCACACTTATTTAGTTGTCAAAATTAATCCAGTATAAATTGAAGAAGACGGAGTGAAAAGCAAAGTGTTCTGTGGGAGCGGGTTCAATCGTTCCATTCTGCTGTAAATGCTTGGGTAAATGTCTTATGATTTTCCTATAACCGCTCTCCTCCTTTGGCCAATTTTGATTTCGTAGTGTGTATTTGGCTTGCCCTCTAACCCCCTAACCCTCTAACAAAGTAGCATACTAGCATATACATAAATGTAATTTAGTTCTTGTAGACCGCTCTGTGTACCGCTTACTTCCAACAGTTTTTGACTAAACATTGCCGAAGGAACCACTCCAATCACACACTCTACTAACACACACACACACAGACACACGAGACTCTCGAGACAAGAGCTCCAGTTGGACGAGCATTTCTAACCCCGTTCTTGTGTGCCCCCGCAGGAGGACGTTGATCTGGACGACGTGAATCTTGGTGCGGGCGGAGGCCCCGTCACCTCGCAGCCACGCGAGCAGTCCGGAGGACAGCCCGTCTTCGCCATGCCACCGCCCAGTGGAGCAGCTGTGGGCGTGAATCCATTCACCGGCGCCCCCGTGGCGGCCAACGAGAACACGTCGCTGAACACCACAGAGCAGACAACATACACGCCAGGTATATAAAGAGTCGAGCCAGCCAGCCAGCAGTCGGGGTCGAAGGTGGCAAGTGGCATAGAAACGTATCCCTAAAGCGTCTTTGACCATCGAACTTGTTAAATGTGCGTAACGTAACTCGAACAAATATTGTAACCTCCGGTCTCGTTCTGAACCGAAACTGAAAGAAACTGTTAACTCTCGAAATATCCCAGCCAGCGCAGCGCCCACATACATACTCGTACATAACACCTCTCTAGCAGTTAAGCTCTCGTGTACTCGATGAGGCCCAGTCTGAATCTGAGGCCCGAATAGTATATTTTTAAACTCGAATCAATCTACCATGTATGTAAAGTCTCTGCCAAGCCATACCAACACGTCCAGCCGGTCATGGGATCTACACGCTACAGATACTCTCGTATACACGAACAACTTTTAGTTTGAAACATTGCCCGACCGACTTATGATGTGACTGATGCCCGCCATATCCTTCCGTTCCTCAGGTCTGCGGCACCTACAGTCTCACAGTCACCGCTCCTAAACGCCCCCTCAAGCATTTGCAAGTTTTCGTTTTGTCAACATTTTATATTGAATTATCACCAACCGTCTTGGCACCTAATAAATTTTCAAAGATGAAAGACACTGCCATGATCTGCTGAAAAGTATATTCGGAATTTTGTTAACATTTTGTTCGATTCGTTTATTATGCAACATGTGGAATTTTATTTTGTTATCACTATCACTCTCTACTCTATTCTCTCTCTCTCTCTTCACCTCTAGATATGGTTAATCAAAAATATTAGGCGAGCCCAAGCCCCCTGTGCATGCTTACGTTTCAGATATAGACACAGACACATAAACAGAAACAGAAACAGAACAGAAGAAAAGTTAAGCAGAGCAAAAGCTGATTTATTTGATAACTATTAGAATTGTTTTTAAGATGAGTGCCCGTTATGTTGAAACGAGAAAACATATAACTTATGTATTACTGTAAGCTGTAGCACTTAACTCTAATTTTAAATAATTATACTTTGAGGCGGCGCTGCCAGCTTCCAATTAATGCAAATGCAGATGCAGATGCCGATGCCGATGCCAGTCAGGGTTGATTTTGGTCCATATTTCGTGTAACCGTTTCATCATTTCCATTGTTCAGGCCAGGCCCCTCAGGTCTGCACCCGTGTACGCATAGATATACATATATACCATACCTACATAATATACAACTCGAAACGAGAGCGCACCAATAATATACATACTATAAAGAGTACGAGTATAGTATTTCGATTCAATTGTATGCCGATAGTTTATCAAATCAGATCTATGAAATATGTATCTAAAAATTTGCTTAGGAAAAGGACAGCGGATCGCCCTCCTTCCTGCGTAGCTCCGTGAATCGTATTGTGTGTTTTAACCGAACCAAACCAAACCGAATCGAATCGAATTGATTCGACTCGACTCGACAGAATTCAACGTGGAAGGAGGCACCTGTAATTATATATATATATATATGTATGTAAATGATATATGTATATTAGTTTGCATTTGTGTCGTTGCCTAGCCTTCGGTTAGCTAAATTGTTCTGGAATTTTCCTCTTCACCGATTGTTTCTGTTTCGCACCAAATTGTTAATGAATTAACTTATGTAAAGCAGACAGAATATAACCTATTGCAGCTGTCGATCGGTGAGCGGTGAGCGGTGGCGGGTCGAGAGTAGATTGCTCAGATCCGACCCGACCCGATCCGATCCAAATGCAAATGTAAATAAGTCAAGTTAAACAATTAAGCATCACACACCAGACAAACAGAGGAGGAAGATGAGGAGGAGAAGACGATGAAAGGAGGCGACACTTAAAGGAATATATAAACTATAATAATAGCCTCCCTCTTTATACATATATAAATATATATATATATATATTTAATACGAGTAATCAAAAGTTAAATTGTAACCCCCCAAAAGTATTGCACATATGTATGTATTCTATATTCTTTCCAAATTGAATTGCAATTCCTGTTTTTTTTGTGTGTCATTTTTGTTGTTAAACCGCTTTTAAATGTACATGAATGCGATTAGTCCAGCAAGAATTAAATTTTATATACAATACTTGGTAGCCCCTTTATTCTAACCCTCTAACCCCTTGATATCAATTCAATTATGGCGGAGTCAGAGCAAGTAGCCCCCGCAGTGGCAGGGATCGCTGAAACTCCCTCGATCCAGGCTCTGTGCCGACCTCCAAAAAGGATTGATGGGGGTCTGCTCTTCTGGTCTATACATAGTATAACATGCATACATATATGAAATTCAATTAATGATAATTACATTTTACGGATTTGCGTGTGTATTTATTGTTCAAGTACAAGTCAAAAGCAAAAGCAAAAACAAAACAAAACATAAAATACAAGTAAACTACATTTAAACCTAATAACATTGTTTTCAAATTTGAATTATACTCTGGTATGAGTCGGTCCATGAAGCCGAAATCAATAAAAATTTACTATATAAACTATAAAAGTACTGTGGATATGCTATACTTCTCCTGGTTAGAGGGCAAACGCTTCCAGAGGATACTTCTGCTTGTAGAGTGTCCCCCAGACGCCTGTTTTCGATCCTCCTGCAAAGCTCAACAAGGAACGCAGTTTCTCTTCTGCTCTGTTGTTACCGTTATCCCGATGGCCGATGGCGGATGGCGGATGGTAAACAAACTGGGCGACAAGCTAACCGTCCTCTTTCCTCGCCCGCCTTCGCTGGGGGTGAACTTTTGACAGCTGATACAGTTAGCTTTTACTCGCACTCGCACTCGCTCTTTCTGACTTTGTTTTGTTTTGGGGCAGTAACTCAGCCACTAGCCAGCACATGCGCCGTCTCCTCAGAGCTCTCTCTCTTTCGCTCTCTCTCTCTCGCTCTTTGTCGCTCTCCCCCCGCGTCTGCCTAGAAAAGGGGGCAAAGGAAGGCGGCTCGAAACTTCGCTGCAGAGTTGTCAGAAGCCGAAGGGCCGTCAGTCGGGAGAGTTTGTTGCGCGGCGCATTTCCTGCCACACGAGAAAGAGAGAGACAGAAGGGAACAAGAATTTTCCTGGCTGCTGCTCCTGCCAGATCCGAATCGGGAGGAAACATTAAAGTGTAAAATGTGAAATGTGTTCGCTATAATTGTCGCAGATAAATCAATTCCGTTGTTAACTAGATTACGGACGGAGACCTGGCGAAGAGTGCCTGCCAGTGTGCCGGACGGGGAGGTGGCGAAAACCAGGCGAAAAAGGCAAATCAAATCAAAAGCAAGCCGTGGAAAAATTCCCCAACCCGTGTGTGTCCCGTGCCCGTGTCCGTGTGGGTCTGGCTGTGGGTGTGGGTGTCGGTGGCAGTGCCAGTGTGTGTGAGCTTGTGTGTTTGTGTGTTTGTGCGTGGCTTTTTCGCTTTTATTTTTTCATGCGCAATTTGGGTTACAAAGCGAGAAAAACGCTGCTTAAAATGCATTAAAATGTTTTAGGCACACGGGGCTTCATTGATTTTCCTACGCACAGAAGTATGTTACACAAAGCCAGCCTCCAGTCCACTCGACGGTAACAAGCACGAAGCTGAAGCTGAAGCTGAAGCGGAAGCTGAAAGTGGAAGTGGAAGCGGAGGTGGAGGTGGAACTGAAACCGACTCCGACTCCGAGGTCCCGGAACAAAGGAAGCAGGACAACGATGAGGACAAAGACTCGAAGTAGCTGCTCCTAGGCAGTAGCAGAAACAGTAGCAGCAAGCGAGGGAGACGGAGAAGAGACTCAAACGTTGGACACGCAGGAGATCCCCCATCCTGGCTCCGGTACTCCCCAGCAGCGGCATTGCCGGCCTCGTCGGCGCCGCCAATGGCAAGCACCACCTCATCTCGCCCACCCACACCCCGCTGAACTCTCTGCCCCCCCTGCCGGCCGGCATATGCAGCAGTGACAGCGGCATCTCCACGCTGAGCGCCATCTCGCCCCCACTCTCGACCACCACAGCAACGAGTGGCGGAGGCGGTGGCAGCCCTCAGCTGCGAACATCGCCGGCCCTGAGCATGCTGGGCAGCGCCACGGCGACGGCGAGCGGCAAGACCACGCAGAGCCTAACGGCCGGGATGCTGGGCCCGGCGGCCAGCATCGACCTGGGGAGCTCCCCGCTCTCGCACCGCAACTACAGCCACTCCCTGAAGGGCTTCAGCTTCCGGCGGAGCTTCGACGACAAGATCATCACCCCGCCGTATCTGTCGCGAGCACCGCCCGCAATTCCCTATCCGCACTTTCACGCGCCGCCGCCCACCTCGACGACGTCGCACCATCTGCACCTGCACCACCACGGAACCGGGAATGGCACGGGCTCCGGCTCCGGCGCTGGCGGCCTTTACTCGCCGGCCCATCAGCAGCCGCTCTCCTTGTCCGCGGTGGCCGCTGCCCTGCCGCTGGCGCCGCTCTACGCCTCGCCGCTGCAGCTGCCGCTGACCTCGTCGCAGTCCACCACCAAGCTCTCCTACCGGGACGACTTTCTACAGCAGATTGGCTATCTGCCAACGACGCGCATCTACAGCACCCCGACAAGCATCGTCGACGAGGACAAGGCCCAGCAGGACTTCCTCTCGCTGTCCCTCTCCCCGCCGCTCAACCGGCGACGGGACATGCCGGCACTGCGCGGACCCTTCGTCAGCCTGTGAGTATCCATGCCAGAGCCGGGTTATCCCCAAGTACTTATGCAAATCAAGTATACGCCACGTGCTCCGTCCCGTGGCAATTAATTCCGTCCAGCTGTGACCCGACGAGCACTTCTCGATTCTTCTGTGCCGATGGGCCGGACAAGTGTTTCCGTTCCCACTGTGCCAGCAAAAGTACACACATATGCATGTACAGTGGGTGACACAGTATCAGAAGTAGGCCGTGGGTGTGTCTAGCAGCTTACTCCGCTCATCCCACTGTGAGCTCGTGCCGCGGAATGGGGAGGCAATTCCACATATCGTTGTTCATTTTCGTAGTTCCGCCAATGCCCTGCCTTCGCCTCCTTGCCCACACCCTGCACCTACTACCCTCGCGCTTATCCGTTTCGTTTGTTTACGTTTTTAATTTTCCGTAACCGCAAAATCGCCACCACGTGACGCCAGCAACGGAGATGGCTAACCCGTGGCGCCCGCCGTGCTCCCTGGACTCCCTCCCACTTCCATTCACCCACTCACCCACACCCACACCCGCACACACCCATTCACACACACTCAAATGCAATTGGCAAGAGCTATGACGTTTCTCTCTCCACAAACCCGCATTCAAGCACTCCTCCACTCCCCGTTTTTTGCACTGTTTTCTCTAGAATTTATTGTTTTTTGTTTTCATACCCTTACAGAGAGGTTATTGCGACTGAGATCAGCTGTTTGCAACGCCTAAAATATATATGAATGTATTCTTGATTGTCATTGATATATGAACTCCCTGCATGGCTACTACTAACGTGTATAATATATATGTAGGTGCCATAGGAACGATCTTTTGTTTTCCAAAGACGGATACTTATACCCGTACTCGTATGTTTATTCATAACTCTGCCAAATTGGATAATCTCTAGTGGGTAAAACTGTTAAAGGGCATGAAAACCTTCGGCTTCTGGCGCTTTTGTTCTATTCTTATTATTCACTTTTTTCGGCGTCTATAAATAATAATATTGAGGAAGCAGTCGCAGCAGCAGCAGCAGCAGCAGCAGCAGCAGCAGTAGGAGAGCAGCAGCAGCACTCTCCGGAGCGCTCTCCGGCCCAAGGTGCGTGACAGTCCATGTGTGGAGCATTAGGGTGACTCATGGCACGACTCACAAGAAGCAGTAAACAGTCTGTGGCGTTGGAAAAATCAATACCAGAGTCTGCTTAGTCATTTTAGAAACTTCAAAATTTGCATTTCGAGTTCCACCCACTCCAGGGATAGGGTGGGGATGGTAGATTGGGGAAAACCCAAACATTGACAACTGCCAAGGCTTGATGCTAAATCTGTTTGAAGGCTGCTGATCGCTCACCTGAATTTGTCTCGAAATGTTTTTGGAATTGCAAATATTCGGAATCCTGCATGTCGAGTACCCCTCTCGCAGGGCAGTATGCTCGAGCATACGGGTATGCATGTATGCTTGGATGTTTGTGAAACAATACGTAAATAGGCAAGAAGGCAAACTTGGCAGCATGCCCAAGAAATCAACCCGATGATGACGATGACTATGATGATGATGATACCCATACACGCGGCGGAATCTTTCCTAGTGTGGTGCAGTCCATGACCGGCAACGACCACGACGACGACAACGACAACGACAACGACAACGACATCGAATTGATGAAGTACATTGGATAATGACGCCAAAAGACAGACAGACACACACTCGTGCCGAGAGCGGGAATCGGCGGAGGGTATGGGCGAGTACGGGTTCTAGGTGATCCGTACACAGTCGCACACTCGAACGGACAAGCTCCGGACGGACAGTCGCAGCAGTCGGAAAGACTAAACATAGTTGCGACAAAACAGAAAACGTTCTGACGTGTTGGAAAACGAACGCTTCACCTCGCTTCGCTTCGCTCCTCCTCCTCCTCCTCCTCCTCCTCCTCTGGCTCTTGCTCTTGCTCTGGCTCTTGCCATTGCCATTGCTCTTTCTGTAGCATTCTCCTCTGGCTCTGGCCGCTTTTCTCGCTCAGCTCAGGAAGAGACGGGCGAAAACAAACGCGAAAAGCGATTTCGACATTCTCGCGGACGCAACTGAACGAATCGGTCGGAACGGCAAAGAACTGAATCGCAGCGGCAGCAGCAGCAGCAGCAGCAGCGCCAGCACCACAGATACAGATACTTTTCATAATTAAGATTTTTTCGTTTTCCGCTGCGCGATATTTGGTTTTCACCCAATTTCCCCCGCACTGGTTATGTAAGGGGTGTGTGTGTGTGTTTACTCCTCGCTGGGCATTCGTCGCATTCGTCGGGCGGTCCCCGCCATGCAAGTGAAGGCATAGGAAAGTCAAGGTCGCCACCAGCACCAGTACCAGCACCACCAGCAGCACCACCCCCACCCCCACCACCGCCGCCGATGCCACCACTGCACCCCGTTACTGCAGCCGGGGGCCATGTAGACGCGACAATCGAAAAAGAAATCCAATTGTCGAATCGAGCACTGAAGCGTATAGAAAGCGAGCAGCCGGGGAACGAGAATGGATGCCACCTGCCCCAGGGAGGACAATGCCACAGCGGCAGCTGAGGCAGAGTGGCCCTGGAAAGCTGGTCCCTGGCTGGACTTGTACCCCAGCTACCTGGAGAGCCTGCAGGACATCGTGGACCTGGCCAGCTGGGTGAATCAGCAGAGCCGTCACGTGGCTAACACTCTCGCCCAGGATCAGATCTTCGTTGGCGTGCTCCAGGCCTCGCTGCTCCTCTTCTTCCTCTACCTTATGTACCAGCTGCAGCAGTGGAGCAGCCGGAGTCCGGAGGAGCCGCCCAGCGACACGGCCACTGCGGACGTCACGAAGCAGCTGATCTGCGACTTTAACTTTGTCTCCGAGCAGGAGAAGCGCGCCGCCCAGGAGGCGGAAACGGAGGCCCTGCTCGAGGTGGAGGAGAAAAAGCGTCGCAAGAGGTTCACCAAAAAGCGTGTCTGCGTCTCGGCCGGGCCCGTCCTCATCGCCCTGCGGCAGCAGTCGAAGCGTCCCAAGCCCCATCGGCACCAGGCCTTGGTCTTTGAGCCGATTTCCCCCATGGAGCGCGTCCTCGAAGGCTACCTTCCTCCGAGGGAGCAGCCGTTGACGATCAGTCTCCCCCAGCAGGAGCCAGTCTCAGTCCCTGTCCCTGTTCCAGCGAGGGAGGAGGAAACAACGGAGCTCCCTGAGTTCATGTGGGTCCGGGTTGGGCTTTTCCCCGAGCATACCATAAGATATCCCCCCATCGCCTCCACCAGAAAAGACAATCCATACTAATTCGTATAATTCTGTAAACATTTTAGTTCGGAGCCCCGCGGGACCTTGAGCACGACAGACGAGATCTACCCTGACTCGTCGGACAGCAGTCTGTACGTGTCGGACGAGGAGCAGGAGGACGCCTCTCAGTATTGCCGCGGCGGCTATCATCCGGTGGTCATCGGCGACATATTCGACAATCGGTTTCGAGTGGTCCGGAAGCTGGGCTGGGGTCACTTCTCCACCGTCTGGCTGTGCCGGGATCTCAAGTGAGCATTCCTAGTGTGTAATCCTTGTGCATGGTATACAGCCTCCTTTTCTTACCCCGCAGAGACGAGAAGTACGTGGCCCTGAAGGTGGTGAAGAGTGCTCCGCACTACATCGAGACGGCCGCAGACGAGATCCGCCTGCTGGAGGCCATCCGCGACGCGGACCCACTGGACGTGAAGCGGGAGCGCATCGTCCGGCTGATGAACCACTTCACGGTGCGCGGCGTGAACGGGATGCACACGTGCCTGGTGTTCGAGGCGCTCGGCTGCAGCCTGTACAAGCTGATCGTGAAGAACAACTACCAGGGCCTGGCCATCGCCCAGGTGCGCAACATCATCAAGCAGGTGCTGGAGGGGCTGGACTACCTGCACAGCAAGTGCAGCATCATCCACACGGACATCAAGCCGGAGAACATCCTCCTGGTGATCGACAATGCCGCAGCCATGAACCAGCAAATCGACGACGAGATCAACAGTCTGCGCGTGAAGGGAGCCGACTTCCCCGACTCGTACAGTAGGTCCCTTCGGCAGGAGGACTATCCAGCCGTCAGCTAAACCTCTGCTCTCCCTCCCCCAGTCAGCTCCATCGAGAAGCAGACCAAGACGCGGTCCAAGTGGCCGCTGATCGAACCTAACGGATCCACGAACACCAACACGAACACGAGCAACAGCACGGGCAACAACTCGACCTCTTCGACGCCTCTGGCCGCTGTGGCCATGTCCTCGCTGGACAAGGACGACACCACCACTTCGTCCACCCTGAACTCGAACACCACCTCCTCGCTGGCCTCCAAGTACTCGAGCCTGCTCGGCGACAGCGAGTGCAACGGCATCGGCGGTGGCGTCAGCCTGATCGGGGGCCTGGGTGGTGGCGTCGAGAGTCCCATTCTCAACAACCGATATCGAACCGAGAAGAAAATCACTGCCAAGGTGAGTCAAGGTCCACAGGTTGCGGCTACCCTCTCCTCCTCACACTCGACAGCGCTTACCCTCGAAGGATTACCCCCCTCTTATCACTTGGTGTGCGTCCATGGTACAGCATTTTGCACTCTCGATATTGTCAGTCACACAGATACAATACACACATACACACACACGCACTCCACACTCTACAGCTACAAATTTTGTACTCTTATAATTTTCGTTTTGTTTTCCACGTTGCCTTTTGATTTGATCATATCTGCTGCAGTCTTCCGTCGAATGCGATGACGACACCCTGGGCGACCACAGCACCATGGCCAGCGACACGCCTACCGATGACCCCGACGCCAGTCCCAGTGGCCAGCCGGCGGACAAGGTAAAGTGGATGTTGGACTTAGTCCGAGCCGTAGAGCTCCTCGGAGGATGGCTCACTCGTTCGCTAGTTCGCTAGTTCCTTCTGTTCTTCGTTCGTTCTGTGGTTTTGCTTTGAATGCTTGGACGGGACTGGAACCGGAAACTGGGTCTCTGGACTGCCCAACGGTCCCGGCGAAAGAGTTCCTGTCCCGGCTGCTGCTTAGTTACTGTTCAACCATCCCCATCGCTCTTAAGTTCAGATCCGGATTCGTTTTACCACACACCCGTCACACTAAACCCACACTCATGCTCTAAACTGGAGTCCACTAGAGTCTAGACCTAGAATGAGAAATGCTTGATGTTTGATTGTGCTGCTAGCGGCTTTAGATGTTTATGTAATGGCGGCACGTCCACCCACCCAGTGCTTTACCTGCATTTACCCGCCTAAACCTGCATATGTGTGTATCTATGGTTATATCATTTGCGCCTAAGTCTAAGCTGTTCGTTCGTGTTCTAATTGATGTTCTGTGTGATGGTCACTGGCCCGGGGGGAGCATTTCCCACGGGGCATTGACCAAGGGGCTCAAAGCTCGTCGGATCTCCCCAGAGCAACAGAGCTTTGGGCTCCCTCATTTATGTGTTTCTTATATGCACCGAAAACCAAAAAGAAAAAAAAAACAAAATCGAAGCAAACCAACATTGTGTGTTCTTTTTCTTCTCCTTTCTTTCTTTGTGTGAACCAATTTGTATACAATATTACGATATATCTATATGAAGCAGCTGCCCAGCTCCAACTCCAATTCCAACCCCGCCTCCACCAACAACTCCTGCCCCTCCTACAACGCCAACACGAATCCGAATACCAACCCAAAGATCAACACAAATACTCAAAGCACGTGCACGTCCATGCCCAGCGAGTACACCAACAACCAGAACTGCCCCTCCACAACCGTCACAACCGCCACAACCGTCACAACCGCCACAACCGCCACTCCTAGTGCAACTCCTGCCACAGCCTTAGTTTCCATCTCCACCTCCGCCTCAGCCACGCCCCCCAGCACGTGCACGTACTCGTTCACGCATCTAGCGCCAACAACTACGACTCCAACCGCAACAACTGCAACTGCAAGCACAGAGCTGTACAATGGCGACCATACATCTACAACTACAACCAACGCGACCTCAACAACAACAACAACAACAACAACTGCAACATCAGCAAACACATCCGCTAAACTAAATGTCCATGCCAATGCCATATCTTCGCAGAACCAGAGTCAGAGTAGCCAGAACAACACCTACACGATACAGTCGCTCATCAGCAACAGCAACGTGCGGGTTAAGATCGCCGATCTGGGCAACGCATGCTACGATGTGAGTAGAACCCGCACCCCCCACTCGCACACGTTTTAGTAACCCATTCTCCATGCTCCATGCTCCATGCCCTCCGGCAGTACCATCACTTCACCGAGGACATACAGACGCGGCAGTACCGATCGATCGAGGTCCTGCTGGGGGCACCCTACAACTATACCGCCGATATCTGGAGCACCGCTTGCCTGGCCTTCGAGCTGGCCACCGGCGACTATCTGTTCGACCCGCATGCCGGCGAGTCGTACAGCCGGGACGAGGACCACTTGGCGCACATCGTCGAGCTGCTGGGCTCCATTCCGCAGTCGGTGATACTGCGGGGCAAGCACGGACTCAAGTACTTCACCAGTTATGGTAAGCCATCATCAGTCGTAGATCTGTATTGCACTCAAAGACCGTCTGTTGCAGGCAACCTGAGGAACATCACCAAGCTGAAACCGTGGAGCCTGATGAACGTGCTCGTGGAGAAGTACGACTGGGACCCGGTGGAGGCCAAGAAGTTCTCCGACTTCCTGCTGCCCATGCTAGAGTACAATCCCGTCATACGCGCCTCGGCGGCCGAGTGCCTGCAGCATCCCTGGCTCGACCAGGAGGAGTTCGTCTAGTGTCCCTGGAGAGAGGAGACAGACCAGACCACAGGCATAGACCCATGAATAATACATAACATACGTATTTCGTACTCATATTTCTAGGCTTAAATTTTATATGCGACCCAGTTTGTTATAAACGAGAAATTATAGTTGATAGCGTTGAAAGCGGAAACGGAAATGGAAACAAAACAAAAACCAAACAAAACTAGAGTTAAAGGATTCGATACACAAACACAAACACAAACAAACACAGAAACAGAAACATAAACACACACGCAAACAGCAAACACACATACATACGATACGGGACAAGGGAGGAGATGTGGATGTGGATGTGCCGCCTGGAATTTTTTAAGCTTTTTTCATTTGAAACACGATTTTTGTACTCGAGAGCTTTAAACGTAATTGCTAAAGAGCGATTTTATTTTAAACAAACAATGAAAACGAAAGCGGCTAAATGCGCAAATCTTTTTCACGATTTTATTTCAACTGCGTACATACATATATATGATATGTATGTATATACAAGCATATATATAGTATATATATATATATTTTATATTTAAAGAGAAACAAGTAAAAACAAAAGACAATGACGACAATTTTGAAGTCAACAGATGCCTAAACTGACTGACTGAAATGGAAAACACTTTCAAGCGAAAACACCCAAATAAACATGCTAAATAAATTATACGAACTAGCAAAATATTGAGAGAAGCGCATAATTAATAATACTACGACTAACTATAGAGCCAATAATATATGATATGTGTATAATTAACGAACCCTAAGTGTAGATATCGACAATGTTCAATACAATTCAGATGCAGATGCAGATACAGACACAAAAACAGATTTAGATACAGATAAATCAGATAAAAATACAGACAGCTTTCTAGCAGCATGTAGTGATTGTGGTACATTTAACCAAGCAGATTATTGATTATCGTAGAACCCTAAGGCTATGTTTCCCCATCTTTTTTGTTTGGTTTGCCATAACCCTCCCACTTGGAGCCTGTATCCTGCACCCAGGCAGATTAATGATCCGCAGTTATTTTGTTTCGTTTCCACAACATTTTCATAATAAGCCATTAATCAACTCGTTGTAGTGGAATTGAAAAAGAACGGAACGGAACGAAACGAAGTTTGCACAACACCAAAATAATACCAATGATATTTAACGAGAAATCGAAATCGCATTACCAACCAGATCTAAGAAACGAAAATATTTTATTACTTGCCTACAAGTATTTGTACACAAGACAAGCCTAAGATGTAACTTTGAACGTGACCAAATAATTTAATAATCGGAATATTTTTCCCCGAATCACACACATATTGAATATACATACACCAAGCGGACACATGGCTTGATCTATATGCCGGTGTCCGATGATATGTAACAGATATTTGGGCAACAATCCAACAGGGCAACAGGGAGAAGGAGGCGCGCTGCACGTTCGGGTGAGCGACAGGCAGACAGACACATCTTTCAGTAAGCCGAATAAAGAATATACATACCGATCAAATAACAAAAGCACGGTGTTTGGCCTTTGGTTTACATAAGCACTTTATTCGAAGTTGTGTAAAAATGCAGAGTCTAGAATACAATTAGGGGTATGTTTAACAGCTTTAGGAGTATATTAGATTAGCATAGCGATCGACAGTCGACAATCGACAGTCGACCGGCGGATACGGCTACGGGCTACGGCGTATAATATTCGGAATACAGCGACGGCGCTTATAATAATACTCGGTGATCGAACGCCGCTCAGAGACCCAGTATCTGTTCCTGCTTGTAGACGCCATGGTAGGCGTTGCGGATAAGGACGTAGGGGAAGCAGGACTCCAGCAGATCCATGGTGAGGAACGGCGACTGCTTGACAATCTCATCGAGCAGCAAGTAGATGGACTCACGGTTGCGGGTAGCCTCCTTGTCGGACTCCTGCCCCAGGCGGAGCAGCGATGAGCTGGCCAGCGCCAAGAATTCCTTCATGCGGTCCTCCATGTCGTTCTGCCCGCAAATGGTGAACAGAGCGCCAAAGATGTTGTTGATGGCCGCCGCCATGCAGTGCGTGTTGTTCGAGTGCCCGTCAATGGTGGCCCTGTAGAAAGAGTTCTCGTTGCGCGCCAGTTTCGGGATGGAGACGGCCACGAACACCATCAGCAGGCAGGCCGTGAGATGCTCGCCTTCGTCAAACTCCGGCTTCTTGGATTTGAGCGTGGTGGCCAGTGTGGGGTCCACCTTGCAGAGCAGACCAGCTGCCGACGCCATCTCAGAGGCGACGCGTATCTGGTCTCCGCCAGGTAAATGCTCCTGAAAGTCCTTTACCGAACTCAGCAGGAAGGGAATGCGTTTATCTAGCACATCCACGAGAGCCTCATGCACCAGATTGCGGAAGCAGATGATCACTCCAATGATGGTCATGCGCTGCAGCACACGGTCTACGTCCTGGAGCCGCTTGCACTGCTCCTTCATCACCTCCGGCTTGTCAAAGCTGGTCCGCAGAGTGATCAGCACCTCCTTGTTGGTGCCAACGAGCGACTTGAGCTCCTGCACCTGGTTGGCTATGTGCCACATTAGGGTCTCGTTCAACGTTTTGATGCCATAGGGACCGACGAGCTCTGCCAGAGCGCGTAGTTCGTTGAGATCGGAGAACTCTTGCGGATTGAAAGGCACCCAGCCCTCGGGGGAAATGGGCACGAATGCCTTCTGGTTGATGGAGAACACAATGTTGCCGGCAGAGACGCGTCTCAGTAGAACCTCGCTGTACCAGGTGTTGTACAGGGCGGCAATGGTTTTCTCGCCATGCGAATCCAAGGCCTGCGTCTGCTGCAGCAGGCAGTTGTTGAACACCCGCGTTATGTCAATGTGGACATAGTTCTCCACGGTCTGCAGCACATTCATATAGGCTCGCACGCTGGCCAGCAGCTCCGAGGGCTTGGCTATTTCCATTGTCTCTTGGTTGAACATCACCATGCCCACGAGGTCTCGCGAAAAGCGGTGTTCCAGGTTTTGGCAGAGATATTCGCGAGGGGCGAAAGCGAACTCCCACACATTGACGGTGGGACAGTAGTTGATGGCATAGCAGAGCTCCGTTAGGGCCATGTGCAGCTTGTCCATGGTGGTCAGATCCTCGCGTGTCTTTCGGTACGACTCGTCCCCTGGCTTGCGTATGTCGTCAAAGTGCTTGGACTTGGACTTGTCCTTCTTCTTGCGGGCGGACTGCACGGACAGGATCTTGGCGCAGTGCTTGGGCAACAGCGCATCTGCCATGGTGCACTGCTCATCGCAGATGGTGGTAATAATGTTCTTCGCCTCCTTGGCCATCTCCTCCAGGAAGATGTTGACCACACTCAGCGATCTCTCCCGAATGTGGTGACGCTCCTCCGGGCACATTTCGTGCGTGCAGTTCTGGAAGTGACTGCAGATGAGGGGGAAGGCTATGATGTAGCGGTTCTGAGCAGGGAACTCCAAGCACATGTGAAACTGGTCGTCAAACATTTTGTTGTAGAAGCAAAAGATGCTCAGATCAGAGGTCTCCACCAGTATCTCGTCCAGATTGTCCACGACCCGCGTGTGGAACACCATGGAGTCCAGCAGACGAGCCAGTTCCGCATGCTCCGTTATCCGCAGGGCAGCCTTGCCCACGCTCATGTACGTCTGCAGACGGAACCAGTCCAGACGGAAGGGTCGGAAGTAGAACAGCTCGTTGTCCTCCACTTGCTTCACAGTCAATCCGGCAGCCGTGTTGTACAGAGAGCTGAATATAATGCTCTCATCTTCCGGACACATCTGCAGGCTCTGCATGCGTATGTTCAAGTCCGTGGCATCGAAGCCGGACAAATATTGCACATAGTACCGCTGCATCACCTGGCTGTACTTGCGCACCAAGGCGCGCAGCTCCTCCATGTGGAAGAGCAGCTCCGGCAGTTGGCGATCCACCAGATCCTCGTTGCTTTTGCCTAGAAAAGAGTAAGCATGAATGATTAGGTAAGGACTAAATTGTAAGCTTGGAGTACGAACCTTTGTGTTTTAGTAACGGAGGATTGTCGTTGTGACGCAGAAGCCAAAGAATCTCGTCGCGCGCCAGACAGAGTCCAATGAAGATGAAGATTGCCTTGGGACCGAGCAGTCCCGGCTGATCTGTCATAATCAGAGCCAGCTCCTTTAAGGCCGTGCGCAGGAACTTGCGGCGCTCGCGATGCATGAGGGCTGCCTTTTGAACTGCTGTGTTGTACGCCTCCTTGACCTCGGCTATCCTCTTGCTGTAGCCCTTGATGCCGTCAAAGGTGGACTGTATGTACTGGTGTATCTGCAAGACCTCGTCGCGGAAGAGGGCCACCACCCAGCTGGACTCCAGGGCAGACACCCAGATCTTGTTCACCTCTGGGTACTGGCCCAGCATTTGGTGGTTCAGAAGGAGACCGAAAATAATCCAGCGGTCCATGGCCTCCAGCGAGATGTACTCGCAGGACATGGTATCCGTTCGTACGGCCTTCAGGAGTATAGCAGGATTACCCACCAAGCTTAACTTTTGCATCTCCCGCCACTTGTCCGCCGGCAGGTTCCGCAGAGCGTAGATGGATGTGAGCGAGCGTAGGGCATTCGTCAGCAGTCGCTGGTGGGGAATAAACTCCTCAGATAGCTTCTTGAGGGGAACCTCGTAGTCCAGGATCATCTGGCCCAGGCGGGGAAAGCCAGTGTCCGCTTGATTGTTCTGGAGCTCAAAGGCAGCGTTGTACAGACCCAACACAGCCTTGCGATCCTCGACTCTGGACAATACAATCATCAAAGAGACGTATGTCACCACCAAATCCAAGTAATTTTTGGTCAACTCAAAGTTCAGCGTTATGTCCAAGTGGATCTGACAGGCATCCATCGTGGTGAGCAGCTCGCAGACATTGTCCTTGAAGTCTAACAAATCCACAAAGGTATGGTAATACAGGGAGAGCGATTTAATTATCTCCGCCTTGATATTGACGATGGCGTTCAAGCCCTTCACATCGATGTTGGGGAATCGCTTCACAATAAATTTGATGCTCGACTCCAGGGACTTCTCGGAGAGGAAGCCCGGCTTGGATTTGGTGTCGCCACAGGCCTTTTTGATATTGTATATTCGCGTCAGTATGCCCAGGCCGCGATCATTCAAGATAATCAGCTTCTCAGCTATCTTTTGCTGATTCGGAAAAATTGGGCGTGCCATTTCCGATGACCAATGGGGACGTGCACTGGCTGAAGGCGAGTTTTCGGCGTGGCCAAGTACACAAATATGCGTTGGCGAACTTTTTTAGCTAGCGATAAGGCCAATCGGGACACTACTTATATTTTTAAAATAGTTTGATTAGCTAAAAAAAAATAGACACAAAAATGTACACATAACTCTTCTTCTTGTTTCAGCCACTAGTGGTGAGCCCCTAGATGAGCGATAGTTCATCTCTGTTACTTTTCCCGTGATTTTAGAAATACCGGGGCACTGTCGTGACAAGTTAGATTTGATTTGTGGCAATTCGAAGCATTTTAATTTACTCAATTAGTCGGTACTATTTTTATAGCCTAGTACTCGCATCAACTCAAAAAGTTGACAAAAAGTGACATTTATTTCGCTCGCGGCGGCAGAATGTGACCAGATGTGCATGCTCTACGGTCACACTGTTATGTGTTTGAATTAAAAATTCAAATTTTGTGGAGAGCAAGCAAAGTAATGCATTTACTTTGGTGATGGTGTACGACTATGCACAGACAAAGAACCGCAATATTCGATAAATCCAATACAAGCCATAGCATCACCAAAACCTGTAAGCCTTGTCAACAGAGCATGAGCAAACAATAAGCTAAAAGACCTTGCCGGCTAAGGCCACTGAATGCAGGCAGTAGAAATTGAGTGCGCGAAAGTAGTAAAGTAGTGCACGAAGTAGATTGAATTGGTCTTTATTATTGCATTTTTCTAGCCGGCTTTTTCATGCTTGCTTCCTCCCATTTTTATTGTGCCAAAATGTTTAATTCTCGTTTAAAATTGAATAAAGTGAATCTAAAAATTATTGCGCGTAGTTTCTTCTTTATCGCACAGAACTACCTGTATATCCTGTGATCGATAAGTAGAAAAAATTCGCGGGTATATCTGATTTAACGACGTGAAACAGCAGACCAATATGTAAAGTTGCTCCGAACTCAGAAAAGCAGTTCCGTTGATTATAAATTCTCTTAAAAATATCCATATTATCATATATGTGTTACATGTATTACAAAAACAAATATATATGGATATATTGATATCATAAAAGAGAGAAAAAATGAGGATCAAAGTGAATATATCCGGGAACATGAAGAAATATAAAGGATGGAAATGCCTCAATGCCTGGACTTAAACAGGAACCTGGAAAAACACGTAGAACAACAATTAAAAAAATATTTGAATGTTATGTTAAAGTTAAGTTAGGGTTTGATGGAAAAAGATGGCGACAGAAGTGACAGAAAGTTCTGGAACAAAAACGAAACTGAAAAAGAAAACGAATGAAGAGCAAGCAAAGAAGAATGTTAAAATAATATATAATGATCAATATGAGGGACCATAATTACATAGTGTATTTAAAAAAATTGCAGGCACATAAAATGAAACAAAAATATTTCCATTTAAACCCATTGAACTAGTTATATTTTAATGAAACTGCCAGTTGACGGTGCTCTGATTGCGTCAAAGATTGGATTTGGCAGCTGCAAAATTGAATTTTAAAATTCAACGAATGCGAATAAATGTTTGACTGTCATGAATCATGGCTATGAACCTACAACATTTAATCATTTTTAAAAAGTGTCAAATTTTAAATATACCAATCTTCTATTTCCAAAGAAATGCTATTGGAATTTATTGACTCTCCTCTTTCTATTGAGAAATTTATTATAACTAAAACGAAGAGCATTTTATCTTTACAGGGGAAAAAGTTCTCTCCGAAGTTTCTTTTCTTCATACTAAAGTGCGTGTAATACTAGATAATGTATTAAATTATCCAATGCTATAGATGATAGAAGTGTGGACATTTTGTCCAAGATTCCAAACATGCAGAGCAAAAATGCTATGAATGTTCACGTACTCATTCACAAGGAACTGATTGTACCAATTAATGTCAATTTCAAAGAAAAGCATATAGCTTCATCCGCTTTTTGCCCAGCAAGAAAGATAGCGTATGCAATTCCGATATATAACGGTGGAATATGTGTCTAGGTTGGAGGTCAAAGCTGGAAAAAATCTTTTTGACCACAGTCGTTTCATGAAAGTATACTGTAGTGAACTGTTCATTCATACAAACCTTTTAACAAAATTGGCTTCTCAAAATGTATTCGAGTGAACGTTTCGCTCCCAACGATTTATTTGGAAAAATGTTTCCTAAAAGCCGTACTGGAGCCTGGAATAACAGCACATTTTGTTCCATAATTTACAAATTTCTTAATGCTGATAGCAAAAAGAAATATTATTTCCGAGAGACGACGCAAAAGATGGAAAGATTGGTTTTGAAATTACGTTATTTTGATGTACTTTGTATGATTCTCTTTGGTTATTATTCTCTGAGCGCAACTTCGTCTTGGTATTGGCTCTTTGGCGACTCGAGAGCTTGGCACTGCTGGGGATGGTGGTTCGGGCAAGAGCTCGAGTTCGGCTTCAGTTGCTTTTTACATATATAAGTTTAACGCTGTGGCCACGACGACGACGACGACGACGAGTTTTGTTGTTCAGTTAAATGCGGAAAGGCGACGGAGGCGGTACAAAGTTTTACGACGGCGCGTGCGTGGCAGCCAGTTTAAGCGGAACAGAACCAAAATAAAACAAGCATCAGGCAATAAATCAACGTACGTGTAAAAGCATTTCAAATCCAAGACACTGAGCACATCATTTGGGCCGTAGTGGAGCAGTGCCTCCACTTGTTATGCTTTCCATTAACGAATATATTGTGCGACGACGACGCCTTCGCCTTCGCCCAGCCCGTGAATACCCATCGCGGAGTTGGGGTTTCTCTCCAGTGTGTGTGTGTTTACGTGCTAATTGGCTTTCCACTTCCTCTCCCCCTCCCCGTCCCGTCAGGCTACGCATGCGCAACATACATACATAAACATGAAGTTCGTCTCCCGATACCGAATCTTCCCATCTTCCTATATATAATACATACATACATACATGTGTGCATAGTAGTTCCATCCTCAGATGGGCTGTTTGTTCTGATGTTTTCCTCTCGATTTCGTTGATATTCGTATTCTGATTCCGTTTTCACATGTTTCGCGGCATCTTTTGTCTGGGTTCAACTCGTGATGAACGCCCGATTCCGGTTTGGCCGAGCCCCGAGGCTAAACAAAAAACAAATTAATATGCAAAAGTTAGGGGCAAAGAAAAACGTGAAAAAAGCCGGAAAGTGAAACCGTTTAAGTCTTGCTTTTCCACCTAATTTCCACGCTAACAAAAACCTAAGTGCATTTTCATGCCATTTCTTATCAAAACACCGAAGTAAAGTTGTTTACCCCCCAACCCGTATCAAACCCGTATCAAACCCGTACCGAACCGAACCAGATAGCGATAGCCGGGAGGAGAAGCGTGGGCTAGCTTGGGCTGTCTCCAGTTTGGTTTGGCGAATGATATGACCGTGATTCATCAAGCTCTTTAGTTGGTCATTCCGCTGCCGTTCTGTCCGATGCACCTTGTCGCCGCCGGTCACCAGCTATTTAAGGGCCTTCGGGCGAAAGTTGAGAATCAGGTTCGACAACCCACACAACACCGGCTCAGGCTCAGTCTCAGGCTCAAGCTCGGTCCCAGCGAATTCGGTTCACGTATTCCCTCTGAATGGTTGCTGAAACGACTTCGTGATAACTGTATCGTATACCAGTATTCCAAAGCGTCAGAAACAAAGACAAGTCTTTGATTACATTCTGGTTGGTTGTCTGGTCGATGATGAAATGAGGTTCTACTACTGCATGAGTACATGGCAATGAGTGACTCACAGTTCATTGAAGTGATTGAAGAATCTCTAAGAATTGTTTTGCCTTTCACTTTTCTGCACCGCTCGCGGAGTGACCGGAGGGTCCGTTCAATTAAAGCCAGTAATTGAACGGAATTGGAATTATGAAAATGTATCACATTGTCGCCACAAAGTGGCGCTCGACCACGCAAAACATTCAACTCTATTCTTATGTGGTCTTGTGTGTCTCTCCCATAGATGCGAGCGATGCGTCAGAGAAAAGTCTGGGGGGAAGCACCGCAGCTGTGGCTCCTCCTGCTGCTGGCATCCGTTTCGTGCACATTATGGGCTTCAGTGACCGCCAGGACGGGTGAGTGCTACGCCAAAGGCTGACCGCAAAAGGGGTTGCTGACAGCGGATCTCACTTGCAGGTCCCTCGCACGACAAGGTGGTTGTTTGCTACATATCCACATGGGCTGTGTACCGGCCCGAGCAGGGCGCCTATGCCATAGACAACTTTGATCCCAACTTGTGCACCCATGTGGTGTACGCCTTCGCTGGCCTGGACATCACGCAGGCGTCCATAAAATCGCTCGGTAAGGGAGCAGAGCAGAGCAGAGCACCTTCGGCCGGTTTGTTTTATTGGCGTATGCTAACTCGAGCCCATTCTTTTCGGCTAGATCCCTGGCAGGACCTGAAGGAGCAGTACGGCAAGGGTGGCTACGAGCAGCTGACCGGCCTGAAGCGCAGCCATCCACATCTGAAGGTCTCCCTGGCCATAGGCGGCTGGAACGAGGGCTCGGCCAACTACTCCAGCCTGGTGGCCAACAGCTACCTGCGCGAACGATTCGTCAAGCAGGTGTCGAGCTTTGTGCGCAAGTACAACTTCGATGGCCTCGACCTGGACTGGGAGTATCCCACGCAGCGCGGGGGCAAGCCCAGCGACCGCGAGAACTTTGTGGCTCTCACCAAGGAGCTGCGGGAGGAGTTCGACAACCATGGGCTGCTGCTCACCTCGGCCATTGGAGCGGCCAAGAAGGTGATCGACGAGGCCTACGATGTCCGGCAAATATCGCGGTATCTGGACTACCTGCACATCATGTGCTACGACTACCACGGCAGCTGGGACCAGAAGGTGGGCTACAATTCTCCACTCGCTGCCCCAGCAGAGGATCCCTTCAGTGTGGTAAGCCGTGCTTGAACAGTCCCATGAGAACGAAACAGATAATACGTGCATATATCTTGGCATCATTTATTTCAGAAATTCACCATTGACTATCTGCTAAAGCTGGGGGCCCCCCCCTCCAAGCTGGTGCTTGGCCTGCCATTCTACGGACGAACCTTCAAGACGGTGTCCGAGGGAAACCTCAACGATGGCAGCGACGGAGTCGGCTTCCGGGGACCCTATACCCGCGAGGATGGTTTCCTGGGGTACAATGAAATCTGCAATGTACTGAGCAACAAGACATCGGGCTGGACCAAGCAGTGGGACCCCCAGACCAGCCAGGTGCTGGCCCGCTCCGAGCGCAATGTCTTCACGCAAGATGTGAGCGTTGTGACGTTCGACAGCTCGCGTTCCATCGCCAACAAGGTGCTGTATGCCATGTCCAAGCGTCTGGCGGGCGTCATGGTCTGGTCGGTGGACACGGATGACTTCCTTGGCAACTGTGAGCTGGATGGCGATACCTTTGAAGACTTCAAGGTGGTTAGCTCTGCCCCCCGCCGACTCAGTCAGAGCTATCCCCTGCTCCGCACCATCAACGAGGCCACGGTGCTGGCACTGGAGCAACTGGCCGTGCCGGAGCCTGTGCCGGACGATTCGGAGAACGAGATCCCTCACGGCAGCATTGCGGATCGCAAGAACGCTGCCGCCTCTATTGTTAGCCTCAGTCTGACTGCCACTGCTCTCTTTATGCTGCTGCACAGTCTGGCCCATTGACAGCCCGCCGGAGCAGAGGTAAGTCGAGTCGAGTGGAGTGGAGTGGAGTGGAGTGGACTGGAGTGGGAGTGGAGCCATAGTCATAGTAATCCCAGTTGTACTGTACGATGTTTACGTAGTCATTAAATTCCAAATTGTAATTTTAGTTGGCAATGTCTTTTTTTTCATGATTAAGTACTGCACCGCAATTCCAAAAGACGACGATTCGTTGTTGTTAAAATGCTTCGGATATACTTTGTTCTTTAATAAATTTAACTTGCGCTCTAACATTTAACTAACTATGTATATATATACTATATATATGTATATGTATATGTGTGTAGGTGTGTATGTATGTATATGTATGCAACTATGTAAATACGCAGGTAAATATAACATAATTTGTATAATAATATTCATAGATTACACTGTGCGACAAAATGGAAACTTTTGAAAGCACTTGGCACGAGACAAAAACTGGGCTGTAGGCCTGGATAAGTAGATGACATCCTCGTCGCCCTTTGAACCCCCAAAATCTTTATTCTTAATTCAAAAACCGCGATTGATCAACTTCAAAATTCGCATCTTTGACATTCTTTGGACAATGTTAATAATTAGTAGCTTATTTTGTTGGGAATTAATGACAAAAAAAAAAAACAAAAATATATAAAATGCTACCGAATTCGAAGGTAGGCCTACAACCTAGTTTTTGTTCCGTGCAAAGTGCCAAATCACTGTCGCACAGCGCCATCATTGCTACAATTGCTCAACATTCAATTCAATGCTACAATATTTTGTTACGTTACCATTAGTAAATATTCAATATTCAATATAAACTATACATATATCTACTATGCAAAGGATATTTCGCGTAAAATAGTTAAAGCAAAGTGTGTGGCCGGGGCCCTTGAGTTGGAGAGAGAGGGAGGAAGTGTTGTTCCTCTGTTGGATGGCAAACATTACAAATGCGACGATATTTAGTGGGTGTGGGACAAACCAAAAGGGAGAGACGGGGACACAGTCCCGTCCTTACTGAGTATATAATGATGATGAAACCACTGCACTGCTCCGCTCCGTCTAGACAAACACCTCGTCGCTCGCTTGGCCTCACAAACGTCCCCCGTCCGAGGACCAGTCGGAGCGATCGGCTCCTCCACTCCCATAGATGTCCAGCTGCTCCCGCGAACGCGTTTTCGACTTGGACTTGTGCTTGTGGCTGCCGCCGGCGATGGCGCGCTGCAGCTGATAGCCGGCCACTGGATTATTCCTATCGTTGATGACCTCGTAGTGGGAGTCGGCCCCTACAGTTGAGGTCCCACCACCGGCCATGAGCAGCTCGTGGATGTTCTTTGTCGAGCGGCGATGCGCCTCCAGGCACTGCGACTCCGAGGAGTACGGGAACGAGGCCACAAAGCTCGGCGACTGCTGGCCCGTCGTGCACGGCGGATCGCTGGCAAAGTTTGCGGGCGGCGGAGGAAGCGATCCTCCGCAGGGCGTCGATGGCGACAGGTCGGTGAACTCAGTCTTGGCCTCCGACTCCACGGAGCACATGCTCTGGCGCGAGATCTCCTTCTGCAGCTGCTGCTGCTGCTGCTGCTGCTCCTTCATCGTCGGCATATTGAGGTTGGAGCTCTCGTAGTCGTCCTCGAGGCGGGCCTGGGGAATGGGCAAGCGACTGCGTATGGAGTGCTCGCGTCGTCCGAATCTCTGGGCCAGATAGTCCTCGTTCGCCGAGGAGTTGTTGGTGTTGGCGTTGCTCTGAGTGCTGCTGTGGCTGCAGTTGCTGTGCTGGTGCTGATGATGATGGTGCCCCTGGTGGCGGTGGGCGTTGTCGTAGTAGTTGTCGTTCTTCACGGACATGTTGCAGCAGCTGCTGACGTCCGCAAAGTAGACCTCCGACTCGGCGGGGTCCTGTAGAAGTGACCCCACGACCCCACCGCCCACCTGATCTTTGGCTATGGCTCCGTTCGAGTCCTGATAGCCGCTGTTCTCTACGCCCGCCGACGACTGCGTCTGTGCCTGCTGCGTGCCGCCCTGCGTGGACTGCTGCTGCAGTGGCTGCTGCTCCTGCTTGGCGAATAGCTGCTGCACATTGGGTCGCTGCTGGCTGGGATTGCTCTGGGGTCCGATGCTCTTGGCCCCAGTGCCTGCCTCGATGCGCTTCTTCAGCTTGCGCGTGGGTAGCGTGTTGGAGCAGCGATCCCTCTCCCTCGCATTGCCGCCTCCGTCGCTGTCCGAGGGCGTGTTCTCGTACTCCACCTTCGACTTGTAGGCGGAGGATCGTGTGGACGTCATGCCGGTCATATTGCCAGTCATACTACTCAGGCTCAGACCGTCCATCCGCTCCAGAGTGGCCGACTGGCCTTGGATTCGCTGCAGCTGCAGCTGCATCTGCTGCTGCTGCTGGGGATGTGCGTGTGGGTGCTGGTGCTGCATCGCCTGCTGGTGCAGCTGCTCCTGGGTGAGCGCCACCGTTGTGGTTGAGGGATTGCCAGCCAGACAAGCCGCCGGCTGCAGATACTGGTAGTAGCCACGCCTTGCGGGGCTGTTGGGATCGCTGTAGGGCGGCGGCGGACCCCACACTCCGTAGGGCAAGGCGTTGGGCGGCGGCATGCCATTGTAGGTGGCACCCACGGCCGGCTCCTCGATCAGCATCTGATTGCCGTCCGCCGCCATGGCCGTGGCCGAGCTGAAACCGTACTGGGAGTCCGGACTGGCTGCTGCCTGTCGGAAGCGTCTTCCCGTGTCCGGAGTAGTGCGCTGCCATGGCATTCTCGGCCAGCTCCAGCCGCTGCTGCTTCGTCCGCCTCCTCCTCCTGCTCCCCGTTCTCCGCCGCGACACGGTCCGGAGGGATCCTCTCCGCCCGGATTTGGCGAGTAAAAGTTTCCCGGTGGCTGTGCCGCCCAGAAGCGCTGCTCCGCTCCTCCGCCTCCGGCTGCCGCGGCCGCTGCCGCCACCGTGGCCTCGTCCCAGGGATAAGCGGTTGTCTGCAACGGCAGCGTCATCTGCCGATGGGCGTGGCACTGCTCGCAGCAGCGACAATTGAGCATCCGTCCGGGGGCCCCAAGAGCCCCCAGAGAGGGTGGCGGCGCCTGGCTGGCATAGAGGGAGCGGCATCGCAGCTCCAGCTGCTCCCAGTACATCTTCTTGCGCTCATGGCTGAGCAGCTGGTAGACCAGCATGCAGCTGAAGACGGCGATGAGTACTCCGGCCACAGACAGCCCGAAGATGGCCCGCAGGCAGGAGTACAGCGATCCATGGACAACGCCGCAATCGGAGAGAGAGTCGAACACCAGACGCACTCCTTCTGATGAAACAGGCAATGCATAAATGGGGGGTTACGCTTCAGACGACAGACAATGCTTACCCTTGTCCACCCGATCCACCTGGGACTCGATGAGGTCCGAGTAGCAGGTGCAGGTGCGCGTCTTCTGGGCGTACTCGCACTCCCGCAGCGCCTGCAGGCGACTCATGTGCAGCACGGTGGTGGTAACCGTGACCAAGGCACAGGTGAGGGCAGATACCAGGCCACAGGCGCCCGACAGCTTAATCTGCAAGTCGTATACAAAGGGTTAACAGAGTCCCAATGATTGGAGTGGAGTGGTGCCACCTACCAAATAGCTGTAGCGATTCCTTCGACGGGCCAGGCTCATGATGCAGATGCCCGTGAGGATGAGCAGTGTGGCAGGCACAAAGGTCGGCACTGTCTCAAAGTTGCCCACGGTGATGGTGTACGAGTGCAGCAGGAAGTAGACGCCCAGGAAGAGCACGCCAAGCAGGCAGCTGAAGCCGCCGCAGATGAGGCACCACACCACGTACTTCTTGATGCCAGCTCCATGGCGATGGGCTGCAGGAGAGGGCGGGGAGAGAACAGAACAGAACACACAAATGACAACAATCAGACGGGGAATGGGAATCAAGGGACTCTAGAGCCAGTACCACGATGATGGGCATCCACATTGCCGGAGGACGGGGGCGGTGCGGGCACCCAGGAGCAGGGTGGCGGCATGCTGTACTGCACGAACTGCATCACCGGATAGCCATGCATTTTGGCAGGGATTTGTTGCTGGAAGCCTTGCTGTCGTCTCGCGGAAAACACTGGCCATAAACTGGCTGCCCCTATGCCCACATAGCAGCTATGGACAGGACGCGGAAGAGCATGCAGCGGACGAAGCAAAGGATTCCTGAACACGTTTTCGCAAACTCAGTTCCGCAATTGCTTTTTTTTCGCCTGCCCACTCGTCACTAGTCACTCTCTTTTCTTTTTGTTTTTTTGCTCCGCAACGAAACGGAAAAATATCTACACAGAAGTCGCTGATGGCGATGAGATGCCACCGCTGCTGCTGCTGCTGCTGGTACTGGTGCTACTGCTGGCAGCTGCGCGAACCGAGAGGCGGGAAGCAGAGGCGGAGGCAGAGGCAGGAGCGGGGGTACGGAAAAGCTGGGACCTGCGGATGTGCTTTGGGGAGTGTGCGTTGTTGCAATAACGGGAACGGAACGGTGTCAACTGAAAGTCCCGACTGACATTAGCACACTTCCAACCATCCATCCAAGGAACCATCCCCCAAGCAAATACTTGGACCTGCAACAGCTCTCTCGGAGCGTGGCAGCGAGAGAGATGGCGGCTAGGCGCAGGCGCTGGCAGGGCCAGATATGCGGATGAGGAAGCATCAGGACCAGGCGGATGCTGGGATGCTGGGCGAAAAAAGGGTGACAAATCTGTGACTAGCCCCCAAGGGGGATAAGTGATTCATTTGGGCACCACTGATGCTGATGCGATGCGATGCTGGCCACTCACCTATGGATCCATTTCCGTTGCTGCGTGGCCTGGGCGGTGGGCGTGGCGGCAGGGGCGGACGGTTGTCGTCTAGATTCTGGGACTTTCTGCCGCGGGAGCCGCCTCCCCCCGAGGAGGGCACAGAACCTCCTGCCCCCTCCAGCTCCGTGTCGTGGTAAATGTCGTTGCAGCTGTCGCCCGTGGGCTGAGTCTTGGGCGGCAGCTGCCCGGCACTGGAGCGGGGCTTCTTCTTCTTGATCATTGTGCTGTTGTTGTCGGATTCACTGACCGTGATCTCGTCGGCGCCGAGCATGGCATCCGCCAGCAGGCTGCGCTTGTGCTGGGCAAGGGAAGAGCCTCCGTTGGCGGCACAGCTGCACTCCAGGTCGCAGTCACAGCTGCCGGCTCCCACCGACGTGTCCAGCTGGAGATTGAGCCGATCCCTCTGCTGCTGCTGCTGCTGCTGCTCCTCGTGCAGCGCCTGGTAGGAGTGGTTGAGCAGGGACTGGGCCGACTGCGTCTTGAGTGGCGTCGATTGATCAGCGGCTGGAACAGAGGCCTGTTGGTGCACCAGCACCGCCACAGCCATGGAGCCGTTCTGCGATGGGTGCTGCTGCTGCTGCGGCGGCAGTTGGGGCATCTGTGGCGCCCGGCCACAGGAGCAGGGGCATTGGCATTGGCTGCCCGTCTGCTGGATCTGCGGCTGCAACTGCATCGGCATCTGCGGCTGGTGATAATGCGCCGGATATTGTATGTAATGATAGTGATGAGGAGCCGGTGCAACCACCTGGCTGGGGGACATGGGCGACGCCTGTTCTAGACTCGCTTGAGAGCCGACACGTTGCAAGGATGCTGATGTTCCTGCTGCTGCCGCTGTTGCTGCTGCAGTTGTTGTTGCTGCTGCTGTTGCTGCTGCTGTTGCTGCTGCTGTTGTGGATGATGTTGCCTCCTCCTCCATGACTAAGTGGTGCCCCCAGTGGCGTCTGCGTTGGCTAAACCGGTTTGACCCTTTAGCTTCCAAATGCTTATTTATGTTGCATACCACCACTGGCACGCACACATACAACCGTGCTCCATAATGAGTGTGCGGATCGGTCTCACGCTTCCAATTTCCAGCACCGTAAATTGACCAAACTTATTGCTAATTCTGCAATATTTGCCAGCATTTGGAATAAATAAATAATTATCGCTTCACATTAACATAAACAAGGCACACACTCGAAAAAAGCAACAACAAAAAAAAGAGACGATCCGCAGCCAATCCAATCCAAAACACCATTCGAAAAACCCAACAAACCGCGCACGCAACTCGAACACGATTGACGACAGAACCGCGGCGGCGGCTTTGCACGGAAGAACAAACGATCAGTGTTGCCAAATTAGCTTTTTTTTTCAAAGAAAAATAGCGGGAACAAATTGAAAACAGCGGTCAGTGTGGCCTTTTTCGCGTATCGATTTCTCTTGCTTATCGATTGATTGATTATAGGCTTATTGCACCCACTATTTGGCATTTATTGTATTCAGAAGAATCATTAATTTGGTGTTGGCTTCTATTCAGCTGTTTTTATTTTTGTACCTCCCTTTCTGTCAATCTAGCTTGATTTTACTGAAACATAGTGGCAGCACTGGCACTGCAAATGATCGAACGAACCTGTTGCGATGGGAATCAAATCGGTTCGAGCTCAACCAACTCACACCCACACACACATCCTGTGTCCGTGTGTCCATGGGTGTGTATTTTGTTGTTGCGTTGCCTGTTCGAAGACCCAAAAGGTGCGCGTGCGCGCTTCAACATCAAACGGATTCCGGTTCTTGTGCCTCGGTTGTTGTTGTGTTGTTGCTGCACTGATTCAGTAAAATTTTTGAATGTATGTATGTGCAGACCCGCAGCCCCGAACAGAGAAAATCAATTTCTTTGTATGGATCTTGTTACCTTTTTTTCTTTTACCTGGATCTACCTGGATGTGAGTGTGAGCAAGGGCTTGTTGTTGTTGGAGTTCTCATCCATACAAGTGTGCGTGTGTGTGAGAACCAATTTAAATGTGATCCATCTTACAGTGCACACTGGCTATGGTCTACAGGACCTATACTGATATCTAGAGCGCCATACATAAACTCTAAGCAGTTGCAAGGCGAACGATTTCCACTTGAAGCTGTATTTTTTGTACTCCTCACATTTCTTTAGAATGGGGAAAGGATTCGATCAGCTCCAGGCCCCATAGATGCCATTGTAGAGGCTTCACTGTCCACGATGGTGTCTCTCATTACCATGTGCTCTTCCAGGAGCACTGCCGGACCCTTTTCGGGCCTTATCCATGACGGTGAAACCATCCTCCACTCAGGATTATCATTGGAATCAGCACACTGCCTGATTCGGATTCGGCAGGTGATACAACTCGAGGAGCTCGAGGGAAACTAATTTCTCTCAGATTCCCCAAAGATTACCTTTTAGCCAAGCCAACAACAACGTAGATTACTTAATTCTATTTCTGTAATCCGATATCTACCTAGCTCCATTGACGACACACCTTAAAATTGCCAATCATTTGTTTCACCAAAAAATACCCCTTCCCATTGAGTATTGGCACACCCACCATCTATTAATCAATCGATTACTTTAGTCATAAATATTTGCCTGTTGTTGACATTTCCGTTCGCTGATAGCACGGCAGATACTGACAGGAGACCCCACCTGAAGGGAGATTGAAATATTGCAAAAAGCAAACAAAAATGATGTAGAAAGAGATGAGTCTTTCATTCGAGAAAAGAAAAGCAGCAACAAGAAGGGACAATAAATATAATGCATGTACATACGTATATGCTGGTACCAATACCAATGCTGTTATCGAAGCTAATCTCATCCATATCACGAGTTCGAAGAGTTCTTCGGTTTGAACCCCCTTTTCCAGCTTTGTTCTATTTATATTATCACAGAAAACGGAAAAGGCCTAATCACCGATATAGAGATTATGAGAGAATTCTTGGTAAATCGCAATGTTTATTCGTTAGGGGACGTAATCACTATACATATAAACGTACTCGTACAAATATGGGCTGGGGTGGGGTGGGATACCTACTTATTTTAAGAGTCATTGTGCCCTTTGGCTATATACAATTTCGTTGATAAAGCGGGGGGTGTAGGACACGCTCCTGGGAAGAGGGACGATAAAATAAACACGGGCTAAATGATACAGTTTACTTAAAATAGGTTAGAGCAAATGACTTTCTGCGTAAGATTAGAGGTCGTAGGCTACGGTAACTATTTGCATAGTTTAAAGCACGTTCAACCATCTCTCTTTTTAGACCCTTTAGAGGGGATTTCCTGAAGAGCTATCTATGTACAAACATACAGTGTAAAAGGAAGAATAGTTATTATCACAACCGAGAACCGATCGAAATGTCATGGAGTGGGAACGAAAGGATTGGCAGTGCTACTGGGAGGTCGCTGCAAAGGAGTGCACCAGCATCGCAAAGCTGCTGATGAGGAATATACTCGCTGGGAGCGACGACAGCATGCGGTAGTTCTCCTCGGTGTGCTCGCGCGTCTTCTTCTGCTTGATGACCCAGCCAAGACTACGTTCGACGGCCCGCTTCCACTTGCCGTAGCGCTCCTTTCGCTCCACATCCGTGGTGGTGGCCAGGAACGTGTCGTAGTGCACGTTCTCGTAGTAGCGCTTCTCCGGCTCAAACTTGCACAGATCAATGCCCTCCGCCTGGGCGGCGCACATGGCCGCCCCGAAGGCCGTCGAGTCCATCAGCTGGGAGCGGAACACGGGCATGCCGATGGTGTCTGCCTGGAGCTGCATCAGCAGGTTGTTCGTCGTGAGCTTGCCATCGGCATGCAGCTTGTTGATCTCGTAGCCGCACTCCTGATGCATGCACTCGAGGATGTCGCGTGTCTGGAAGCAGATGCTCTCAAGTGCCGCTCTCACAATGTGGTTCTTTCGCGTGAACTGCGTCAGACCGATGATTATGCCACGCGCATTCTGGCGCCAGTAGGGAGCGTACAGCCCGGTGAAGGCGGGCACAAAGTAGACATCCCCTGACGTGGGCACCATCTCGGCGTACTTCTCGGCGTCCCGGGAGTCGGGCAGAATGCGCACTTTACTCTGCAACCAGGACAGGGCATGTCCGGCCACGGATACGGCTCCTTCGATGGCGTAGATCGTGGGCGACTGCGGTCCCAGCTTATAAGCTACGGTGGTCAGCAGTCCGTGGCGCGAAAAGACGGGCTTGTCGCCCGTGTTGCAAAGCAAAAAGCACCCAGAGCGATACGTGTTCTTGGTCTGGCCCGGCTTGACGCACATCTGGCCTAGCAGCGAGGCCTGCTGGTTCCCCATGATCCCGCTGAGCGTCATGCCGCGCAGGGGACTCCGCTCCGAGGTGATCTTACCAAAGATCTCCGAGCAGCTGCGGATGGTGGGCAGCATATCCTCCTTGATAGCGAACGTCTTCAGCAGAACGGGGTCCCAGTTCTGGGTTTCGAGGTTCATGAGCAGCGTGCGCGAGGCATTCGTCACGTCCGTGATGTGAAGGGCACCTAAAAAGTAAGAGGAGTCACATTTAAGTTTAAAGACCAATCACCAAAAGGGGGATCGGGAACTCTTACCGTTCGTCAGATTCCACACAATCCAACTGTCGACGGTGCCCGCCTTGCAGCGCTTTCCGCGGATGGCCTGCCGCACCTCGGGCA